AAGAAGGCGTAAACTTATTCAAAGCCGGAGTTCCGTGTTTACATAACCTCTAAAATTGAGGCCCGGACCGAGTCGGTAGATTAGTGTACAGCGTGTTATCTGGCATCCAGTCCAATTACCATATGTAAATATGCAAATTGTTGTTGTCTAATAAGTCGGGGCGGATTCTCATGCAGGTCTCGTCTTGCCCCGGGTCTATTTTAGGGAAATTGGCGGCTGTCGGTAATGTATGGACGACGACAGGGACGGATTTAAGGAATAATAAAAGTTCTGGAGTCGCTATCGGTGCGATGCAGTTACTCTGGATGAAATAAGGAAGCTGAGAATGTTGAGTAGATTCTAGCGGGGTTAGTAATGCATTAAAGCAAAGTCTGGTCTTGTTTAGGGCTAGTAACGAGAAAGCTATTGTATACGATATACTTTTATAAGGTTTTATAATAAGATGTGACAATGTCGTGAGCAAAAGACGCTAATTTAAATATCTGTGTTTTCTAGATATTAATATACAGAATGACTGTGAATAAATTTAAGATTCAAATAGCTCTAGTTGCTAAGAATATAAAGGAATAGTAAACTATTTTTAAGACTATATCATAGGTTAAGTAAAATGTTTCAACTTATAAACGAGTTTATTAAACGTGTATCTTGTCTTCAAAAATTATGCGAACAAAAATAAACGTTAATTATATAAGAAAAAGTTCAAATGTCAGTTTATTTAATTTTATTAAAACTGGAATTTATAAATTATAATGTTTATTTTTTAAAAATCCCAGTTTACCAACTGTAGTAATATAAGTTAGTTACGTCTATTGTTTTTTACCAAACCAAAGAGATCTAGAGACCATAAAATAAATGATCTCATGTCAATAATTAAGTTACAAATCTTTCATAAAAATCTGGAAATTTCGTAGGTTTCCCACTGTAATTGCCTAAAGCAATGTTGTTAATGGACCATCATATTCTCCCCGGGCAGCAGGCAAAAAGTTATGAAAGTTTATTTAAAAGTTTTTTCATTGTTGTTATATTTCTTTTGCTTTCTGTACCTTCCAGGAAAGATGTAGGTGGAAGAACTCTTATAATTTAAATGTTATTCTTTCACAACCGTCGATTAAAATCCAAACAACAATCAACACTACCGAACTATAAATTGATTATTAATTCACAAACTTCTTGTTCCCATTATTTAACCGCTCCACTCAAACACACATACACACCAACAGAGAGAACAGTCCAAGAAGGCGTAAACTTATTCAAAGCCGGAGTTCCCTGTTTACATAACCTCTAGAATTGAGGCCCGGACCGAGTCGGTAGATTAGTGTACAGCGTGTTATCTGGCATCCAGTCCAATTACCATATGTAAATATGCAAATTGTTGTTGTCTAATAAGTCGGGGCGGATTCTCATGCAGGTCTCGTCTTGCCCCGGGTCTATTTTAGGGAAATTGGCGGCTGCCGGTAATGTATGGGGACGACAGGGTTGGATTTAAGGAATAATAATCGTTCGGGTGTCTATATCGATGCGATGCACTTGCTCTGGATAAAATAAGGAAGCTGGGAATGTTGAGTAGATTCTAGCAGGGTTAGTATTAAAGCAAAGTATGGTTTTGTTTAGGACTAGTAACGAAGTTTTTTATACTTTATAAGATTTTAAAATTTTATAAGATTTTTAAATTTTTTTAAAAATGTGACAATGTCATGAACAAAAGACGCTAATTTAAATATCTGTGTTATCTAGATATTAATATACAGAATGACTATGAATAAATTTGAGATTCAAAGAGCTCTAGTTGCTAAGGATATAAGGGAATATTAAAATATTTTTAAGACTATATCATATGTTAAGGAAAATGTGTAAACTTATAAACGGGTTTATTAAACGGGTCTCATGTCTTCAAAAATTATGATAACAAAAATAAACGTTAATTATATAAGAAAAAGATCAAATTTCAGTTTAATTTTACTAAAACTGGAATTTCTAAATTATAATGTTTATATTTTAATGATCCCAGTTTGCCAACTGTAGTATTATAAGTTAGTTACGATTATTGTTTTATTACCAAACCAAGGAGATCTAGGGACGATAAAATAAATTACCCATGTCAATAATTAAGTTACAAATCTTCCATAAAACTCTGGAAATTTCGTAGTTTTCCCACTCAAATTGCCTAAAGCAATCCTGTTAATGGATAATCATATTTTCCCCGGGCAGCAGGCAAAAAGTTATGAAAGTTCATTTAAATGTTTCTTCATTGTTTTTATACTTCTATTGCTTTCTGTACCTTCCAGAAAAAGTTTAGGTGGAAGAACTCTTATAATTTAAATGTTATTCTTTCACAACAGTCGATTAAAATCCAAACAACAATCAACAACTACCGAACTATAAATTGATTATTAATTCACAAACTTCTTGTTCCCATTGTTTAACCGTTCCACTGAAACACACATACACACCAACAGAGAGAACAGTCCAAGAAGGCGTAAACTTATTCAAAGCCGGAGTTCCGTGTTTACATAACCTCTAAAATTGAGGCCCGGACCGAGTCGGTAGATTAGTGTACAGCGTGTTATCTGGCATCCAGTCCAATTACCATATGTAAATATGCAAATTGTTGTTGTCTAATAAGTAGGGGCCCTAAAGGGGCCATTCTTAAGAATATTTTACATAATACTTTCGGATAAAAAAATCTTTTTTACATTATTAGACGGAGTATATTAAGGAGGGATAATATTTTCGCTAACAAATTTGCATTGTTTTAATAGGTATAATGCTTCTAATTTTTAATTTTCTTTTTTAGGAATAATGTTTTTATTAATAATACAGATCCAGCACCTAAAGAATAATACTCTCGGATCAGCCCTTTTTAATTCTGATGTTTGGCCATTATTCAGGTGTACGAGATTGGTTTTCTATTATCTGATTAAAAGTAAGTTTATGTTATAATTGAAAAACAATTTTAATAAATTTATTAAATTTTTATTATAACAGACTAACTCTATATTTTTTAAGATATATTTAATCAATATGAAGCAGAATTAAATTAAACACAATTATTAAGCTTAAGTATATAATGATATATTATATTATTTATTTCTTTTTTAGCGCATTCGCCATTTATTTAAAAAACCGGACTGGTACACATATGATATGACTTCTTTGTATGACTTGTGGCATTTCTAGCGTGTTTTCCAATGAATTTTCCTGAGTAACATCGACTCTAGAGCATCATAGGAGTAAACCCGGGTCACTCCCTAAATATACAGTTCGAAAATTTAATCTAAAAATGGTGATTTCTCTAAAAGCACTCGGTATATAGTTAAAGGTATTTATGTCAAAAATGCAGCATTTCATTTAAAAACTATGACTAGCGTAAAAACACCTTTGAATCGCTCTGTATATTCACGAAAATTATATATTAACTGGAGCGCTGCTCTTTCAGAACACTGGATCACCCGGATATAAATATATTTTTTATTTTTTTTTTCAGAAATATGTGCGAGTTACTGGAAATATGAACATTCAGTATACATCAGAGAGAACATTCGATAGAAGAATCAACAATCAATCTAAGGACTTATACTATTTCTATAATTAATTATTGTGTCAATGTATTTTTGTAAACTATAGTATTTTTCTAATAAATCTTAATAAAGTTTTAATGTAGTTTTTTTCATTTGTATCCCTTGAATACCAAACATTAAATGTTTTTGTAATATTGGTTGCCACAACTAGCAAAAATCGAAATATTTAAAAATAAATACAATAAATATTAATCTAGTTGCCTTTAATATTAGTACATTAATTTAATAAAATATAAACTATATATACCTTCTTAGTCTACAACTATAAGTTAATCTACAAAGATTTTATTTCTTTACTCTCAAAACTGCCATATCTGGCACCAAAAATAAGCATTAATTTATTATTTTAAAAATATTTTTCTCCTGTGAATTAAATATGGAATCGTTGGCCAACGAGCTCGAACAGTTAGACTCGTTTACAAAAACGTTAATTAATTAAAAACTAATTAAGATATTGAAGTGCGCTTAGTGCCATTCGATAGGGAATTCAACCCTCTATCTGTACACAAAATTACAACCCCCTAGAACAAAGTTTATTTTTTGGAGCAAAAATGAGCAAAGGGGACCTTAGAAAATTTTTGGCCCAAAAAATAAAGGGTGTCCTAGGTGGTTGTAGTTTTGTGTACAGATAGAGGGTTGAATTCCCTATCGATTAGCACTAAGCGCGCCCCGATATCTCTTTTAATTAGGTAGTTATTAGCGTTTTAATTTCGAAAACGAGGTCAAAGTCTTAGAGTCAACAAAATTCAGCGTTTTTGTGTAATGCTAAAAATTTGATCGAGGTGTTGAAAAATTTGGCACTAGGCAACCAAATCTTGTGCAGTTTTGTCATGAAAAAAATAATTTTGAACAGAAATGAGATATATTTTTCAGAATCATATTTCTTAACGTGCAGTTATTTTATATTGCAATTATATTTTTGGTTTACCATTATATATTTAGATTGCTATTTTATTTTTTCTCGTTATATTTAATAAGAACTCTAAGACTTTCTATTCTTCTTTTAATTGTTATAGTTAAGGAATTTTGCTATAAATCAAACACATATATGTTCGTTTAATACATTAAAATATTTATTAAACCATATTCGAATAGGACATTCATGACATGATGAATGTTAATACATACAGGGTGACAATTTGAAAACGAACAGTATTTAATATTACCACAGATCATACGGTAATTGTTATATTGGGTTTAATAATAAATGCTAATGCTTTTATTTATATTCAACTCTATACACAATAATAAGTTATAAACTATAGATTTTAATCCTCAAAAATATGTATTCATAACATTTATAAAGCTCTTAAAATAATACATTTCTTATTAAAATATACATTTTTTTCTGTTATCATTGATTACATTTTATTTAATTACATATTACCTTTTATTAACAAATGTTAATATAAACAGTATAATATATTAAAATCCAAGGTGTTGACGGACATACTGAGGTCTATGTAGAAATAATTAAATCTTGTAGCTACCCTTCGGGAAAGTCTTGATTCTCTAATAAAAATATAAAGAGACAAGTAATTATTTGTTCACTAACAAGCTTGATTAAAAACTAATCTATAACTTATTTAAATAACCAGTTAATTGATAGGGTACATAGAATATTATAAGGTATATTCAGGAATCTTCGTAACATAGAGACATTTTTTTAATAGGACTACATGAAAAAACACGGTTATGTTACACAGTTATTATCTGCACTTAAGAAATATTTTAATTATAACAATTAAAAAGGCAATTTTATTAAAAATTTACATGTCTACTATAGGCAACTCTATATATACGTAGGTGTATTTTTAGTTGCCTATAGCAATGTAAATTAGCGGCGCTATAATATTTCATTTGAAATTAATCCTTTATATCTGCATAATTTTCAATTTACATAAAATTATTTAGTTTCTTCTTCAATGATGAATTTCATTATCAATCCACTGCCGAATGTTGAATTTAATGGCATCTTGAAGTGGTGGTAGAATTGAAGTGAAGCTGTTCTTGTCCAAAAATCCTTGTTCCGAAGCAGTACAATATCACAATCAAAAATTCAATTAAAAAAAAAATAGAAACGGAATGAAAAAAAAATCAACTAGAAAATGAATCCAAAACTATACAATTCTATGTAGGGGTCAATAGAAATGAAATTTAGCAGTAAAATAAACAACAATACAATAACAGAGAAGATTTAGAAATACAATCAATATAGCAGAGATATAATAAATTACATTTAAAAAAAAATTAAATTAGGTTTTACTCTGTATGAAGTATGATAATTGAATAAGACATGAAAATTATTCCAAAATTACAACTCTATAGAGACAGAAATAAAATGCCTAAGTCGTCTTGGCATAGAATGATACAATACAAAAAAAAATAATACAAGTAAATGGTGACTGATAACCCAGAAATACATAAATTAATAGAAGATTTCAAAGACTGAAAAAAATATGAGAGATAAATGAAAGAATAGGAGTATGTAGAATTGAAAAAAAAAATGGATGAAAATTTGTGATGAACTTATAAAATTCTCAGAAAAACGACACAAAATATTATACAATTATATACATGTAAGATGATTTAGAGATACAACCAATGGAAGAGTTTATATAGAATTGATCAACGATGACATTTCCATAAGGAAGAAAATATGGGAGACAAATGATGAAATATAGACATGATGAATTGAAAAAAATGGCATAAAAATGGGGTATGAATTGGGAAAAATGCACGAAAATGAATAAAATGCTATAATTCTATATATAGAAATGATAAAATATATCATAGAAAAGTATCAGAGGAGTGACAAAAAATATACAAATATATAAGACAATCATTGAAAAAGTTTATAGAATTGATCGAATCATAGAACAAAACAGGGAAGTAGAGGAAGACCAAAAGCGGAGAAAAAGATACCTAAGAAGTATGTAGTCAATAAGAAACGGAAAATTGACCACAGATTATGCTTAACCTCTTCTAACGAATATCTAGTCAAACTTTGACATCAACATAAAGAAAAATCCTCCAAAGCATATAAGTTCGCCTCCCTTCATCGGATACCCTTGGGCGACGATTAAGCCTCACCAGTCAGTTCCCATCCCAGCTAAGCAGCCTCGTCTCGGGTCGCCCTCGTCACCCATCGAGCGGACATCCACCGGGACCCCCTACAGGCGGACCCCCTTATCATCTTCAATGTGTCCGATATCCCGCCCCTCTACTGTTGAGACGTCACGGGATACGTGCACGAAGAAGTCTCGTAGCTTGGGTGCCAGGTCGTATCCGGCCGAAGCCTCTAGCGTTAGAACACCTAGCTCGTAAACCAGAGGGTGGTGACTCCCTTGGGTACCTATGCATGCTACATTGGTCATCGATGGCCGAACATCAAGGCTAGGGGGTGACCCGGGTCTCCTCCTCTTAGGGGAGGCTATTTATGATGCTCTGGAGTCGATGTTACTCAGGAAAATTCATTGGAAATGGGCTAGAAAAGCCAGAAGTCACATCCTGGGGACCAGCCAGGTTTTTTAAATAAATGGCGAATGCGCTAGGAATTAATAAAATTAAAAAAGAATTTAGTGCTTAAATGGGATTTTTAAGAGTATTTAAACACAAGCAAACTGATCCAACAGAATTCGCAAAATTATAGCAATTCGTGGCATATGTTCTGAAAAAAAAATGAAAATAAATTCATATAGTATTGGAAAAGACACCACAAGAAAAATAATACAAATAGAAGAAGACTTATAGAAATACAGTCAATGGCCAACAAATAAAGCCTATCACATAGAATGATTGATGTTATTATTTCCACAATGGAGAATATATGGGAGTCAAGCTATTATAGAAAAATGAAAGTTATAACCATAAACAAAATGAAGTAAGGTTCTAAATAGAAGGCATATTTTACCAAACAAATAAGGCCTATAGAAATACAGCCACTGAAATATTTTATAGAACTAATGAATGATAATATTATGCCTACAATGGAGAAAATATGGGAGTCGGGCCATTATAAAGAAATAAAAGTAAACCAAAAACCACATGAAGTGAAGGTTTAACTAGATGGTATATTTCCCCAAACAAATATTACCTATAGAAATATAGTCTATGTAATATTTTATAGAATTGATAAATGTTGATATTATTCCCACAATCAAAAATAAAAATATATGGGGGCCAAGCTATTATAAAGAAATGAAAGTAAATTAAAACAACATGAAGTAAATTCTAATTAGATGGTATTCTACCAAAAAGAAAAAGAAGTGACCAAAAGCCAGAAATGGGCCAAAATGAAAAATAGATGGTCTAAATTTGTCTATATAATAACCAGGAACCATAGAAATGTAACTCAGAGACTCACTGGAATTTTTTTTCTACTTAATTAAATTTAGAAATCATGAAATCTACTGATGAACATTAAAAACCAGTATAAATATATTTACCGAAAAGAAATAAAATTTTAGATATACTTATAAGTCCTGATGCATTGTTGGTAACATTCGTAAAAAGGATAAATGTACTGCCTTGGAACTGTATGCACCCATAAATTTGTTGTACAAAATCTGTAAAAAAGACAAATAATATTAGGTACATTTTTTTAAATAATGCTATAAATAGTTCTATTTTTTTTTTTTGTTTCATTAGTATTAAATATATCTTTAAAATCTGGTTAGTCTGTTAATAAACATTTAATAAATTTATTGAAATTGTTTTTCGATAATAAAATAAACTGATGAAACAATGATGGCCAAACATCTGAATCCCAGAGGGCTCTATCTACTGTGTATGTATTATTAGAAACACTCCTAAAAAAGAAAATTATAATTAAAGCATTATATTAAAACAATGCAAATTTGTGAACTAAAATATCAGGACCATCGTATATTAATAATGTGAAACTGCAGTGGGATTCTGTAAGCTCCGTAGCAAGAAATTTCTTGCCTAGCCTATGTTATTTGTATACGATTGATGAGTCACTAGACAGGAAATTTCTTTACAGAATCGCACGTCTGTTTCTTTTTTTAATCTGAAATGATTATATAATTCTTGAGAATTATATGCCTCTCTACACTGATTTATTTTAAAGACGTAGAAAATACTTGTTTGCCGGTACGAATAAACACCTAAAAAATTACCTTTTAGGGACAAAAACCATCTCTAAACTCTACCAACAAAATGGTTCAAAAAAATACGTAATATCACTAAATGTGGAGCATTATTTTAAGTCACTATATTTTTAATGTACAATAGGGACATCAAGGAAAGTATCTATATTACCATGCACTCGATTTTGAAAAAGAAAATTGTTAAAAATAGGAAAAATATATCAGCTTTTTAAATGATGATGTAATGGAAATATTTAAAAGTGAGAATAATTATAGAAAGCATGCAAAATAATGAGTACTTACATTTTCACGAGATTAAACAAGCCATAAGAAACAGAATACACTCAAACAGTGTACAGAAAAATTACTTTTTCTATCAAAAAATCAGAAAAATTCTAAGAGCCACATAACGACTTGCAGTAAACAACGGAAAATGTCGCACCTGTCAGCAACGTTGTCAGATTGAACACGTCAACACGTGTAAAACAGAATAGTCATTTTTTACCGCATAAATAATGGTGTGTCTAAAAGAAAATGTATTATTTATTGTACTGAAACAAAGTTTGTATTTAATGTTTATTAGATTTGTCATGATTTTGTAACAGTTTAATTCATTTTAGACTTACAAAAATATTGATTTAGATTCAAGATTTCGCTAATATCTTGGCAACCTTGGAAACATTTTAGTTCAAAATTTTCTCACTTTTTCCACAATAGCGCCACCTGCACTCTTCTTCTTTTTTCATATTTCAGGTCTTAAAAGACCACAACCACAGAATAAAAGTAATACTCTTCTTCTTTTATATATTTTGTGTTCCAAACGTGGACAACCACAGATTTGACATATATTTTCTCTTCTTTTTCTTTTAAATGGCGTAAACTTATAGGTCATTTGGCCAGTGTCTAAAAAAAATAATTTAAAGTACGGAATAAAAAGGAGTGCAGTTTGAATTTCGCGGGCAGACGCCTGTATCGACCTCACGCGCGCCCTCTGGTTTCACCTGCCTTGCAGTTGAGGGAGAGAGAGGAAATAGTCTGTCTCTCTCGCGGACAAATTATTTACGTTTACTTTCACGTCTCGAAGTTGTCTCTGGCTCAAATATACAGTTCAATACATGTTCAATACAGTTTAAAGAAATATAAAAATATATTAAGTACATATACTTAATCTACACATATTGTTATCACAAAAGATCAATTTTTTTAAGTATCTCTGGCCCAGGAAAACTCATTTGTGTCCCCAATTTAGTCACAGAATCTGCAGCTACAAAACAAGCTGCCCGGATAGCTTTTTCCATAGATACCTTTTTGGCGCCTATAAAATAGGCCAGTGCTCCGATGAAAGCATCACCAGCACCTGTTGTATCCAGGCTCTTCACTTTTGGGGACTCTATTTTCAAAACTTTACATCCGCAATCTCCGGAGTGATAAACAGCCCCTTGTTCACCCAACGTTATCAATACACTTTTGCATCCCTTTGTAACTAAGTCTATTGCCGCTTTTTCGGCATCCCTGTAAAGAAAATTATGCATGTAGCGTTATTTGTGCAAGTTTTGAAAGATATTACCCAGTATTGTTAACAGGTAACCCTGTAAAGATTGATGCTTCTGTTTCGTTAATACAAAATATTGTTGGTAAAGTTAGTAATTTTGGGTCATAGGTACTTAATGCAGGTGCTCCATTTAGTATAGATATCTATAATATAAAGTTGCATAAAGGAAATTAAGAAATAAAAAATTTGAGGTATTTACCCCCGTACATAGCTCCATAGCTCTAATAGCGGTTTCTGGCGGAGTTTCTAATTGCATTATCAATACTTCTGCAGAAGAAATAGACTTTTTTGCATCTTCTATATCAGAAACGCTCAATTGCTTATTAGCTCCAGCTACAATAACAATTTGATTCTCTCCAGACTCTGCAACATTTATTTGTGCTATTCCGCTACTAGAATTTGGTGTAATCAATACAAACTCAGTATTTACACCTGCAGAGTCAAGGTTGTCTATATATTTTTCACCCCATATATCGTTACCTACCTAAAATTGAGATATTCTTTATTAGTTTTAATTATTGTCTAATAAACTTACTCGAGCAACCAAAGTTGTGTCTGCCCCTAATTTTGCTGCAGCAACACACTGATTGGCACCCTTTCCCCCAAAATTTGTTACAAACTTATCTCCGTGTATGGTTTCTCCTGCTGTGGGTAATCTTGAGGCATAGCTATAAAATTGTTTCATTGATACACAATGTTTAACTAAATTATGTAGTTACCTGACAAAATCTATCATACAAGAGCCCACAACTACAATTTTAGACGACATAATAATAGAATATCGAAAATAATTCCTGTAGTGTGTAGTATTTCACTTATCAGTGATCATTATTATCTACAATAGATCTTGCAAAGGTTAAAAATATCATTTTTATTTTATATTTTTTATAGTCATGTTTGTTTACAAATAAATATTTGATAAAAATATGAAAATATTCACGACCTACGACTCGGCGTTTTTTCTTTTTTCTCTACATGTGATAAAAAAAGAGGATAAAAAAACAGATGAGAGATTCCTACAATTGTCAAAAAAATGACAAACAAAGCGCAATATAACCTTATTTGTTGAAATTTGAAATGTTATTAATATCATGGCTAAATTTTTGATGAACGTCGTAGTTATTTCTTTCACAATTTTAATTCCAACATTTTCAAAGGCGAATCTTTGTCAAAACGTATCGCCATGCGTATGTATCTTCAACCAAACTGCACAAATCAACATAGATTCTTTAATAGCAAAAAATGGATTCATTGACGATAGTACAGAACTGCAACAGAACACAACTACCTACTATTTTCACGGTTGTACTGATGGAGACTTCAAGAATCCTTACAATAGTCAGTCTAATTTTACAGCATCAGTAAGTACCTATATCAAATTGTTAAAATAATATATGTGCTCATTATTTACCTTTGAAGCTTATCCGATGTGATACTTTTGTAACTCCCATAAATAAAGCGAAGGATAGTCTTTTTAACGGTACCTGCGAGGCAATTGGTAAGGCAAATGAGATTAGGTATGCTCTTGTCGAAGGCCAATCCAACCACTATAAAATTGTATACGATAACCAAAAAATAAAGTAAGTAGACTAAAAAAAATAGAACTAAGTACTTTCAATTCTAAATTACAATGATTTTTAGTAGTTCCTTGCCTAGTATACAGCTGGTTTGTGTTGATTCCCAAGATACAAGTTTAAAGATATCCAATCACGGAGCAAACGTTTGTACAAAGTAATTATTTATAGTTTTTTAACAAACAATTTGTTCTTCTAGGAATTATTGTTGTATTCGCCTGCGGTTTGTGTTAAGTACAGTACACTTCCAGAAGGACTGAGTTTTGGAACAATTTTTTGTCTGATTTTTTTCATAAGTTCGATTATTTATTTTGTGGGGGGTGGTTTAATATTGTACTTTGCCCGAGGAGCTAGGGGAATCGAAGTTATTCCAAATTACGATTTTTGGACATCGTTGCCAGGTTTAATAAAGGTAGGTCAGGGTTATTGTTGCAATATGATTGAGAATTTATTTTTGGAGTATGTTCTCTGAGATGAAATGAATGAATTTATGTTGAATTTTCTCGTTTTTCCTTGATATTTTTGAGAAAAATGTGAGTTGGGTGCTGAAATTTATATCAACATTTTGTTTTCCCTCGTATAATTAACAGATGGGGAGTTTCATTTTTAATTTAGAAAGAGATACTAAAAAGTGACATAATTTGGCTACCTACTGCTTAAAAAATCGTCAAAATCGGCCCACTAAAACAAAATATATTAAACTCTAAAATACATCAAAGTTTTAAGGTGCCCATTTTTCGTGCCGGTGAGTGTATTTCAAAAACTATACATTTTAAAAGTATATTACACTTTTCTAATGAAACTCGCCTTCATTTTTTTTTACTAAAATCCGAAAATCAACTAATATATAGAGTGTTCTATTACAAAAAACACAACTTTGATGTGTATCTTTTTTTGGGGACACCCTGTAGGTCTATATAATTTTAGAAAATACTTAACTTTAGCTCACAAAATTTCACTTCAATACAAACTTTTGTTCTTTCAAAAACCGCGTCGTGACAAGAGATAACGCGCCACCCTGTATAATTGGATTTCAATCAAAATGTCAATGATTAGAATATAAGCAGAATAGGTATAGCTTATGCATTAGATTCATTTATTTCAATAAATTTACTCAGAAAAAAAAATTAAAAAATCAAAAAATTAAAAAGGAAATAACTAAGAACTTGCTAAAATTACTAAAATAAAAAATTAAAAGCAACGAAAAAAAATTGGTAAACATTCTAGTATTTTATCTATAAAACACAATACAAAAGGTTTCACATTTTCACCTACCTTTTTTTCATTTAAAACATTTTTAAATAAATACTTTTAATGTTTCAGGATGGAACAATATATATTCTAGGAGGCTGTAGACCTTTCACAGTCAGCACTGCAGAAACTTACGATAGAATATGATTTTGATGTGAGGGAATATGTAATTAAAAAACAACTTATGTATTAACTCTTAGTCTATTTTTGGTTTTATTTGTTAAATTAATAAAAAAATAAAACAAATCTGTCTAGTTAATTAAATGAAAACTCATTTGATTCTAACAAATTAATCCTAAAATTACAAGTATTATAATATTATCACAAAAAACAGGAACGTAACTTAAAATTTGAGATCGAATAGGTACTACATGTATACAGGCCGGATATGTTTCTTTATAATCAGTTTCCTGCATATCGGGCACTTAGATCTAGGAGTACCAGTTAGCAGATCCGTACAATTTTTGCAAAATAAATGTCCACAATGCAGCACTCTAATCGGTTTGTATCGCAAATTTTCCAAACAAACTGCACACTCCAGAAAGTACTCCGAGCTTTCTGGAGCTTTCTCTTTCTAAATGCAATAATAATTACTAAAGTGCCAAAAAATTAGTATAAAAATGACTTACGTTTTCATCGGAATGTTTTTCAGGCTGATTTTGTAAAGAGTCACGACTGAGATCTACATAAGCTATTGGTTTTTGATTCGAGCTTATTGCTGTGTTTTTAGTTTCGTTTGGGCATTGTACAGGAGGCCCAAGTATAAGGACGTCATCGTCACCTTCTCTTATCCTAAAATATCAATAAAAACAGTTTATACAGCCTTAGAACAGAATCACCCAACTCAAGTGAGATAGGACAGTATTTTTTATTAAATAATAAACACTCCACTTACTGGTCGACAAACACTACAGATTCATCCATATTCTAGTAATAACTGACAATAATTTCAAGTTTTATTTTGTTCTATGTTTAAAAATCACTTAAAATTCAGAAAGAAAGCAAAATTGCCTTACAAATGTTGAGATTGAGAAAACTTTTTCTCTAGTGTCAAAAACGTCAAAACAAAACACCCTAGCAGAAGGGTACAAACTTATAATGTTTAATTTTTTGTAGTAATTTTTAGTAAAAACACTAATTTTTAAATTCAAATTTACTAATTAGCAGTTATTATTTTTGAAAAAATTGCTTGCAATCTAGCGTAGATATTTTTAAGTAACATTTTAGGCGCCATCTGTTTGATAGTAGTAGTAGCTTTACGCTAAATAAAATCCAGGTTTCTATTTATGTTACAGTGACAGTAGAGTTTATGTATTTTAACCTCAAATTTACTCAAATTAAATGCAAAATTTTTATTTGTTTTTTTTTGCAAATAATTTACTAGTAACGCATGTTATTTTACATATATTTAATTAGAATTGTTGATTAGTGTCAATGAATTCAACTACAACGAAGAAAACAACATCGGGAACGAAGGAAGGACCAATCCGTTGTATATTTTTTTGTGAATTTCATCACACAGCAGGACCGATTATTTCATGCCAGGTTGTATAAGTATAAATCCACCTTTATAATATTCTGTACTAATTTATACACTCCCCAGATCCCGGAGAATTATATATCTAAAGAACTCTTCGATAGTATAAGTGTGTATATTATTACAAAAGCTGAACTACAGAAGAGTACAATAACAATGTATGTTGGTTGTTTTTTTCAGTTTTATGCTTAATAATTCCGGTTATTTTGTAGAACTTTAGAGGATTACAAAGTTCTGGGATTCCCAGTGAAAATAGATAACAAAAATTATGCCAGGAACGCGTTTTATTTCAATTTATGTTTTGTCTGTGATAGTGACGCCCGAACTGTGCAATACGAGTCAGTCGTAATGAAATTCTCCGAATATTTAACGTCTATGGAGGTGGAAAGCTCGTTTTTATCTAGCGGGAAATCTAACGCCAAGCTGTCACCAATTTTGAGAAAAGTTTTGGAAGATTTAAACACTAGAGGTACGTGATAATCAGTTTTTACTTTGCATAGGTGTATAATATATATTATAGGGGAATGTGCCCTTACTGAAGGTCCAATAGCGACGCATTTAAAAGTGTGCCAGATAAGAAGCGATCCAGATGCGGTTTTAGACCACCAAGTACCAGTTTTTGTCAAAGAATTGCCTCCGCATCAGTGGGATTTAACCACACAACAAGTCACACCATACATTGATGGATTTAATCATATTGCCAGGATAGCAGCGTTGTCAGATGTGGATAATAATCTGGTGAAGGCTTGTGTACAGAATTTGGTTTATTATGGAGTAGTGTCTCTGGTTCCCTTGTTTCAGTATGGCAATATTTACTCTACCACTCCTAAATTGAGATCTTTGGCGCACGACACTGACTTACAGGTAAGTAATCAAGGTAGCCAGATAAATTTTTTCAAATTCCTTACATTACTGCTTGAAAATGTCTTAGAATTTTCAAACTTATAACAACAGTGCATAGTTGTTAGTTACAACTTTTGTTTATATTTCTAATAATATTAGATTACCGTTCTTTTAATTACATATTATGTAGCAAAATAAAACACTAAAACACCACAATACACCAAAACACTTTTACTTTTACACTGGACGCGCGTTTCGCTAACCATGTTAGCATCATCAGCAGATGACGCTAACATGGCTTATTTAGCTTCACTAAAATACAATCTACAATTGGAGCGTTTATATACTCTCGCTCAGTGGGTACAGAGTGGGCATGGCAAGATCTAGCCAACCGTGTAAGAACCCACCGAGCGTAACAGTTAGATTTCCGCCACTAGAGTAGTAGGAACAAAGAACTTGAAGGAATTGGACCGTTGTCTCTGTTCATACTATCTTTACATTTATTAATTCTGATGCTTTCATATGCATCTAATTGCCTGTATTATATCTATGCAGCCAAGCAGCAGAATAAAAAAACAATGCTCACTACCACTAGCAAATAAAACCATATAAATTATATATCAACCTCAATGTTACAAAACCATATAAATTATATATCACTGTAATCACAAAACGTCAATCTATTTCCGTATTGTAACGGAATTTTAAATTGTCTTTATTTTCGAGAAAATTTAGTCCAAATATAAGGAATATTTTGTTAATGTTTGACCATCAAAATTTTAAAAACAAAGATATTGTTTAAAAATGTGCTACAATACGGATTAAGTATAATCCTTTATCTTTAATTTCCTTCTTCATTTGAGTAAAAATACCTAGCAGTTTTACATAAAACGTTAAATACCGAACGCTTATTTTGCTGCTTTTTCGGACTAGTGCAATGGACTATTCAGCTGTTCCAGTGGACCAGTTATGACTGGCAAAGTAGGGAACTAGGAAACCGTAAGAAATATTCAAATTTTGATACTGCAGTCTCGGGTTCATTTTTTGAAAAAAATACAATGGCGCAAACGGATCGTGGCTATCTTGATCGGTTTCGAAGCTTCAGTGGGATTCTCTAATTTTGTACTTTATCAAGATGTTCGATAGTTTGTTTATTTCACCAACCACGAAAAAATGAATTATACATTCTAAAGGCACTTTTCTGTGTAGAATGCAGTAGCGTAGTCAGACTTTTTTCGAAAAAATTATTTATTTTTTGAGATATTAACTATATTTATGTTTTTTTTTAAATAGAACCCACTGTATATTTTTAAATTTTCTTATTCAGCTTAGCATGAGCTTCTCGAAAATATATAATACTCTATATTTATTTTCACTATTAACCTCAACATTTGAAATTTTTCTTAAAATATCCACTTAGTAGATAGTAGGCCGCGCCGAGGAACAAAGTAAACGGTTGTCATGGTGATCGGAACATACCTTTGATGGATGCGGGACATTTCATTTCAACAGATTGAAGTGTGTGTATTTTAAATAATACAAATTAGTAAATTTGAAAATTTTGAGGAATATAATATGTTAGAATGTTATATTGAGTCTAATAGACATAAGCAAATGGCAGCTGATTTATATTTTGAGCGGTATCCAGAGCGCGAGCAACCAAACCCAGCCATTTTTAAAAGGTTAGAAGATAGTTTAATCAATTTTGAATCTTTTCAAAAATCGCGTCCAAAAAAATTATATATAATATAATAATATATTGATTGTATTCATCTTCTTTCTGATAATTTTTCGGACGCGGTTTTTGAAAAGATCCAAAATTGATTAAACTATCTTCTAACCTTTTAAAAATGGCTGGGTTTGGTTGCTCGCGCTCTGTTTTTATCAAATTAAAAAAATATATATTCTTTTTATCAGTGGGCAGTTTTATTTTTGTTAATGAAGATCAATCTAAATTAAAAAAACTTGGGAATTTTGTTTAAGTACAAATCTAAAACATGTACTAGGATGTATTTCAGGAAAATATTTTAACTTCTATAGGATGACTCAAAAAAGTGTGAGTGCACCGGAATGACCCTGTATATTATTGCATTTTTTCTTTCTTATCACTTTACATAATTCTAAAACAAAAAATGTTCATTTTTTAATTCTCCATTTATTAAATAAATAACATACAGGCTGTTCCATTTAAAACTTGTTGAAAGTTAAAATTATATATAATATAATAATATATTGATTGTATTCATCTTCTTTCTGATAATTTTTCGGACGCGGTTTTTGAAAAGATCCAAAATTGATTAAACTATCTTCTAACCTTTTAAAAATGGCTGGGTTTGGTTGCTCGCGCTCTGGATACCGCTCAAAATATAAATCAGCTGCCATTTGCTTATGTTTGTTAGATTCAATATAACATTCTAACATATTATATTTCTCAAAATTTTCAAATTTACTAATTTGTATTATTTAAAATACATACACTTCAATCTGTTAAAATGAAATGTCCCGCATCCATCAAAGGCATGTTCCGATCACCATGATAACCGTTTACTTTGTTACTCGGCGTGGCCTACTATCTGCTAAGTGGATATTTAAGAAAAAATTGAAATGTTGAGGTTAATAGTGAAAATAAATATAGAGTGTTATATATTTTCGAGAAGCCCATGCCAAGCTGAATAAGAAAATTTAAAAATATACAGGGGCTTCTATTTAAAATAAAACATAAGTATAGTTAATATCTCAAAAAATATTTTTTTCGAAAAAAGTCTGACTACGCCACTGCATTATACACAGAAAAGTGCCTTTAGAATGTATAATTCATTTTTCCGTGGTTGCTGAAATAAACAAACTATCGAACATCTTCAAAAAGTACTAAATTTGAGAATCCCCCTGTAGCTTCGAAACTGATCAAGATAGCCACGATCCGTTTGCGCCATTGTAATTTTTTCAAAAAAAGAACCCGAGACTGCTGTATCAAAATTTGAATATTTCTCACGGTTTCCTAGATACCCTATAGAAACAACCAAAATGGTCCACCCTGTACTACTGTATAATTCTTGGTTTCTGAATTACAGAAACGATGCCTTCAAGAGGTGGCGCGCTCTCATAGACAAAATCCGAACTTGAGAGACGTATTTCGCACATATTCTGCCATGACCCGAGGTACAACCATCAAAGACCTCTGTACCCGTTTCAACATGACCAATCTAAAGATCAACGAGCGAAAACTGGTTCAATTCGGTATGCTGGAAGGTCTGATCAGGCGGGTACACAAATATCCCATTGTATTAGGGGAATCGGCAGGATTGCAAAAAGTCTTTACAGGCAATTTCAACGTTGACGAAATATGCTGCGCTACGGGGGTGACGTCACAACAGTTGGAGGAAAAATTGGAGAGAGATCAAAATGTAATTCTACTGTGGAAATAAAATACCATAAGACTGAAAAAAAGGCGTCAAGGACGGCTGGGGAATGACAATCGATGTTAATTTTGGCGAGGTCAATCTATAGACATCTAAATTTAGACAATTCAAACTTGTAAAAATTAAAAGTAATTATAGAGAGCTTAAAGCTTGATTTTCATGCGTTCGTTATCCGTTGATACGATGGTCCGACGGCGCTCTGATTGGTCATAGCGTTTTCCCAGCCGACTTTGACGCCGGTTTTTTTTCGATTATACGGTATTTTAGCATTTTGTTATTGTTAAAATTAATTCAATTGTACATCAGTTGCACTTTTTATTATTAATTCTATTTATTTGAATTATATAGGTACTTTTTATTACCTAATTTTATTGAATATCAAATATATTTATTTATACTATTTTTTATCAAATTAAAAAAATATATATTCTTTTTATCAGTGGGTAGTTTTATTTTTGTTAATGAAGATCAATCTATGAATAAAAAGATAAGGCTTAATATGGCCGACCTAAATTAAAAAAACTTGGGAATTTTGTTTAAGTACAAACCTAAAACATGTACTAGGATGTATTTCAGGAAAATATTTTAACTTCTGTAGGATGACTCAAAAAAGTGTGAGTGCATCGGAATGACCCTGTATATTATTGCATTTTTTCTTTCTCATCACTTTACATAATCCTAAGACAAAAAATGTTCATTTTTTAATTCTCCATCTATTAAATAAATAACATACAGGCTAAAACATCGAAGAAAAATTATTTTATATTTTTTAGAAAGTTTGCCGTAGAATTTTGAACATCCTGTGTGATTTACGATTACCATATTTATATAAAAGTAAGTACAGACTGTCTAAAATAAATACCTGATATAGTTCTTGTATTTTTAATATTTTTTTAAGAAACGTTGAAAAATATATATTTTTTATTTATTTATTAATATCTCTGAAACCATCGAAATATATTTACTCATATTTTAGGATTATATAAAGTGATCTGAAAGAAAGCCAAAAATGCAATAATATACAGGGTGTTCCATTTAAAAAATATCATCTCGATCCACTCACACTTTTTTGAGCCACCTTATAGAAGTCATTTTCCTGAAATACATCCTAATTCCTATTCCCAAATTTTTTATTCTAGAAGCTACAGATGCCCGACGCACTATTTCTGGACCCTGTATAATGTACAGGGGGACTCAATAATTTGCTGTTTTTTTACGTGAAGGCAATTAATGTTGTTACAAAAAATATATTTTTAGTAAAAATAGATAAGATATAATAAGAAGTATCTAGTAACAAAAATACCAGGTAAGGTACTAAAACACCCAAGTCAAATTCAAAACGCAAATGCAAAAGAAAATTTATAATAGGTTAAATAAATAAATAAATGCCTTTATTGTCAAAAAAATTTTCAATTTGTAGACAAAGGTGAACTAACAAACAAAGTAAAAAAACAAGGTTTGACACAAAACACAAACACAAGGTTTGACACAAACAAACAAACAAAACATTATACAAATAATATTGTCAGTCTTATTGTTTAAAATAAACATTTATAAATGTTTATAATGTCAAAGAACAAAAAAATAAAAATAATATTCAAAAATATTTAGTTAGTTTATAGTAAAATATCAATGACCTCTAAATAAATTTATTTCGATGTCATTAGTAAATATAGCAATAGCAAACATTAGACCAGTGTTTACAAGATCAATTTCGATTTTCAAAATATAATTCATTTACGGCGTAGAAAGCCTTGCCTAGTAAATAAGAGTTCAATGCTTTGCGAAATGAAAAAAATGATGTTATGGATTTGATTCCAAATGGCAGGCGATTGTGCATTTTTTCCGAGTTGTATAATATTGAACTTTTAACTAACTCTGAGCGTGGGGTAGGTAGATAAAGATCTTGCTCCGCGTTCCTGAGTGGATAAGTGCGAGATGGCCTTTCTTGAGAAGCTGATACATGTTTACGTATTAGGCAAACGGATTCAAATATAAATAAGGAAGGAAGAGTCAATATTTTTAATTCTTTAAAAAAGTCCCGGCAATGAGTTCTGCTGTTCAGTCCCAGTCAATATCGAACAGTTCTCTTCTGGAACTTGAAAATGCGGTCAAATTGAGTCGCACAACACGTACCCCAGAATGGAAGGGCATACCTGAGGTGCGACTCAAAAAGTGCATAATAAACAGTTCTAGCCACTGACAAGTTAAGCTCCTTAGAAACAGACCTTAATGCAAAACAGACAGAGCTCAATTTTTTCGACAAAGCTTCGATATGTATGTCCCATTTCAGAGAATTGTCCATAACAAGCCCTAAGAATTTTACAGATTTTACGACGTCAATGGTGGTGTTGTTAAGTACAAAAGGCTGCAACGAGTTTTTATACGACAAAGCTTTAGTTTTAGAAATGTTGAGAATCAGGAGGTTCGAATCGCACCAAGATTTGATGGTGATTAAGTCATTTGATATAATCCTATGTGCCGTGATGTCCTTGTTGCTCCAAGTGAAGCTAGTGTCGTCCGCAAAAAGACATATTTTGCCACTGATGTTTATGTTAGCAATGTCGTTAATAAAAAGAAGAAACAAAATAGGGCCTAGTACTGAACCTTGTGGTACTCCACATTCTATTGGCTTGCTAGAAGACAACGTGGTATTATTATTTCTAAGTGAAATTCATAAATTATTGTTTATTCTCTTGATTGACTTATTCTTTTATCTGTCTATTTTTGTTTTTTGTGTTGAGTAATTTATATTTAGATATCCGGAAAAGGTCCAATCAAATATACTCTTATTTTAGCAAAATAAAACACTATAACCATGAAACGTCAAACAGAACTCAAATGGAGATCCTATTATATTCCTTCCTTAATCATTTGATTCAAAGTTCCTGTCTAATATGTGAGTAATTAAAAAAACTGCAGTTCATTTTCTTAGTTTCGCCTTATATTGGTCAAAAGTTCTACAGATCTAATCTCTATCCTAAATGTCTAATAACTTTTTAGTGTCCGCTAGGCGGCGTTTCCTCTTCCTCGTCATAATCGAAGGCTTGTCTCTCTGACGACGATAATATAAAAAAAATGATCGAAGTGCCAACGGCGACGCCTAGGTTCACCCAAAACACTAGCTGCCATTCGCTTATTTTTCTCTAAAAAATATTGGATGAATCATTAAAAAAATAGTTAATAGTTAAATCACAGATTAGGAATCCTATAATTATACAGATATCCTATCCTATAAGTATACAGATAAAAATCTTGTCCCTAATTCGTGGTACGAAAATTGTTTTTTATGACGATGTGCAAACGAGTAGAATTTCCTGTGCGCAAAAATAAACTGGTGTAAAATAACAATAAACATCGTAATAGAGAGATATCGCTAAACCGATTAGCGTGCATGGACGTTAATAAGGCCAGGTGTTATTTCCTTTACGTGAGGTGGTGTTAACCAAAGATATTACAACCAAACCAAACCGCGTAATATCTTTGGTATTAACTCTCTTCATTTATAGTTATCGGATTGGAAAGAATTCTGTTCGCGTCGCGTCCGCTATTTAAACTTAACCTAACTTTGAATTTAAAACTTTGAAATTGTTTTGTTTACTAGGTATTTTAAAACTAAAGGGCTAAAGTGCTTATTTCCAGTGCTTTATTGTTCAACGTCTGCTAGTGGGTTTAGGGCAACAAGCAATAAATTCTCTTAGAAGGAGGAAGTCGTCATCTGCTGTAAACCTAAGCCTCTTTATAGCTTCTTTAACATTGGAAGAGGTGGAATCCATATTTTGGGCCATATTTATTTAATTAAAACTAATCCCAGCTACTTAAATATCAAATTACCTAATAAAACTAAAGTAATAATTCAAAACAATTCAAACATAACCTAAAATAAAAGATCTCACCGGCCGGCCCCGGTTGTCAAATACCCGCACATGCCCATTTAAGCAATTTTTAAACGTTATTTAGAAATAGCGCTTGGTGTAATTGATCCGCAAATTACGTCAGGCGGTAACGTTATTAGCAGGTGTTACGTGAAAAATTGAATAAAATTGTAACCATGATAAGGTACGCGTAAATACTGCATGACGCTATTCGGTTTTCCGATATCTCTCTAATAACTGTGCCGGTCAGGCGCTGTGCACAATTTTAGAGGCCATAAGTGGGCGTGCTATGTGCGCAAACTAGTAACTTAACTAGTGCCCGATTCCGAAAATTGGAACCTTGAAAAACAACAAAGAAAAAAACAAAGTTTATAATCTGTATAATCTGTGGTTAAATAGTCGAAACTCATAAATTTATCTGTGAACACCTTGTAGAACCTATGGTAGAATGTAGAATGAGTGGGAGGGGGCTACTTACGTTTTTGGTTACGGCTCCTATGAAGGCGTTGCCACCAATGGCGCACAAACATCCGACAAAGTTGCAAACGCCGAACAAGATGCCTCCGTAGTTTCTCGACAGCTCGTTGGTGTTGATGTTGATCGTCATGTAGTAGAAGGACTTTATCGCCATGGCCATGATGTAGAAGGCGATGGTCCATGCTCTGGAACAGCCCACGTGCACCGCGCTTGCCATCAGTAACGCCGATCCCACATTTGCTAAATATAGTCAAATGAATTAAATGAATTCAATTTTTGTATCTCTCCAAAATGATCAAAAGACGTATTAAGGTTGATTCACACTATACCTTCCGTATCAGCATACAGGGTGTCATTGAAATGGTGTAAAAAAAATTTCATGATTTTTAAAACATCTTATTGCTTTAAAAACGAAATAAACCAATTACCAAAATCCCTTATTAAAATAATGTCTTCCTTAATTCATTCATAGTAAATGTTTAAGGTGACCACCATTCATTTCAATGCAGACATCTGCTCCAAGATCTGCGTACCTTGTGGAATATCCTTGGTTTTGTCCAAATTTGATTGGAACAGTCAATAATGCTTTGCCGTAGTTGCTCTTCAGTATTAATCGGCACTGAGTAAACCAAAGCTTACAAGTGGCCCCAGAAGTAGAAATCTAGTGGATTATTTCGTTTTTTAAAGCAATAAGATGTTTTAAAAATCATGAAATTTTGATTTTTCAATTAATTATTTGATAACTACTTGGTTACTTTTGAACCGCCATAACTTTCATAAGTTTATGTTGATTAAACAGTTAGCAACCCATCAGAGCAAACTCTTTAACCTTCAATTTTCTCGAAAACCATCGCTCTGGGCGATGTACAACAAGAGTACCTTTTTTGTAGGAAAACGAATGTAGTTTTCAAAAAATGAACCCACGTTGCAAAAAAAATAACCTCAAAAAAGTTATTCACGAAAGAACCCCCTACCCTTGCAAAAACTACCCTTTCCGCTTTTTTAAATAGTTTTTCAGTATCACCATTTAATTTAGGGTCAAAATTTATGGCAGAGCATTTTTTTTCGAAAATTTATCTCGTTTTTTAAGCCTGCAATTTCAAAACAACCGTTTTTTAAATTCACCCTTTCTGTGCCCCTAACTCCCTTAATATGCATTTTCCGCCCTATACTTATAGGAACTTTTTTTACTATTTTTAGGAGTACTATCACCCCCTGATTTTACTTTTTTTTTACACCATTTCAATGACACCCTGTATATCTTTTGATATGATCTCCTGAACAGAGTGCGGACCGTCTGCCTGCCGGTTGATGTTGCGTTCATTACTGCGCATATCTATATTCAATATCTGTTTATTACTGCGCATCACAAATTTGCCCTGTATTTCAGGAACTAAGGAGGCTAGGACAAACCTATGTGTAGCATATTTAGTTTCATAAAACAGTAGCAAAGTAATGTGAAAATGGCATCATTGTATCTCTACTCATAAACGAGTCCCATAAAACACACGAAAATAGGTGCCTGTACAGATGTGATGCGCAGTAGTAGCGAACCGCAGTAGTCTACCGGCCAGACGGCCCGCACTTTGATCAGGAGAGCATAACAAAAGATATATTACAGAACCAGCTTTCTTAAAATTTTCGGTTTCCCCACGTGGCTAGCTGTTGTATTATATTTTTATTAAGGTTAGATTAAATTTGTCAAAAAAGTGTCAAGACGTCTGTTATCCTACGATCCAGAGAGAACACTAATAACTAAAGTGAGAGAGACCGATCAACGTTAATTTTTGAAGACTGTGTTAGGGTGCAGCCACACTATCCTAAAAACGGCGTATTGGCGTAACGGCGTAACGACCTTGAATCGATTTCCAGTAATTCTATTGGCTGAAATTTTTGACAGATGAATTTGACAGATAAAATTTCTGACAGATGAATGTTTCAGCCAATAGAATTACTGGAAATCCATTCAAGGTCAATACGCCGTTGAGCCGATACGCCGTTTTTAGGATAGTGTGGCTGCACCCTTAGTGGCGCGGCCTTTGGCGTCTAACCCGAACTATGAGCGCATTATCGATATAGTAGGTTGCATTCATACCTATATACAGGCGCCAAAAATTCAAAATTTGTATATTTGAACCGAATCTTAATCTTTCAAGTTTATAATAAGAAATCTTCGTAGTTTTTTTAGATTATTTTGTTGACAACGAAAATTTATTATTAGACTTTAAAGCATTTAAACCTATAAATAAAATACTGTGTAGGAACATAATAATTTATTTAACTCCATACTTCTTGCCATACTCGAACTCAAGGCTGCAATCTTGAGTATCTTTTTTATCTAACTTGGTTGGGAGTGAACAGGGAAGCACGGTTGGGAGCTTGCACAGAGTATCAGTGTACCTATCAGTATCAATCCCGTAGGCATTCAATGTTTTTGATAGTCTTTATTCTATCACAAGAACCTAGTAGTTGAACAAAATAATTTGTATTACTGGAAATAATGCCAGGTATAATACCTAGTCGTTCCATAGATATCAGAAAAGAATGTGATGTTTTAAATTAAAAAAATTAAATTAGCAATGTACGATTATGTGCACTCACTATTACTATTAGGTATGTTAAAATAATTACCGAGATAAAACTTACCTTTAAAGGAAACGTTTTGTCTGGGTCTCAACCACAAAACAAAAATTACAAAAATGCCGAATAATCCTGGAATCTGAAATAATCAATAATGACAATAATCTTCTCTTCTGACAAGCTAAAAGAACAGGCACATTCAGTCAAAAACACTTTATTACTCCAATTTGCTCCGATTATCAACAAATTTTAGTTATCTCCTTCTAGAACTAAGAAGTAGAAAAAGCTACTGACAATCTAATTAATCCTGTCAAATGTTTAACTTGCAAAGTTGAAAACTTTTTTTTGACCGCCTAAACGCTATGCGCGTCTGGTATGCGCGGTGACAAAATAAACTTGTCTAAGAAATGCCCTATTCCACAAGCCCTCTCACTTTAGTTATTAGTTTTTCTCTGGTCCAATCTACCGACATACCAAATTCCATTTAAATCGGACGCCCAAATTCCATTAAACGGTTTCGTAGAGCACGAAACGTCGTCAAAATAGCTACACAGCTCACATAGTGCCCGAAGTTCAGTCAACTTGCTTGCTTGCGAGCCGAAAGATCTTGAGAAACACGACAAACAGGAAGCGCAAGCGACGCAAGCACAATCAGAAGCAAGAGCGCGAGCGGGATCACGAGCAATGTGGATGCACCTTTATAGTTGCGGCTTTTACACTTGAAAGCTGATAAAGTTTGTACAAAGTTCACTACACACAACATACTATTAAAAAACGCTAAAATTGTTACGTGTCCTTGTATTCTTTAGTCATTTTTTCTACCACAATTTTCGGAGATAAGAAAAAAAAATTCTTACAAACCAATCCGAAGATTCTGGTGAACATCAGCGGATTCATACACCTCATAGAATGCACTATGTAGTTCCCCGTGATGCTCAGCGTGATGGCGCTGAGCCACAGGGCCATGAAGGGCGCCGAACTGTAGAGACCGTTCTGGGTGATGTCGAACTGGAGGATCTCCTTCATGTAGGTGGGTAAGTAGGTGAACAGCGTGTGGAAGATGTAGTTGTGACCCGTGTGGCCCGAAAGGTTGGCCCAAAACGGAATGTTGGTGAAGATCTTCCTCCATGGGGTCTTCAGTTTTCGCTTGGGCACTGAAAAACAAATAGAAGTACGATTTAAAGCAATAGTATTTTCTTAGTTTAATCACTTTCTTGAGTTATAACTCATCATACGGTCTCAGGACTTTGACGAACGTCAGTATTTGAGACGGGGTTACAACAGAACTAAAACTCTAGGAGCGCGACGGCTGGAGCGAACACGTCCCGATCGACATATCAGTTCCAGATACTACTGTTGGCGACCGACGAAATCGCGACGGCTGGAGCTAAACACATCGCTATGCGGTTACTACTGTTCGAGCTAACTTCAAGTGCGATTATGAATAATTTATTTGCAAATTATAAATAATTTATCATTTTGTCGTCATTATGATCGTTGTTCTTCAGTAACAGGTTCCTGATTCGTTGTGGAGCGCGACACGACGTTACAAAAAAATACCGCTCCAAAGTCGCGTTACTCAAATACCGACACATCACTGCTACTTACCTAGAAATTTATTGAGGTAGTCCAATTCCTCCGTTGACAAATTGGGATGATGGGCGGGAAACGAGTACACGTAGAGCAGGTGCAAAACGCAGTAGCCGGAGGCTATACCGCTCCAGATGTAGAAAGCCATGGGCCAGCTATCCGTAAGATCGATGATGAGGCCGGTGAAGACGTTGCTGGATATGATGCCCAGGTTCGTGCCGCAGTACACCATTCCGCCGAGCAGGATACGCTCGAACGGCGGTATCCAGGTGCTGACGAAGGAAGCCACTACCGGTAACATGGGTCCCTGTAATGTACTGGACAATTAATTATTTCGATGCTTTCAACCGTCGATTAAATAATTAATTAATATAATAATAGTTGCCTTATGCATTTATACATTCCGTACATGTATACGGCACCTAGCACAATCCCATTGGTCAGATTTGAATTTTAAACCAATTAAACTCCGAGTGCCATACGCGAGTATGGAATGTAAAGGTGCGTATACATATGGCGGGCACGACGCGAGCCGAGCGCGCCGTGTGGTGCTCCCCATACAGCACGTCCAAATGAAATTACGTTTCTACAAGGGAGACACATGAGGAACAAAATATGTTAAAGTGAACCTAAGTGTTCATCTAGTTCTAACATATACATATGAGATACACGCAGGTTTATATTGATAGAATTGTGTGATACAGTGTTTACTAGTTGTATACCGTATGTACTCAAGATTCTAAAGGGTTTTTTTGTAACGTAACAAATAATTATTAAAATGATGAAATCTGACGTCGGTATATGAGACATACAACGTATAAGTCATATGTATGTGTGATACTTCGTATCATAGTTGTGCCTATAGTACACACCTTGTAAAAATGTGACGTATACACATAATATAAATATCTATATAGACACTTTGTAACAGTGTACTGTTGTGTCTACATTCTAGCATGAAATGAAGGTGTGCGCACGCGCGGATAGCCTCAGCGTAGATACACCGACCAAGTGTATATTATGTGTCCTCTCTCCTTTCTCCTTTCTAGCAGTGGTATGTGTTAGCAGCTATTATTGTTTTATCATTCGGAAGCTCTATATAAATGTTCTGTTTGTGTATAGTTTAAAAGAGATGTAAAGGTAAGCACAAGTTTGTAATTTACCTTGTTACACCTTCCTAATTGTATTATTAATATTATAGCAGCGACTCTTCCCTTACTCGATACCCAATTTACCAAATTTTGACTCCAATGAATGAAAAAACTCCAAATATTCTCGTATAATGATAAAGACGTTAGCTCTGCAATATATTTTTTTTAAATTTGGAAATAATAAAAATCTAAATGGACTAGAGACTTCAAAGAACTTCTTACACAGATATTCGGTAAGTTATTGATGGATCAATATACAGATATGTTTAATATTCAATAATCAGTTTCATATAAAATTTAAGGGTGAGATTGTTAATCTGGAAATAAAATACAACAAAGTCCAGCATAGTGCTCGATGAATGAGTATGCTAACAAACCAACTGCTTGGAAGGAAAATAGGAGAAAAAATGACTAAACGAAGTCCACCAAATCGTGGCGATATATACCAGTGTTTACTATTTTAGTATGTTGTTATACTAGGTACTTCTATTTTTAATACATTTTGATACAAATTCTGTTCTTTTACAGTGTTTTCTTACTTCTGGTTTCTGCAATGTAAATAATTATTATTATCGTGTTATTTGCGATATTGCGTTTCATGATATAAAGAAATATAAGAATTTTATTTTTTAACCACTTAATGCATTTTATGGAAGAAAAATTACATTTAATACAAAACAAAAATGGAACAATTTTAAGGCTACTTCTCTTGAACTTACGATCGAGATACTTTTGGAAAATACAAAGTTTTGCCTTCCTAATTTTCGTTCTAAAAAGATATAATTGGTGTCATTGAATAAATATTTCTTAAAAGGAACGAAAAGTTAGGCATCAAAACTTGTATTATTTCCTAAATTCGTTCATAAGAAGTATTTTTGTCTAGCACAAGATGTATATACGAAGCAAAATGCATACGAATACACGCGATAGTCACAGCTGCAATGTGTAAACAGAGTTTAAACGTAATACACAAGCACTGTGTATCCTACGGCACACTCTGTATCCCTTACTTTGTGTATACGTAAATGCTATACTGTGGCTACATTGTGAGGCGGACGTTTAACCTTTGTGCATACGTGTGTAAACGTAGCATACCTTGTGAACTACAATGTGTAAACGTAGCATATTTACATCGGGGGAATTGTGTCTACGTCTAATAATGTAAACACATCGTAAATGTGATTTGATGTGCTGTATGGGTCGTTGTTTGCCGCGAGCAGCAAGAACAGCGAGATCATAGTCCGAGCCAGCAACGATCCATATGAAATGTAAATGGCTCGCGAGCACGCAAGAAATATTCTTTTTTCAGTGTCAGTGCAGTTTTTGACGCGACTTGGTTCGGATGTCTTCTGAAGAGAAAAAGGCAGCTGCTTTAATGGTGTGTAGTGGGGCTGCTATGATTATAGCCCATTTACTAAAAAAAAAAGAAAACCGCGACGATGGTGGCATACCGCTTTATAGCCTCTTTTTTCATGTTTAAAAAAAATGTGAAAAACATTTTTTTTAATGGTTTTAGATAAAAATGGTGGGTTCCATTTTGAGAGAGACAGAGATAAATTAGTCCATCTAGTAAGATAAATAGAAAATAAATAATAGGTAGTTAGGGCAAAACAATATCGGCATATAGCAGTTAAGTAGGTCGGAATTATGAACTGGACACTTATCCTTACTTTTAATTGTGACAGGTATTAAAGTACGCCTCCGCTCAGGGTCAATGATTCAGGGATTATTTGCTGAGTCTGTGATTTATTATATATTTGTTTTCCTGACAATATAATACTTTAAAACATTTTAATTATTCTGTCACGAGTTATGGTTTTGTTAGTTGTTTAGATTGGTTATTATTTTATAAAGAAAGTAAACAAAAAAAAATCTTACACATGTTTATAGTAACTTTTTTATATTTTTTGATGAGCAATCAATAAGTACTTGTTTAAAACTTTCGCAAGTTAATGATATAATATTAAAAGATTTTAATGGTTGCTATTAGACTACTTGTATCAATGCAAATTAATAAAATTTCGTTTATCTCATCAAGGAGGGAAGGAGGCCGAAATAGACTACTGTTGGCGACCGACGAATTCGCGACGCGACGGCTGGAGCTAAACACCTCGCTATGCGGTTACTACTGTTCGAGCTAACTTCAAGTGCGATTATAAATAATTTATTTGCAAATTATAAATAATTTATAATTTTGTCGTCATTATGATCCTCGTTCTTCAGTAACAGGTTCCTGACACGACGTTACAAAAAAATACCGCTCCAAAATCGCGTTACTCAAATACCGACACATCACTAGAATGAACCTTACCTCTCTGTCGTGCTGGTTATAGCTTTCAAACTCGGGGCACGCTACTTCCGACGTATTTTTCACTTCCGGGGGAGCCACCATCTCTACTATGGCGACGTTCAGTACTCCTCTCAAGTTGTAGCAGTTCAGTAGCATCACATGAAGCATAATAGCAAGTATCACCCGTTGCGGTATTCTGCAGCCTATGAACAAAAACAATACCAATAATGCCTATATCTTTATAACAAGTTTAGTTAACAACAGAATACTCGTATTAAGCTGCGTCCACATTGTTCGCGAGCAGACCGAACGAACGTGTGAAACACGAAAAACATGACAAACAGACGGAACGCTCGCGACGCTCGCGATTCTCCACGTGTTTGCGATCTCATAATATGCCTGTTTCGACTGTTCGGCTCTGATCGCACTAGCAGCCGCTATTAAAAATACTTCGGTATAATCCATGTCCGAACAGCACGAACGCAAGCACTATATTACAAAGTACTCCTGTTGCTTGCGAGCCGAAAGATCTTGAGAAACACGACAAACAGGGAAGCGCATGCTACGCAAGCACCATCAGAAGCAACAGCGCGAGCAGGATCACGAGCAATGTGGACGCACCTTTATAGTAGCTACACACGATATTTTCATGGTATAATATCTATAAAATATTTTTTTTTTGGTGCACTCTAACTGTATTGTCCACAAAATGGTGTTCGAAAAAGCATTGTGATAACTGTGCATACTTGCCTGTGAACCGTACATATTATAAAACAAAACAAACTTGTTCTAAAGTGTTATTTGTGTTCTTTTACAACACTTGAAATAAATATTAGTTAGGGCCTTAGTGCCTCTAGTGCATTTTTGAAGTATTTAAATATTAGATAAACTTACAGCCATAGTTGCATGCTAATATACTACAATTAACCATTATCCAAACTTCATCTATACCATTATAATAAACAACGAACTATAATTTCTTTTTTAATTTCATTATGAATCAATGTCAGTGTCATGTCAGTGTCATAAAAATTCTTGTCATCAAGTATCTGAACTCCGCGACGTTGTTTACCATTTATTTTTTTCCTAAAGTATATTAATAGTGGCTGGTTGAAAAGGGTAGGAACGTATGGCCCAGACAACATTTTCGGTAGATAGTACACCTATTACATAATTATGAAGAAAAACATTTCTTATATACAAAAAATTGATAACTTTGTTTATAGTTTTGACCACAAAGCATTAATTTAACCTAGACATGGTGTGGCATTTAATTTTGGCCATCATCATTTTCAGCTTATTCAGCCATTTCCAATTATGGTGTAGCCTCCCTTTTGTCCCTAACAAGGGGCCGTCCTCTGCCGGAAACACTGCGACCTGTGAGGCCTATTGTGTTTGTTCCCTTTCTATATCTACACCCATTCTCCTATCCCTGTGCCCTGCACTAGCTTATGCAGGTCCCTGATAGGATGGGAGCATAGTTCCTCCGGTTCTAACCTAGTTTTCCCAAATAAAAAGTATCGCTTGCGATCCAGAGCCTGGCAATGACATATTATGTGCTCCGCTCTTTCAGGATCTTTATCGCAGAGTCTGCAGCAAAGACTTCCTTGATACTTCCTTGATTGGTTGAGCTTGTTCAGGTAACACTTGACAGCCATGTGTCCTCTCAAGAGGCCTGTTGTAATCCGCACTTTATTCCTGCGAAGCATTAGCAGTTCTTTTGCGGTTTTAGAGCTAGGCCCTTGGATATTTCCAGTATTGTGTTATTTACTAGAATGTCTTTTCTTTCCATTAATTCATTGTACATTACTTTAGTTTTTGCTAAATTCATTTTGAAACCCATTTTATTACTGCCTGTATATAGTTCATTAATTTGTGCTTGTAATTCTTCAGGTCTATCAGCGAATCTAAGATGTTTAAGATATGTGGGGTACTTGCTGCGCGATAAAATTTGATCGTATTTTCAAACTTCAAAAGAGAGCAGTTCGATACTTATTGGGACTAAACAGTAGAACTCACTGCCAGAATTTCTTTAAAAATTTCAAAATACTGACTCCTCCTTCCTTATTCATTTTTGAATCCGTTTGCTTAATCCGCAAGCACATATTCTCTATTTTTTAGTCTCTATTTTTATTATTCTCTATTTCTCAGGAAAGGCCTTCTCACAACTATCCACTTAGGAATGCGGAGCACGATATTTATCTGCCAACCCCGAGCTCAGAACTAGTTAAGGGCTCAATACTGTATAATGCCAAGAAAATGTACAATCATTTGCCTTCGAATATCAAGTCACTTTCATTCTTTCCCGCATTTCGCAAAGCTCTGAAATCATACTTACTGGAGAGAGGGTACTATATGCGGTAAACGACTTTTTTGTTGATGTTTAATCATGAACAATTTAGAATTTTAATTTTAATATTTTGATCATCTCACACACTGGTTAAAGGTCTAGTATTTAATATTTTATAACTCTTGATTTTATGTTATTATAACATGATTTTATCAATTTACAGTTTTCCTTTTGTAAAATTTTCTAGATACATCTGTGTTCTGCAATGTCCATATATGTTTTATTTGTAATTTTATGACGTAATTTTTTTTTTAATTGATTTGTATTGTATGACATTTTTTGTATTATTTGTTTTGTGCTTTTTTTGTTTTGCTTTGTCGATGAAGCTGTTTTGGCTTTTTGCACAATAAAGCGTTGTTTTCTTTTTTTTTATGTATGTATATGATATTAGTATTTATTGTTAATATTTTGTCTGCAAAGACATTAAATAAAACAACTATATTAGTAGAACTAAAAATATATTTTCTGACTCTTCTATTTCGCCGTTGAAGCTCCAGGCTCTTCGCGGGCCTCCCCTTCCCAGTAGTCCCACTCCTGCCTGTCAGCTTTGGCAAAAAACAAATAGACAAGCGACGTAGCTACGGCTATAACCATCATAATCCAGAATACCACGCGCCATTGCTGCAGCGTTCCCTAAAATAAGAAGGAAAAATATGCTTAGTCTTCGTCCATTATTAAAGGTACGTCCAGACCTGACGAGACGAGTGCGAGACAAGTGTGTACGGGTCTCGCGAGAGCCTTGCGAGACAACCCACGGAGCCTCGTTGTTATCCGTCCTCTGTCGGTTTTGCGACGGCCGATCAAAGAAAGCTCGCGGCACAGTCTGGACGTGTTTTTGGTTGGCTCGTTCGACTGCGAGATATTAGACTATTCAAAATTAAATAATCTCAAATTTTTTAAACGGTACACCGCAATGACTAAAGAATATAAGGACATGAAACGCCCCTCGGGCTGCAGCAGAATTTGTGACCTTTTTTTTCGTTTTGGTGGCAAACCATGAGTCATTATTTGGTCACCAGCGACAATTTTAGCGATTTTTAATAGTTTGTGGGTAGTAAACTTTGTATAAACTTTATTACAATAGTGATTAGTTTCAAGTGTAAAAGCAGCAGCGATAAGAAAGAGCCAGTAGTTACGTTTCATAGGTAAATAAACAGTCCACTCCAACTTTTTAGCGATTTCTTATTGAATTCGATAATTATTCTTCAATTTCAATTAACATCTATATGTACTTGATATGTGCTATACGTCGATACTAGTTTTGTACCTTTTGTTAACATTTTAATACGTTTTTTTCGTAATTAATTAGGATGATACACCATAGGCGTAGTTAAAACAATTATCAAAAAATATAAATATTGCTTCAAACAGCTAGGTTAAGAAAAATATGTGCCACGGCACTGTTTGGTGACAGCGTCACAATTTGCTCTCGGGTGTTATTTGTCCTTGGATTCTTTAGTCATTGGTGCACCGTATGTATTATTATTTTTTTTTTGATAGAATATCAAAAAAGTCAGTCAGTCACTGATAATTTTTTACCGTACCGAGAGAGAGAAATCTAAGCTTTCTTTAAACAAATTGAATTATTACAAAATCTATTAATTTTAGATATACAGGGTGTCCCAGAAATAAGTGCAAATATTTTAAGGGGTGGTAGATCTCGATAAAAGAAACATATTTTCTGTTTATCGTTTTTCAATGAAGTCCAAAATAACAGAGTTATTTTACTTTGAAAATTTCCAAAAAAAAACGATTTTTTGCTAGAATTTTGAGAACCACTGGATCTTTTCTGGATTTTCTTTCTTGTAAATTTAATCTAATACCTATGTTGCCATATTATCAAGAAATTATGTTTTTTAACTAAAAACTAAAAAAAAATTCCGAAAAATTTTTCAAAAAATTTCGAATTTTCAATAAAACCTCAGGCGTGTTTCTGTGGTTGAACTATAATACCAGTTAAAATATTTGCACTTATTTCTGGGACACCCTGTATAATATCAGATGCAAAAAAGTTACCGAATTGTAGATACGTAGAATCTAATAATAAAATAAAAAGTAGATTAATTCATTAAAAAATATATGTTATATCCGCACACTTTTTTGAAGCACCTTGTATATTATATACTCTACAGTAATTTTAAAATGTGCTTCTTAATCTTCCTTATAACTTTTCTATTTAACATTTTGTTCTAAAAACGTATTTTGTAACGAAAGAAATGTAGTACTGTATGCGTTATTATTTGGTCATCTTTTGTTATATTTAATTACAATTTAATATGTGTTTGGGTTTCTTTCACTATGATCCAACTTCCTTGTCTCGTGGCAAGCCTGCCTCAAAAAATGGATAGAAGATGTCTCGCTCTCGTCTCGTCAGGTCTGGACGCACCTTAATGAGAACCTTTTCTTACGTCCGGCGTGAAGTATCCAGTAATCCACGGAGCCAGTACTCCGGCCCAGGCTCCGATACCGTTGATGATGGCCATCAGGATACCACCGTAGTGCCTGCTGAGGTCGTTGACGTTAACTTTAAGGGCTGGCCAGAAGGGACCCATCCAGAACATGCCGAACGTGCAAAGGAAGACGACCCATATGCGGGAACATCCGATGTAGACTGCGGCAACATTGCACATTGCCGGTCCTATAATAGCTAGAAAATAATAACTATATTCTATAGGTACAGGGTGGCTCGAATTCGACGCCCATCATTGGGATTTCGGAAACCGTAAGAAATACGGGATCGGTTAAATGGAGGCAACGTTGCACAATGTGATGTTCAATAAAATGCCGTATTGGATTTTTATTTTTTTTGCATAAAATATTTTGGTGGTGGAATTTTCTGTACGAAACGTCGGCAAATATCAAAGTGACTATATTATAGTGTTTTAAGAGTGATGAAAGGACTTAATTAAATTGAAAAAAAATCAGGTCCGTATTTAAAAAAAATAACTTGATGATGGTCGCCAGAAGCCGAAACGTCAGAGTCAATATTTAATCACACAGAGTTATAGAGCAAAAAAAGTGGCCATGAAAATGTGTTTTTCATTTTAAGTTATCTTAACAAATAAAGCCAGGAAACAATAGAAAACAAAATTGAAAATTCCGTTTTTTTTTCGAATCTATTCGGAAGTATTCGGAATTTTTCAAAATGCAATACGGAATTTTATTGAGCATCAAATTGCGTAACTTTGCCTCTATTTAACCCTTAGACAAGGAAAGAGAGGGGACAGGTAACACGGCAGCTAAAAGCGAGGCCATTTGTCACCAGGCGAAAGTTTCCAATGGCGTAGCATAAGATATTAGCTTGTAACTAGACGATAAAAAATATTTATTAAAACGTTAACTAATATATCGTTTATTTTTGAGTAATGCATATACAATTTTGTATTTTATATATCTCACCTTTATAATATTAGAATATCTAAGCCGATAATGCAAAATTTATTTAACAGTCACATTGAAGTGATCATCAAGACAATTATTTATTTATTAACGTGTGTATAATGTATAATCAAATAAAAAATAATGTTAATATACAGGGTGTTTCAAAACAAATGCGAAAAACTTCAGGGGGTGATTCCTTGTTCAAAATAAAGGGTAGTTTGCTTTATAAACGTTGGGTCAAAAGTCAACCATTAGGGAGATATCGCGGTACAAAGATGGCGGAAAAATAATGTTTTTATTTTTTATCTTGAAAACGAAAAGAGACAGACCACCAGGCTTTACGGAGCACACGCGAAAACACATTTCGGTAATTTTTCACTTTAAAATGAAAGGGTTGAAGTCATTGGCCTCCCTATCATTCTGTTAATAATTTCTGAAAAATTCAGTTACATGCAAAAAATAATTTTGATAGTTTGTTTATTTAGAAATTTTTGTCTCTCGGTGTTTTGATAAAACTCACCGATTTGAAATTAAAAAATAAATGTAAAGTACATGTCAGACAAAAAACATTTTTGATAAAGAATTTAGTGGGTAGCTGTAATTTTTAGGAAAAAAATCTAGGTTTGGCCACTGTCACTTTTTTAGATGTTTCTAATATTGTTTTATTTCGGATATTACCCTACTGCAAAATACGTTATTATCTAGATTATTATTATTATCATTATTATTACTAGATTCTTAAATTCAAAAATACTTTTAGTCCTGACATGTATTGTTTTATATTTTATTTTTTAATTTCAAATCGGTGAGTTTTATAAAAAATACAAGAGATAAAAAGTTTCCAAACAAACCAAACTATCCAAATTACCTGCATGTGTTTGATAAGATTTTTCTTAAATCGTTACCAAGAATGATAGGGGTAGTTTATTTCAACCCCCTTCCACTCATTTTAAAAAAAAAGTGAAAAATTACCAGAAAGTGTGTTTTCATAACAGCAATGCCTTTGGCTAAATTGCATTAGTCTATCTCTTTGTTTTCAAGATAAAAAATAAGAACATTATTTTTCCGCCATCTTTGTATTTTATAGTCTCACCTTTATAATATTAGAATATCTAAGCCGATAATGCAAAATTTATTTAACAGTCACATTGAAGTGATCATCAAGACAATTATTTATTTATTAACGTGTGTATAATGTATAATTAAATAAAAATAATGTTAATATATATGTTTTTAACGTGTATATACATATATACCGTATGATCGAAAAATAACGGCATCCTGTTTGTTTGGAAATGACGATCGATAATGACATTCCCCATACATATAAAATGACATAAAAACTATATAAAATGACGTCGAAAAAAGACTGGGAGGAATGTCATCGACAGTCATTTACAAGTCAACTGGACGCCGTTTTTTTTCGATCATACGGTATAATAATGAATCTAGGCAATCCCCTTCACACTTGCCTACGGATTCAATAAATAATGTAATTTTTAATATTTCTTATGATTCAATCATTTTTGATATTCTTATGATTCAATCATGAGAATATCCGAATTTTCCGCAAAAAAAAACAATTCTAAAACCTTTGTGTTATTTTATTGATTTATTTTTAAATTTTTATTAATTACTCACTGAAACTATTATTATACACCTAAACTAGCAATTTTTTTGAAAGGATATTTAAAAAAATATTGTAACAAGTACCCCACCACAAGTTTGTCCACCCCCAGCAAATCTTGGCAGGCAAATTTAAGTTTTATGGAACAACTATACATATAGATTTTTATATCCAAAATTTTTCATGTTTTTTTTTATAGTTTACAATTATTATCTTACATATTTGATAACAATACTTTATACATTTTTTTACATGTAAAAAAAATAGAAAAATGTTTATTGCAGAAATTGTATTTCTCTGATTATAATTTCCTACGCCACTGGAGAAATCCATGCTGAGTAGCATTATTTATAGTTTCAAATATTAATTATAATACAGGATATTGAAAATACTACTTGAAATTACTAAAAATAGTTTTGTTTGGATGTGGTACAAAACATATTAAAAGCATTTTACATATTTTTACTGCTATAATGAAAAAAATGTACATTTTATGACTACATAGCACAAGTTGTGTATCAACTTTTACCTTTAAAATGTAATTCCAGTAATTTTTTTCTCGCTTCAGCTTTTGCAGCCATACGCCGAACATCTCACCATACTAAACAACACAGTTTATAAATTTAAAACAAAACAGTATTTACAAAAAACTTAAAAATTCGCTTGGGGTCACCTCGAAATCTTGTCACCAAAGAATGGCCGCCGATCAAATTTTGGCCTCAAAATTTTTCACTGGCGAATATGCGTGTTAGCTTTCCCTCTCTTTCCTTGTCTAAGATTTAACCCACGGGGGAGTCACTTGTATGGGAAAACAGGCAACAGTCAAATTTAATCGTGCCAGGACCAACGACAAAGAAAGCAACATCTGCCAGGCATTGGCTTTCTTTGTCACTCACATTGCTTAAATCATGATACCGCGGCCATTTTGCCAACAAAGAAGCTGGCCGGGCTGTCCTGGCAAATGATTTAAAACAATTTTGCTTTTTACAATATTAAATTACCATTTGGATGTATTTAATGCGATTATTCAGTTAACTGGTAAGAAGCTTACTATCTGTTTTGCATTTTCAGTTTTTGATCAGACATTTCATTTTATTTGTGATATGCCCACAAAAAGCTTCCCATGATTCAACATCAGTGTGTTTGCTGCATAATGGATCATTGCTGCTGAATTTTTAGATCATTTGAAGACTACACGGAAAAAACCAGATAATATGTTACATTTACATAGAAATTGATAGCGAGACAATTTTATAGGCAAGTGTTAGCATTATTCGAGGCACCATCAAAGAAAAATAATAATATGCTTAGTCCCAGAGATGTTACAGCTTAGTTATTTTGCCCTACAGGAGAAAAACCAGAGTAGTTCACTCGTAATTGCATTTTCTCGGCTCCAGTTAAAATGAACAAAGCTGGTTTTTCCTGTGGTCTTCATTTGAAATAACGTAAATAAATGTTTATACATATGTATGTGATGATTAAATTGGTGTTAAGGAAATAAAAATGTTTTTCGATATTAATATATACCTATATATGTATATTTATTTTGAAATAAATTACACTTTTAACAGTTTAATGGAGTTTTTAAAGCCAGTTATAATATTTATATTTTAAAAACTTGAAATCATGTGGATGTAATCACGCATTAAACCACAGACTAACTTATATAAGTCAAAAAGTAGATTTTAGTGTTAACTTTATATAACTTGTAAGTAAAATAATAAATAAAACAAATATGAAAAAACCAACAATTCTAATGTATATATTAAAATACAGTACAATAATAGGTATCTGATACCCTCACTTAACGTAGAATAATATTCTACCCAACTCAATACTATGTCCAACATGAGTTTCAAATATATCGGGCCCTAATCGTTCCTGAAAATAATATTTTTTTACATTGTTATACCATATTCTAAACTATTTAATATTTCAGTCACTTAAAAAGTTAATTTGTATTGAATAATTGTCTACCATTAAAGCAAATTTGGACTAGTATTTTTAATGGGCATATTCTGTGTATGGATATAGGTACTTCCTCCAGATTTTGGGTTCAACCAATTTATTCTTAAAACCTGAAACATCTACGTATAAAAAATAGACAGGTTACTAATTATAATAAAATTTACCCTTAGAATTATACTTCTTTAACAAATAATTTCCATTGGTATACTTTTCCATGACAAGTAATCAACTTCCTAACATTTTTTAATTGATGTAATACTTCCTCATGATGCGAAAAGAAAATCTTTTCTTTAGCACACAAAGGACAAACGATATGTTGGCTTACTTTCAGATTAGTTACTTTTCCATAGATATCCTCATGTCAATTCAAAGACGATGAACATGAAAATGATCATCAATGAAACATCACAAACTAAAAACCTAATAAGTTTATATCGAATATAGAAATAAACTTGGTGTTCTTACCTATTGTCGTCCAAATCCACGTTAATAGATAATTAAATTTTTGGATTTTTATCTTTTATTTTTAAATATATCTTTTCCGAACTACTGGTTTTAGTAATTATTAAATTAAACGAACTAAAAAGTCAAAAATAATAAACAATTCTCTTGTCAATTGTCAATTTTCTCCAGGCACCGAACATTATCGATAACGCACGATCTACGACGATTACTCCTTTGATCTGATTGGACGGTTCAATGACGGTTGGTTGCGTATTTTAATGTATCCTCAAATTTTGGCCTCAAAAATTTTTCACTGGCGAATATGCGTGTTAGCTGTCCCCTCTCTTTCCTTGTCTAAGATTTAACCGATTCTGTATCTCTTACGGTTAGGTTAGGTTAATCTCCGTTGCCATTTTTTTTGCATCAGCATTCTCCATGATAACTCCTTGATTAATCTTTTTATTTACTTGTCTTGTCAAAATACATATTCCTAGTTTGGTAGTGTTTACAAAATATTAAACTTATTTTTTATTACCAGTATTTTTTTTTAATTTACCTACATTTACTTACAGATAATGGTCAGCAATTTCCTCATTGTCAGGATACTCATTAAATTCCGATTCGTTATACAGTCAGCAACAAAACCGCTGCCTATAGCCGAAATCCAGCAAAATATAAAGGGCAGCGCGCTGACTATCCCGTTGTTCTTGATGTTCATCTTCAGATAGTCTTTGACAAACTTGGGCAAGTCCGTGTTCATAGCGAACAGTACGTAGTTGTGACCGAATTGTGCAGCCAAAATGGCCCAAATCGGACAACATTTGGCTATTTGAAGCCAAGGCACTTTGAAATTGGTAGCTTTTTCTGAAATTTAATATAATTTTATCAATAAACATCAAACTTTAGGTAAATAAAATAAATAGAAAAAATTTAGAACTTCCATCCAATATGTCATCGATATTCATTTCCAAGCCAACTGGACGCCGTTTTTTTTTCATCATACAAACTATTGAAAATAAAGCCTTACTAGCTAGATTCTCTTGCAAAAATTCCTTTTCCCCGTCACTAATAAACGGATGGGTTTCTGGATACGAAAAACTGGTGAATAGAAACAGGATGTACCAAAGAATGGTCAGCAATCCCCACAAGTAGAACGGACTGGACCAACTTCTGGTATAGTAGATTATAACCCCGGTGAAGATAATACCCACGATGTTGCCCAGGTTTCCTCCTCCGTAAGCTATGCCACCCAACATGGCTCTTTCTTTTTTGGGTGCCCACGAGCTCATGAACGTCGCTATGGTTGGTACTATTGAACCCTATAATATATACATTCTACATTCCTTTAATACGTTTTATATTTAACAAGTATATTAAATTTCACCTGAAATACACCGATCATGAATCGAATAGCCACGCAATACATGAATCCCCAATATTCTCCTCCGGTACTGATGGAAAAGGGTAGAATTAAATTAAATATGGCGGCTAAGAGGAGAGAGGTGCCAGTCACGTGTCGGGCACCGATTTTATCCCCCAGCCAGCCTCCAGGAAGATGCCCCAAGAAATACCCCACGAAGAAAATGTACTTGATCAGGGCTTGATCGTTGGAGTTCCAGTTATACTGTCCATCCTAAAAGAGAAATAACATTTAGAGCAAGAAAGTCATTGTTAAGTGTATTAATAATATTTAAAATTCAGTAAAACTTTTATTACACTCACTTAGTAGAAGAGTTATAATAATCAAGCCACGTTTCAGTAGAATAACGGTGGTTCCTTAATGAGTACATACACATGTGCACATTAATCCCAAAATGTAAAGCCTTTTTTGAAAAAAAATCCATTAATCCTATTTAGAATACACAGAATTATGTAAGACAATAAGAAAGAAGATTGCAGAAAACATCAAAAACTACAATGAAAAATTTGTACAAACCGAACACAATAGAAAAAGCTATAAGAACGCTAAGAAATCCCTCAAGATAGGAAAGAAGCAGCTATAATAATAATAAATAACGATTTATTGTACTAAAAGCCAAAATAGCTTTATCGACAAAGCATTTACAAAACAAACAAAAGCACAAAAAATATACAAATAATAAAAAAAAGGCATATCAATAACATTTTACAATAGGAAAATTGTAAATGGATATAATCATTTAAGTGTTATAAATATTAAATACTAGATTTTTAACCAGTGTGTGAGATGATCAAAATTTTAAAATTCAAAATTGTTCATGATTAAACATAAACAAAAAAGTCGTTTACCCCATATAGGGCTCTCTCCAATAAATATGATTTCAGAGCTTTGCGAAATGAGGGAAAAAATGAAAGCGACTTGATATTCAAAGGCAGATGATTGTACATTTTTTTGGCATTCTACAGTGTTGAGTCTTTAACTAGTTCTGAGCTCGGGGTTGGCAGATAAAGATCCTGCTCCGCATTCCTAAGTGGATGATTGTGAGATGGCCTTTCGGGAATAGCAGATATGTGCTTGCGGATTAAGCAAACGGATTCAAAAATGAATAAAGAAGGGAGAGTCAGTATTTTGAAATTTTTAAAGAAATTCTGGCAGTGAGTTCTACTGTTCAGTCCCAATAAATATCGAACTGCCCTCTTTTGAAGTATGAAAATACGATCAAATTTTGTTGCGCAACGTCTGATGTTCTCAAGTTTATGACGAATTGTTTTTGGAAGAAATGGAATTATTGCAAAAATGATAAAATTAAAATTAGATTTCTTCTTAAGCTTAAGAACAGACAATGCACATGATTGTGATAAAGACGGGCAGACTACCTACAGCAAAAGGTTTAGTATTGATTATGACATTTCAATTGCGCAAAGGTTCCTCTAGTTACAATGTGGAGTCTCTATTTCCAGAACCACCCTTTTTTCTAAAATACAAATACTAATGCTAACCTTGATCGATGGATTTTCTTCTGCTTTCAAATTGGGACAGTCGTCTATAATTTTGGTCGAGTTTTTTATACCAGGTTTGACCATCTCCGTAATGGCTATGTTGATGACCACCCTCAGATTATAAGCGTTCTGCATGGCCAGATGGAGGACCACAGCCAAAACTACTCTCTGGGGGATCACGAAACCTTCAAATTAGAAAAAAAATTATCTACGCATCTTAAAGTTAACAAAATCATTTCAGTATGTCTAAACAAAAAAGTGCATAAAGAAAGTGAAAAATACTTATGGTAATGTGAGTTTTCTAAAAGTTTTGAATACTTACTTCCATATATACAATGAAGAGGTTTGAACGGCATCTTGATGGAGCTTGGCCATAAATTTAGTTGTTATAATATAACTGTATAATTTAAATAATTTCTAATAAATCCTATAAATAAAAGAACCACCCTATTCTATGAAACCATTATAAAAAAACTTGAAGCTGTCATTTTGATTAAAAAATGTACCAGATTTTATCCAAAAAATTTATAAAAATATGACGGTTATATACAGTTTTTATGGAAAAGTTGTTGATAAAAATAAATTGTAAAATTTATGTTTTTCTTGGTTTTAAAGATAAAAAATTATATATAAGCCCATACTAAAATATGTTAATAAAAAGTTGGTAGGCAGTTCTTTTAGTTTCAAAGTAAAGGAATTTTTCCAATTTTTTTTATTTCAAAAACTGCGACTTTGACTGATTTTGATGTTATTACAAATTTTGTTGCAAATATTATTCCTAATCTTAAATTGAAAACCGCGTTTCGCTAGCTACTGTAATTTTGGAGTTACGATTTTTTTAAATTTTTAACCCCCTTCCATACCCCCTTACTAACCCCCCACCCCCACCAAAAACTAATGGCCAGATTCTCGGATGCCACAGTATTTTTGTGCCATATTTGGTTAAAATCGGTACACCCTCTACATAAACTACATTACATGTAGTTTATGTAGAGGGTGTACTTTATGTAACCTATGTAACTTTCAAATATCAAAGGTTTGAGGTGAGGTTATAATAAGTTGAAGCTTTAAAAACGCATAATGTATTTAAGAAAACAGAAGAAATATGGCTTTAAATATAATATTTACATCAAATTATCTCTTTTACACCTCATACAAAGGAAAATGATTCATAATATCAATACATAGTTTATTACGTAGTTTTTATGTACACCCACCGGAAAAGTCTTGGGATATTACAATTTTATCCAGCCATCGTCAGTAATTTTATTATTTGCATTTCTGATACAATAAAATTAAAATAAACAAATAGTTTACAGGACGTATTGGAAATAAAAATGCGAAATTTACCGAATTTTTCAAATTTACCTTGATTTTTATTGAACTCAAAAAAATACACACATTTTTTTTTATTCTAAACTAGGAACAAAAAAAAAAGATAAAACCATTTTTACTTAATAAAGGGTATGGTCTCCTCTACTGTTCATTACAGCCCTACATCGTCTCTCCATGCTCCTGATCAGGTTGTCGATCTCTTCTTGAGGTACAGCCTGCCACGCTGCATTCACGGCCCGAACCAGATACCTACGAGTTTCACGAGGCATACCCATTCTCAAAATTCTTCTTTAGATCGCGTCCCATACGTGCTCGATGGGATTGAGGTCAGGAGATTGTGCCAGCCAGGGTAAGATGTTTAATTGATGAGCATTGATAAACTCACTTACCACTCTGGTTGTATGAGGCCGCGCATTGTCATGCATGAGAATGAAGTTTCCCCCAAAATCATTGGCATATGGTAACACGACAGGCTCAAGAATTAAATCACAATATGTGATTCCTGTTAGAAACCTTTCAAGAAAAACGAGATCGGGTTTTCGGCCTAACTGGACTTCTCCCCAGACCATAACTGTTCCACCTTGATAAGGGTGCACTTCCTGAACATGATCCAACCGAATAAGATTTCCCGGTTCTCTCCATACCGTAAGCCTTTCTCGAATCCGGATGAATTCCAAAGCGTGACTCATCCGTGAAGAGAACACTGGCCCATTGTTCATTCGACCACTGAACATGATCTTGAGCCCACAAATATCGTACCTCTCGATTTCCTCTCGTTAAGGGTTGACCTCTCCAGAGGCGTCTGCTTCTTAAGTTGACCTCTCTTAATCTATTGCGAACAAGGCGTGTCAGGACTAACGGTTACATTATGTGTTTCCTGGAGAATTAAACTAAGCTCTGGTGTTGTAAGAGTCGGTCGGCGTCGATCATTTAATTGTAAAAAATGATCTTGCTGAGGGGTAGTAATGCGATGTCGCCCTGTGTGCCTTTCAGCAACATCACCACTTTCACGGTAGCGTGCACTTAATCGCGATATTACACTTTGCGTTGTATTTAATGCTCTAGCTACGTCGATTTGGCGCGTTCCAGCTTCGAGCATAACCATAGTCGTTAGCATTTCGTCTCCGTTAAGATGTCTACACTCCGTAATGTCGTTTAATACTAAACAGAGTTATTTGAATGAATTCTGGCCAGTTATCATAAAAACATAGCCAGTACATGTTAAATTCGAACAATTGATGCTAGGTGCTTTTTATACATTTGACAAAAAATGCAGAAACACTTCTGCAAATATGCCAAATTTAGAAATAACTAGTGTGACTACTTCGTTTCAATCGAAGTAGAAAGAATCGGCCTACAAATATGTGGTTGTTTATTCAAAACAATTATTTTTAACTTTAATAAAATTATATCCCTAGATTTTTCCGGTGTGTGTAGTTAATGAACGGGAAAAGACGTAGTTTTTGAAGAACACGTAGTTAATCAAGTAAATTACGTCTTAATTAACTACTTCCGTACCCTGAGACAGACAGACAGACAGACACCATGAAAATATTTTGTATTTAGGTCATTTATGACCCAAATAACTATTTTGAGTGAAATTAAAAAAAAAATTTGCCGATCTTAACAGCCTACCATACCTATTGGTATGGTCGGCTAAAAAAAAATATTTGGGGTTTTTAACAAATTACAAGTATAAACAGCCTATGAATTTACAGAATTTTGTAATATAGAGCATATAGAGCATAGATATAGAGATCTATGTGAATAAAATTACTTTTCGGGCTTTAAAATATCCCATCAAAAGTCCAGGGTCTTCTTTATACTACAGAGTATTTCAAAAAACATGTGCCATCTTTCGTGGGGATAAAAAAACATGTGGCATCTTTGAAATAGCAGAGTTAGTAATAGTGCCTTCATATTAACCTCCTTCAAGGAATTAATAGTAATAAAACAAACATAGGATTAATAAAAAGATATATTGGTTAGTTATGAATTAATAACTGAAGATTAATCTTCATCTCCTGGAAATTCTCCTTCCCAGTAGTCCCACTCTTGTCTATCGGCTTTCGCAAAGAATAGATAGGCAGCTGAAGTGAGCACAGCGATGAGCATCATGACCCAGAACACGAAACGCCATTGTTCCAGAGTCCCCTAAAAAATACGATGATATACAGGGTGTAAAAAAGTGTACTAAACTTCAGTGGATGACACTACTCAAAAAAAAATAAAAGAAAAAGTTTGTACATTTCATGTAATTTGAGAGATCATATCTTGTGTACTAGTTAATATTACTGTCTTTTTTAACCAGGATATAGTTTCGTATTTCGTATACAGAGTGGTCCGAACTGTATTCCGGAAACTTCGGCAGCATATTCAGCAGATAGAAATAAGTAAAAAAGTTCGTTTCGGTTTCGGAGATACAGGGTGTAGAAATTTCATTTTTATTTCGATTTTCTCCAAGCATTATCTAAATTAATGTTAATATTTGGATAAAAAATGGTATCTCGGAGTTTTTTGACATGAGAAATTTGAATTTGTAAATATTTAACAAATTTTTCACCTAAATATTTTTTAACTGGTTTGAAGAGTAATAACTTTTTGTCCGTACCTGTATAAGATTACTCAGTAAAAAAATATACATTTACGACGCTTTTTAGGTAAAAAAGGTCTCTTGGTAACAATCGCTACGAGTAATGGTTCTAGAGAAATTATCAACACCTGTCATCGTTGACATAGATTAAATATGTTGACTAAATAGTTATTAGACTGAAATCATAAATTTGAAATATTTTTGTGTCAAAAGTTCAACAGAAACTGTTTTATCATCTTTTCCCAAAGAAAAAATTATGATTAATTTAAAAAAAATAGAAATTTCCCAAATTGATTATTTCAGTCAAATAACTATCTCTCAACGTGTTTATATTTTGTCAATAATGTTGCGGGCCCGTGTGGACTCGACCTAACCTAACTATATGTCCCGCCCTCAGATGACCTTAACATCGCATTAAAGAATAGACACCGTAATGATTCATTCGTTCGAGAACAATCGAGTCCCACTGGAATGGACTAGTACATACGAGAACATTTGAAACCTTCTCTATGCACCTAACGATCTATGAACTATTCTAGAAATCTTCAGCTGTAGGTATAAAAGCCAGCGGCTGGGGCCTACAGAGGGCAGTTATAAATAGACGAGTAGAGTTGACGCGCTAAAATTAAAAAAATAAATTCTCAGTTATAAATCGTTTGTAAATAGTTCTTTAAGTCTTTTATCGTTATTGTTTTTGTTAATTAGTGCTAAATAAATAGTGTTTAAATTAATTGTGACTTTCTATCCATACGGAACCGACGAAAAACGTAACAATAATGACATGTATTGGCTATTTCCATTGTAAATATCTTGAGAACGGGTACTCGTAGCGATTTTTACCAAGAGATATTTTTTACGTAAAAAATTTTCCCTAGGAGATGCAAGACCTTGTCGTTGGTGGGGAAGCTCCTGGTCAGGTGCTGGGAGGAATCCCCCCTAGCACTTGGCTTGGTCTAAGAAGCATCTCACTCATCGTCTTGTCCCTGACTGTAGTGTCGTGGCCAGGGAATTGCACCAAGACATATAACGATACCGGGCGGGGCTACGGACAGCCTCAACCTTGGGGCATCGGGGGGCACCCCATTGTATTTTACTCCTTACTTCTACATGCGGGGCTCTGTAGAAGTGGACCGACTGTCCCTAGCGACTCATGGGAACACTATGAGCTGTGGGGAAACCCCCTAGCAATACTGGGAACAGTAACAATGAAAGTTCCAAGGGGCCAAACCCAAAGAGAACTACAGGAGAGGTGGCTGACACTTGCGTGAGACCATCCTCCGCAAGTGGCATACAAGTTACCACCTCCTCCAAGTGTCGGGAGCCTACCTCCTACCTCTAAACCCAACAGGCGACACAAGCTACCGTTTCGTCTACCCGGCCTGGGTCGTAGCTCCTCGACTGTGAAGGACACGGGTCTCCGTAGGAAGTCCTGGGACTGTATGATGAGTTATAACTCAAGAAAGGGGGACACAATAGATCTCTAAGGTCGCAGAGATTAACCCCCCTCCCACTTATTCTAAATTCTAAAAATTCTACGTAAAAAATGATGGAAATGTTATTTTTTCACTCAGTAGTGTTATACAGGTTCAGACAAAAAGTTGTTAGTCTTCAAAACAGTTAAAACACATGTAGGTGGCACCCCCTACAAATAAGAGTCATATTGACATCAAAATCAAATTTCTTATGTCAAAAAACTCCCAGAAGTCAATTTTCATCCAAATATTGACGTTCCTTCAGAAATTATTTGGAAAAAATCGAAATAAAAATGAAACTTCTACACCCTGTATCTCCAAAACTAAGCATTTTAGGACATACATTTATACGAACTTTTTTACTTATTTCAAGTTTCCGGAATACAGTTCGGACCACCCTGTATATAGTTTCGGTAATAGTTTCGATATCTCTGATAACATGAACGCCAAATTTTACTGATTTCTCTATGTGTGCAATATTATTACGTCTGGCGTAAAGTATCCTGTAATCCAGGGTCCTAGAATTCCAGCCCAGGCACCGATCCCATTGATAATAGCCATCAGGATACCACCGTAATGTCTGCTGAGGTCGTTGACGTTGACTTTTGAAGCCGACCAGAAAGGACCCATCCAGAACATGCCGAACGTGCAGAGAAAAACGACCCATAATCGGGAACACCCTATGTAGACTGCGAGAATGTTGCAAGAGGCTGGTCCCATAATAGCTGTCAAATATACAACAGGATTAAAATTAACACCTATGAGTTTGGCGTTGGAAAATTAATTGGGGTATAAAACTACCCCAATTAAATAACTTGGGGGTATTAAAATACCCCAGTTAAGCAATTTGGGGTACTAAAATACCCCACGCGAGTATTTACTTAAAAAATACTTACAAATAATCGTCAGCCATTTTCTCATCGCCAAAAGGCTCATCAGTTTCTTGTTGACGATGTAATCGGCCAGAAAGCCGCTGGCAATGGCCGAAATCCAGCTGAGCACGAACGGCATGGCGCTTACTATCCCGTTGTTTCTCACGTTCATTTTCAGGTAGTCCTTGATGAACTTGGGCAGATCGGTGTTCATGGCGTACAAAACGTAATCGTGGCCGAATTGCGCTGCCAAAATTGCCCAGATGGGGATACATTTGATTATCTTCACCCAGGGCACTGTGAAGTCTTTAGGCATTTCTAAAACAAAAAACACCTGGTTAAAACAAACAGGTTAATTGTTAGATTTCTTTCTTGCGTGCCTATAAGTGAAGAAAAGCGTTTAACTAGTACTTGTGAACAATTACGTCAAATAAACTGCCGGACATAATTATCGGGACAAGCAAAATTTTAGGGTAAATTTAAAGTTGAATATTTCTTGAAATAAAAAAGATTTTGGGATGCGGTTTGGCCAAGGTTTTAGATGCATCTATTGTGCGTAAGATACTATGTGGTTTTCGAAAATATGAAAATATATTTAGCGAATTCTCATATACCCTGTATACGAATATCCGTTTTATAAGAGTGAAAATTTGGTCAAGAATCTTTTTTACTGTATTGAAATTAGAAAAAAACAATTTCATCGGTTTTTTATTTTTTTTTGTTTTAAGGAAAATACGACGTTTTTTATACGATGGTCCTAATTGGTACAAAAAGCTTTGTACATTCTACATGTGCCAAAAAATTATTGATATAAAGTGTATCTGAAAGCAGATAACTAACACAAGTTAAAAAAAAACTTCAACATCAGAATAATATTTTTATTTATAAAATAAGTAGATAAATTATAATAAAATTTAAGTTTATTTAATATTAAATATATTTTTTGAACACCCTGTATACATCGGTCCAAATTTCTGTACAGATAGTTTAAGATACACGCTATATCAATATATTGCGGGCCTATGCAAAATGTACAATGCCTTTTGTACCATTTAGGACCAAATATATGACTATAAATGCATATTTTTCGAAAAAAAAATCGTATTTTCCTTAAAACAAAAAATTAAAAAAAAACACCAAATTGTTTTTTTCTAATTTCAATACAGATTTGTCGTACATAGTTAAAATTTCGATTTTTCAAAAATTGTAAATTTTCGGTAAAAAAGATTCTTTACCAAATTTGTACACTATTATAAAACACCCTGTATACGAGAATTCGCTAAATATATTTTCGAAAATCACATAGCATCTTAATCACAATAGATGCGTCTAAAAACCTGGTCCAAACCGCCTCCCAAAATCGGAGAGAGAAAAGAAAATCATTTATTGTTTACAATCCCGCAATTTTGTGGATCCGCGGGATTGATTGCTTTAATCCCGCGGGTTTGCGGGATTGAGATTTTGGTGGGGTAAATTGTGTGCAATTAACTTATTTTGATTCAAAAATACGTAGTATTTTTTGAATCGGAAATATTGGAAATCCCGGTATATTTTGTCGGTCTGCTGTGTAAAAAAAAATCTACAATTTCGTTTCTCAAAAACTATGCGATGTGGCTTTTTTTGCATGAGACAATAGTAAACCTTTAGTAGGACCATTTTAAGAAAAAAAATCAGTCGTCGGTGGAGTTGTATGGAAAATATTTATATAGTAATCGCAAAACATTTTCCGATGCACGTCATCAATCAATATCGTCGATATCGACATTGACACTAAAGTCTATAAACCTGACTAAATGAAATTTTGGCAAAAATGTTTAAATTTGTTGTATAATTTAAGATACCGAACAGCTCTTCATTTTACTTTATAGAGCAAATGATTGTAACAGATATTTTATTTAGATTAAAGCAGCAAAAAAATAACAAAATTATCCCATCACCTACTACTTAACTGCAAAATAAACTATAAAAACACTACTAAACTATTTTTGGTAGTCTACACTAACATGTTACACTAAACAGTCTAAACACTATAATTAAACTTAATAAATTAATCTAATTTTACACTATACCTTCAAGGAAAAAAGAAATATGAACATTTTCTAAAACTAGAAGAAACAGAACTTCCATACGTGCAACCAGGATAATAGGAATAGGTCAAGGGGACAAAGAATATAAAATATTTTAAAATGTGCATTCAGAAAGAAAAAATACCTCGAAAATTATCTAAACAAACATTTTTATTTCTTATCAGTGAGAAGCATCGGCCTTGTCGGCCTTGAAGAATTTGTCGGGTATTTACAATGGTCGAATTGTATAATTGCCAGCTTTTATAGCATATCTACTAGACAAAAAGTATCTGGTCGATTAGTAACCAATCGGCACAGTCCGAAAATTATCGATTTTTATTTTCTCTGTTTTTATTGGTAGCTTCAAAATTCAGAGTAACAAAAAATATTTTTCTGTAGGGAAACCGGTCCTGCCATCTAGTAGTCTTAGTCCATAAACGTCTTAGGTTGATCTACTTTAAAAATATATATACAAGGATATTAGGTAAATAGAGTTCATAATGAACTTATTTGGATTTTTCAGAAATTCAGTAAGAAATAAACGTTGAAATAAACGTATTATTTTCATTATTTTTATATGAATGATATCTTACTAGAGAGGTTCTCCTTCAAATACGCCAGTTCCTTTTCAGTAATAAAGGGATGAGTCTCTGGATACGAGAATGCGGTGAAAAGGAACAGGAAGTACCACATTATAGCCATCAGTCCCCATACGTAAAAGGCGTTAGCCCAACTGTTCGTATAGTAGATTATGACACCGGTAAATACGATTCCCATAATGTTGCCCAGGTTGCCGCCACCATAGGCCACACCACCCAGCATGGCTCTCTCTTTCCTGGGTGCCCACGAGCTCATGAACGTCGCTATAGTTGGTACTATACAACCCTATAAATGTAACGCATTTTAAAGTAGAGTCTGAGCAACACAAGATTTATTTGCTCTGCCATATCTTAATTGAGTCATATACTCTGTAATTCTAGTTTGTCCAACACATTTACACTATCGGACAAAAGTAGAGCAACACCTCGAGAAATATTTGTAAATCGCGATTTTTTAATTATACATGCATGATAATGTATACAAATACAATAAATTTAAAAACTACGAAGTAGGCTATGAGTATCCATGACAGCAAGAATTTTTATTAACAAAACAAATGAATTTATTTTGACATTTAGTTATAAATGCTTAATAGTAACGCGTCAAAAGTAGAGCAACCTTCAAACAATTCATTCCAAAGAAGGGTTTTAGCAAAAGTAAAGGCCAAAATAATTGTGCGAAGTTTATTTTATGTTTTTTAAACATTTCTATGCTGGATTAGTCATGCCAAGAGGAATTCCAATTTCAAAAGACTTGAAACAAAGAGTTGTGAATGCATTCATGGAAGGTAAAAAACCAGCCGACACACAGTGCTTCGTCCCATGGACAAAAATAAAAATATAAGTTAAAATTTACTAATATCTGAATATATAATTTTATACTTATAGCAATGTTCAACCATCCTGTATATTATTTCTCATAAACAGCGTTTTTGTTAGCAAATATTTTCACTAAAAATAAATTTTGCGATCATTATCTCATCAGTGAAAAGAATAACATTCATAGTAGTTCTGTATATTATGGAGTTAAACCGGTACGTACTTAGTTGAAAGCCACTATGTATATTGTTAAACAAGGTATGTACTTTAAATTTATTTCTAAACAAGTTCGTGATTGTTTAGTTTTTATTTATTTTTTAAGATGATTCTTAAATGGGTATAAAAATTTTACGTTTGCGAACTTCAAAAAGGCATTTAAAAAAAACATATCGTATTTATTGAATATTTTTGTTGCCATATTCATACACTTTTAATTTTTGTATAGTTCACCTGCGTCTGCTTGCGACGAACTTTATTTTATAATACTTTTCAGATGGAGTAAAATTGATAAGCAATGCCGATCTGGCTAATACTTGGCTTGATCATAAGGATAAGAACTCAAAATTATTTGTATTTCAAAAAATATGTTCTTATTAGATATTGATGAATCTTCCAGTCAAATGAGACACCACTTGTGCCTGAAAAAGTCCACTATGTTGGAGCGAAACGTCGAATAAAAAAAGTGTCCATCTTTCAGTTTATTATAAAATCTCATACCCAAGAAAAGGAAAAAATAATATATGGATATGGTCTATTAAAGAGATAACTATTAACATCCGAACCCCTCATACCGACAAAATGAACAGAAACAACGCGAAAAAGTAACATATTAGAAAATGATGTACAGAAATATCTTATATGTGAGGATACTTCATCTACCTGTGATTTGGATACTATAAATTTGGAAGATTCTGTCAGCAGTGATTCTCCTGAATCAGAGTAGTTACGATCTATGCATTTTGTTGTCCTAAAGTAAATTTATAGTATCTTATTTTTTTTTTTTAATTAAATATAACATTAATGTTTCTTTTTCATTAAAGAAAAACATTTTTATCTTATATTAGGCTTATATTGTAGGAATCATGTTCTAATGTTATTTCAATTCTTTTTTATCACAGGAATTTATTTAATACTTACACCGTTTTCATACTATAACTTTTATTTGCTTAGATGGAACACAGCTCCAAACATTATTATTATTTATAAGATTTTTTTTTCATAAACGTGGGACTAAGAACATCATCATTTAGTACAATGAGAGTACTCATCATTTGTGTCAAATAAACCTAGTTTGAATAAATTGCTTACAACAAAAGAGAAGTTTTGGATTTTTGTCCTCTAGAGCCATATGTTCGAAGCACTGTGCGACATTTCAAAACAGTTTGTGTTACCCCGGTACAGTGTATCTAAAATAATTTCATCGTATAATGACAGGGGACACTTAGAAAAATTGCCAAAATCGGGAGGGCCAAATAAAACAACAGTAATGACCGACAGACGCATCAAAAGAATTGCTCAAAATCCTTGGAAGTCTACACCTAGAATTATTGCCGAAATTCTAAAAATAACGGTTAGTATGCGAACAGTACAAAGAAGATTTGTAGATGCAAAGTTATTTAGTAGACGTCCAGCTAAAAGCCGTTAGTTTCGGAAAGAAATAGAGCAGCAAGGTTGGCATTCGCACGTCGGCATTTAAACTGGACAGTCAATGACTGGAAAAAAGTTGGAGAAGCAGTCATTTTAGATATGTTGTTTTTCAACCTGTTACGAGCATAACAGGGCGGCGGTCGAGATAATCGGTGTGGGAAAGGAACGCTGCTGCATCGGTCGATTGTCGATGGAGGTTCGAAACAGGTTGGGGAATAACGCCATCAGTTGTTTTAGATACATTCTCTTTCAACCTGTTACGAGCATAACGGACGGAGGTCGGGATATTATGGCACTGTATGTTTCAGTACTTACTTATTAAGTTTCAATATTTAGGTAAATTACAGTTGAGGGTTGGAACCTTTGGTGTTACACAGCAAAATAAAAACACTAAATCACCACAATACACCAAAACACTTTACTTTTACACTAGACGCGCGTTTCGCTAACCATGTTAGCATCATCAGCAGATGATTATAAACTCAAACTTACTTACTTAAGACTACAGTTTATAATCATCTGCTGATGATGCTAACATGGTTAGCGAAACGCGCGTCCAGTGTAAAAGTAAAGTGTTTTGGTGTATTGTGGTGATTTAGTGTTTTTATTTTGCAATATTTAGGTATTTATTTATTCTGAAAAATTTTCAGAATAATATTTTAAGATTTTTTAAAAATGTATACAGAGTGTTTTGAAAAATCTGGTCATTGATTAATCACGATCCTGCTTAAAGCCCTTGACGTAAAAAGCTGATTTTTGGAAAACGGATTGACTTTAGTGTGTAGAGGTTCGATAAGAAGGGATTTTTCGAAACTCGAATTCTAAGGGCGTGAAACTACTCGGAAATATTAGAATATTTTTTATTTAAAAACCGGTGAGTTTTTCGGAAAAACTCTTAAAACACGTATATTTTATTATGTTGTTTTACATATTTTAAGATTTTTTAAAAATATATACAGGGTGTTTTATAAAATATGACCATTGAGTAATCACTATTCTGCTTAAACTGCTGGACGTTTAAAGCTGATTTTTTGCAAACGGATTGACTGTGGGGTTGAGGTTCGATAAGGAGGGGTTTCTCGAATCTCAAATTCCAACAGGGTGAAAACGCCCCTCAAATATTACAATATTTGTTATTTAAAAACGGTTAGTCTTTCGGGAAAACGCCGGACACGCATAATTTATTTTGTTTTTTTACATATTTTGAAATTTTTTAAAAACATACAGGGTGTTCCAAAAAGTTGAGTAATTGATTAACCACGATTCTGCTTAAACTGCTCGACGTTAGAAAGCTTATTTTTGGCAAATGTGAGAAAATTTTATCCAGTTTGTATGTTAATGGAAATTCTTGTTTTGCTTTATCATCACCATTAGAAATTATTAATTCGACGCGAACGAAGTCGCTGGTACACGCTAGTTTAAGTGTAAAATTAATTCGAACTCTAGTGTGTAGTTGGTTTACTTATGAAGAATATACTCCACATTTTCTTATATGGCTATTTTTTGACCGCAAATGGTAAAATCATAACTAAGAGCTTCTCGCCCGTCGAGTGAGATGCACCCTGTACACTGCTACGCAATTCAGGATCTACGCGGATCGAGGGGCAGGGCGTAGGTAAATCGCAATGTGTAGGTATAGACGAGTGGCGGAATTTTGGCTTTTTTTATATCGCAATTTGTAAACAGCGCTTATTTGGAGCGGTTTTTACCACCGTTTTTAGAGAGGTATTTTAGATAACAATCGATATTTAGAAATGTTTTGACAAAATACTACCTTTGGAAATACTACCACCGAGCACGTCATTTTTGCAACTTGCAACTGCGTTAATACGCCTGGCGATGACCGTCTCATACTCTTTCAGATATTTAGCAGTAAAATAAAGAAACCTGTTATTTTTAGCTGTTATTTTAAGCTGTTTTTTATAAATAACTATAACAGTTTCAACTGTTATCTAAAAATAACAGTTTTGCCCATCACTAAATGGGATAGACCCTATATACTTTATTAATGACACGATGTTGGACCGATTTGTTTATAGGAATATCATGCAGAAAGTTACGCTTCCTTATGCAGAATGGGAAATGCCACTCCGTTTTATTTTCACAACAGGACAACGATCCAAAACACTCTCCACAAGTTGTTCAACAGTGGTTTAGGGAAAATGATGTTCGAGTTTTGCAATGGCCAGAACAATCCCCAGACCTAAACCCTATTGAAAATCTCTCGGAAGAAGTAGAACGTCGTATTCGTACCCAAATGTTTCCAAATAAACAATCCTTGATAGATGAAATTAATGAAGTTTGGATAAATCTTTGATGAAACATGAATAAAAATGAACTCTGTTGCTCTACTTTTGTCCAATAGTGTATATAACAAAAATATAGCAAAATAAAACACTAATATTGCACCTATAATTGCATCAAGACGTATACCTTCGGTCAAAATATACTACCCCTAAAATATTTATATTTACTTAAGACTATAGAAGGCTAAGTATATACAGGGTGGCGCACCTCATTCGCCTCAGTTGATTATACGAAAACGGAAAGATGTAGAAACAAAATATTTAATGGATATATTATGTGGGAAGGCAATGTGCATAATTTAAAATTATTTTGAAATGTACAGGGTATATACCTATTTTTTCTTATGGAACACCCGGTATTTTATTTCATATTTAAATCCTTGGACACGAAATAAATAAATATGTTTACAAGCTTTGGTTTTTGAGATATTTAAAGATATTTAAATATGCATGCTATAATAAAAAAATTTGTCAACACTCTGTACATTGCTTTTCAGAATTAATGCTTGTGCGGACTTTTAAGTCAAAGAAATAAACTTTACTGAAAAATCTGATTGCTTCGTTTAATACAGGGGTATCAAAAATTGCTGGTCTATTTTAAATATTTATTTTACATAAAACTTCTCGTTATTTCAAATACGCAATATAACCTAAAACCATAGTATAAGGAAACTAGTAGTTTTACTCATTGTCAAATCCTTTGTTCTTTTTCTGCCACTTTATATGACCTTGTTCTCGCCTCCGTAGCCGACGACGTAGCTGTATAGTCGTGGTCTATTAACTAGGCAAAGTATAGACGTGGCACTCGCCATAGTTTCACAGATATGTATTTAGGAAAATATGAGTTCACAATAAAATAAAATAAAAAAAATGATCATCGAGTAAAAACTTCCTTGAAAACAGAATATTTTCACATCTCGTGTAGGTAACAATTCTTCTGTATCTGAAAATCTTCTGATGGGAAGAAATGCGGAAAAAATATATAATGACATATTTTTATATTATTATCTATTTCAGAGATTTTCTACGACTTTTTTATATTTAAAGCAAGTTTAATTTTCTATAGATAACTGGATTCGGCATAAAATTATGCTATAGTACACTGTCTTTATTTAAAGCACACTGCGGTGTTGCCAATCTATTTCTTATTTACTAAAAAACTTTGGTTAAAAACATTATATACGAAAAGTGGTAAAAAACTAGAGTGAATATAACTTTATTAATACTTTGCTATGTTTTCTTAAACATGAAGGATATCGGAATAAATTCGTGTAGAAAAATTTACTTTATCGTATACAGGATATTGTTTATGGCGTCACCAAAATCGTAACATTTAAAAAATGTTGTATCACACTTTTTTTAAATGCAACACCTTGTATATTATTTTTCTTTCAGATGTAGAATTAAAAGGTGAACATTTTTTGACAAGACAAGATAGACAAAGATCATATTAGGTGGCTTTGAAAAAAATTTACTGTTGAAAGAGCCATATGTAATATAATACTGCGAATATCTGCGACAGCGGTAAAAATTTAGAAACACTTTAAATTAATAAAAAAATGTTCAATTTTTAATTCTGTATCTGACAGAAAAATAATATACAGAATGTCGCATTTAAAAGTTGAGATATACCATTTTAAATATTGCGATTTTGGTGACGCCATAAAAAATACCCAATATAGAATAATGTATATAGAATGATGTAAAAATAAAAAAAAATCAAACTAACTTTACCATAACTTTTTTTGTGACACCCTGTATATAACAAAATATTTTAGGATACACCCCTTTATAAACCTTGAAACATATGAATAAAACTTTTTTCACACCTTCGACAACGACGACGATATTGAACTTCCTCGCACTAATGGGCCACCCTGTATATTTACGGTGGTTTAAAGCTAGGTGTGGCACTTTTCTTCCCTCAAATATAAACTCAATATTTTGTCTATAATATTTTGAATATTGTTATATTACGACCACTTATAATAAAAAATAAATAAAAAAATATAAAAAAATACAGTTCACTAAATTTATAAGAGATTATGCTATTATAAAATTCTTTCAATTAAAAAATATGAATAATTTGCGGAGACTTTAGATGTACAAAATATTTACTGTAAAATTGTTTCAAAAACCAATTTATATAAATTATCTCGTAAATTATTATTGGAATGAAAATTTTATGGAAAATCCCCTGACCAAAAAATATTTTCATGCGCATATTTGAGACAACCTGTATATCTAAAAAACTATTTTTAAATTTGCACACATGCTAAAAAAAATAATAACATTTAACTAATTACATAATATCTCAGCTTCTAAAATAAACAAATATAATTAAATGTTAATTGATAATTACTATCAGCTTGCCGATTTACATCCGATGGAAATCTAAAAAGACTCAAAGAACAATTTTTTGAATTATTTCCACAATTAATAGCAGCGCACAGTAAGGCACTCATTTTTTGTCAATCCGTCCCTGTGCTCGGACGCAGCCCTAGAACCTCTCAGCTCGACGGACCGAATTCAACTGAAACCACAAAACACATACACAAGAAGTGCGAGCGCCTTGCTAAATATTGGAAAGTGAAATTGACGTTTAAATTTGACACTGTTGACAACTCTACTGCTACTAGCGCCCCCAATTTCGCTTGTAGGAACTACGGACTAAATTGTCACGCATGGCGGGAAGTTTAAAAAAATAAAAATTTTTATTTCTTCATTTATTTTTTAATTATACATACACAAAAACACAAAAAATACACCATTTTTTAAAAATATGTTTAATATCAATATCAAATATACAACAGAAATTAATTTCACCACAATAAATTAATAAAATTAAAAGAATAATGTTACAAGTAGATCAAGAGACAAAATTAATTATAACAAAACTGAAAAAAATGGCGTCATAGATGGCTTAGAAATAAAAGATATATCATAATTTTGAAAGTAAAATTATATGGGAAATGTCTTCGATCATCATTTTTAAGCCAACTGGACGATTATTTCAAACATACAAGCTGAGTTCGTTCATAGTGCTCTGAGAAATCTAGATAAACAAAGAATAATAAATTAAAAGTATTCCAGGGGAAAAGAGAGGAAAAACCTGTATCGTCTCTGATATCTGTCAGGGTATTGTTGAAAGTGTCATCTTTTTGCTCGAAGTTTTCAGGTCGATCAAAAAGATGACATTTACAACAATACTTTGCTGTAACTTTCACAAATATCAGAGAGAGTACATACAGGTATTGCCTCTCTTTTCCTCTGGGATGCTTTATATCTGTTGTTCTTTGTTTATCTATATTTCTCAGAGCATAATGCCGAACACGACTACAGTATATAATAATTTCAATATCCGAAGTGGAAAGAAAAAAGATCACCTTTCTGTTTTGTACTATGGTCCCTTTCTTCCGATGGCTCATCTCGTTGATATTTAGGAAGGATAAATAGGAAGGAAAATATAAAATTCAATTTGATTTGATGATCCTTTTCTGTCACCTAAAATCAGGAGAACGACAATGAGCATGTTAAGATGAAAAAAAAATTATCAACACTTACCTACACGTTAGTCCGAGGAGTTTTATTAAAAACCTATATATTTGCCTAAATAATTTATGTATTAAATTTGCAAAGCAAAATGCAGCGTGTAAACAAAAGAAATAAAATGGCGACAAGTCAACGTCAACGACCCGACAAGGAGAAAAGTGGTATTCGAATAACAAATTATGGGTCACCAAAAATTGTTTTTGTCTCCTTTCAACGCACACTTTAGAAAGAAAAAGAGATGAACTGGAATACTGAAAGAACGTCAAGGCTTTATCTGTCACTCTTGTCAATAATTTATCGGTAAGGAAGATTTCTAGAAAATCGCTTGTAGTCAAGTTTTCAACCATTGCCAGTTCTCCCATAAGAAGTGTCATCCACCTGACTGAAACGCTTTGCAACCTGCCAGCTTGCAAAAACTGGCAGAAAATATTTGCGAGAGTGCAACTACTCTTTTCCTTAAACTATGCTAAAACCCTGTATTTTTTAAAATAAATCGAAGCAGATTCAAATGCTCTTTCGAACTATATTAGGGTTTCTTATGCCTATCTAGCTCAGATCTTAAATAAAGAGTAATTTTTCGATAAAATGGCAAACAAGAGCGCTAGTGTCATCATGGCAAATTTCTAGTGGCAGTTAGTAGCTATTATCAAAATCGAAATTAGTTTATGGACTTTATTTAAATTTATACCAATTTATTATACGCTTTTATCTTTAAATATGTCAAAAACCAAAGATAAATAATATAATATTTTCTTGCCTTTAGCTGTGTATTTTTTCTAATTTCGAAAAATCGAAAGTAGAGAAAAAAAATAAAAAGTAAAAAGAAAATTGTTTTGCTTGTCGTAAAGGGGGGAACCAAGCTCCACTCCCACAACCGGTTTTTGGGCCTACCCTTCATCAGGTGGGCTGCCCAGGGAGTTTAATTGGTATCAAATATAGGTGCTTAGACGATACTCGGTATAGTTATAAATTATAAATAACTCCACCTGAAAAAATCCCATGAGAGAGCGTATTATCACGCAGAAAATGAAGCCCCAGTATTCGCCACCTTTAGTAATTGATAAGGGCAGTATTAAGTTCAAAATGGCGGATACAAGTACGCCAGTGCCCAAGACGTGTCTGGCACCGATCTTGTCTGCCAGCCAACCTCCAGGAAGGTGGCCTACGAAGTACCCCACGAAGAAAATGTACTTGATGAGGGCCTGGTCGTTTGTATCCCAGTTGTACTGTCCTTCCTGCAAAAACACAGAAAAATCTGTTAAATATCTGTTACAAACGATTAAAAAACGAATTAAAAGAAATAAATTTCATTGTATTAATGATACGGTTCATTAATACAATGAAATTATTTCATTGTATTAATGATATCTGTTCATTGTACCAATGAATGTGTTCTTCAAATTAATGAACACTGTTCATTGATTTAATGAACTTAAAGTTCATAGAGTTAATGAATTACTTTTCATTGTGCCAATGAAATCGTTCATCTGCTCAAAATTAATGATTTAATTCATTATATTAATGAACTTTTTCATTGTATTGATGTCGACTTTTGGTTCAGTGAATATGAATAAGTTTGTAAAAATAACTGTTTTTCCCAGGTTTTCTTTTTTTGTAAATTTAATTTACTCCTTATATTGCCATATTATCAAGATATCATGTTTTCTCCATAAGAATTAAAAAAAATCAAAAATATTTCCGAAAAATACCAGATTTTCAATTTTTTTGGGGTCGAAATATACCACACCTAAAAATATTTGTCCTTATTTAAGACTCATCCTGTGTATTACATAGATCCTTAGAATGTATTATTAACCCTTTCTAACCTTGACTTCCAGAACTTCCTCAGCTTTCAAATTGGGACAATCATCTCTGGCAGTTGTCGCGTTTTTGATTATCGGTTTCACCATTTCAGTGATGGCGATATTTATCACCACTCTCACGTTGTAGGCATTTTGCAAAGCGAAATGCAGGATCAGAGAGAGGATCACTCGTTGAGGAATTGTATACTCTGTAGAATAAACATATTATTAGTCTTATTTATTATACCGGGTGTTGCATCGTCGAACGGTACATAGGAAATCCCATGTAAATTTTAATGGGGTCAATTATTGGCTTCCCTAATTATTTTAGAGAATAATTCTATTTAGGTTTATTCAAGAGCACTGAAACCCACATTCAAAAGAATAACTTAATAGATATTTTTGATTAGCTCGTTTACGAGTTATCGCCGATTTCTTTTTAAATATTTCTCCTTTCTTATGGCCCTGTATTTACATATGTGCACCAGTCAAGGTAAAAGATAACTGTCAAATGAAGTTGTCATTTCAGAAATTTACCTATTTAGTGCTTTATTATTATTGAAAACTCATTCCTACATCGGAAATCTTAAAGATGTATTTATAAATACAAATTAATATGAATAAGTAAAATAAAGTAAAATAAAGTAATCAATTACAAGGTTAATTATAGTATTATTACAATATTCAATAACTTATTAATTTAGGTACTATTAAATTGTTAGAACTGAAATTCTATTGCATTCGGCAGAAATAGCATTTTTTAACTCGGCTAGATTTGGGTATTTTTTATCCTTGTATATCCTGTTTTTTAAATGGCCCCAGAGAAAGAAATCATTTTCGTCCACATCTCGTAGCTCTTGGTGCTTTTCATATTTGAAGGAATAGTATTTATGTCGTTTCAAAATTCGAAACGCTGTAGTGTGATCTATTCCTATTTCATCCTCAAGTTTCCTTGTGCTGATCTTTCCATCGTTCTCTTCCACGCGCAATAAAACTTCCAAGTCGGTATCATTTCTTGCATCTTCTCTTTGTTCCTGCCTTGCTTCACATCTGCAGTTATTTATTAGGGTACCTTTGGTCTCAAATCTCTGGTTATTTCTTGCGATTGTAGATTTTCCAGGTATCGGTCTATTTGGATACAGAGCAGCAAACATGTCCGACACCTTTTGATAACTATTTCCTTGATAATACCCTTGTTTATTAATACCATTTAATCATCAATACTTTTTCTTCGGTAGTGTAGTCATGGGAAATATTTTCGATGTAGGTATGAGTTTTTAACAATAATAATAAAGCACTAAATAGATAAATTTCTGAAATGACAACTTCATTTGACAGTTATCTTTTACCTTGACTGGTGCTCATAAGTAAATACAGGCCCATAAGAAAGGAGAAATATTTAAAAAGAAATCGGCGATAACTCGTAAACGGGCTAATCAAAAATATCTAAAGTTATTCTTTTGAATGTGGGGTTTATAAATTATATTATCTTAATTTTATAAATTATAATTATTACCAATCTTCAATAAACCTTCTTAAATAAATTTAAGCGTTTACATTATTAGGCATTTGCATAAAAGTGTGTATTTTGTGTGGTATTCCACAAAATTTTCAGGCTATTACGGAAACAGAAAATGTACAGATTCTTCTTCTTCTTCCTGTGCCTTGTGCTTAGCCGCACGTTGGCGATTCTCTGTACTCTTCATACAATGTGTAGAGTGCCGTTTTCGGCTCCTCGAAATATGGTGGCTGCGTCGCTGATGTTACGCCAATCCCGTATGTTTCTTAGTTTAATGTTCTTTTCTTCCTGGGCCTCGCCGTCCCTCTATTTTTCCTTGTAGAATTAGCTCAGGAATGTAATATTTGTCTCCTCTAAGGATATGGCCTAGGTATGAAACTTTTATTTCTTTGACTATATTAAGCATTTATCGTTCATAGTCTGCAGTTCTTAAAACTTCTTCCTTGGTGGCATGTGCGGACGATGACACACGAGCCTCCGGAGAGTGCACATTTCGAAAGGAAGCCTAGATGCGGTTCAGGGTTCTAGCCTTGAGAGACCACGTTTCTGCGGCGTATAGTAGGATGGGCCATATGTAGCATTTTACTACCCGTAGTCTAAGTGCTAGCGGGAGACTGCGTGCTAATAGGAAGTTTTTAAGTTTAAAAAATGTTGATTTTGCATAATTCGTTCTAAGTTTAACTTCCTCATTGCAGTCCCATCGTTCATTGATCATGACATCTAGATATCTAAATCGTGGTACTCGCTCTATAATATTTCCATCCACCGTCAATGCGGTGTTGATTATAGGCTGGCGTCCTATTACCATAAGTTTGGTCTTGGTAGCGTTGATTTTAAGACCGAAACGATTTCCCATGTCCTCCATCTTATTTATTATTTGCTGGAAATCCTCTAAAGTTGGTGCTAGGATTGCTGTATCATCTGCATATCTTATATTGTTAATTGGAACTTCGTTAATCTTAATTCCTCCACTTTCTTCTTCCAGGGCTATTTGAAATGTCTTTTCGACGTACACAATGAAGGTGTCTGTGGATAAGTTTTTGTTAACTCTTATCTCCGCGATTTGGGTCCAATATAGTTCCTGTATGATTTTAATGTCTTTGGCGTCTATTCCTATCTCGAGCAGTCTACCAGACTTAATGTACAGATTACCGAAATAAATTGAAAATAACATTTATATTAAAACAGCATTATGTGTCACTTTTTCAAACATATCTTTCAAGCTTTTCAATTTAATAGCTGTTAGCAAGAAGTTTCACTTTTTTTTTAATGCGCAATAATGATAAAAATAATTATTTATACAATATTGAAATAATTAAAGTAAAGGTACTTACTTCCATATATGCAGTACAGAGGTTTGAACGGCATTTTGATATTCCTTCGATGTCTCCATACAGTTAGATATTATTATTTCATTTTTAAAAAAGAAATTAATTTTAAAATAAAACAAAAATAATATTAAGTCATTGTGTGAAAAGTCACGATAAATATGTCATTTTAATTAAACCACCGATGCCACTTTTATTTAGCATACCTGGTGATTTCTAAATAACCATACAATACAGGGTGTCAAATAAATAGTGTAGGTATCCACCTCGGTGCGTGATTTTACAGATAACAATAAAACAAAAATTCCTATGAACTTATTCTAAAGATGCCGTGCAGATTCCTGCGTAGGCCTTTAATCTTTTTCTTCCTCATCAGATGGTTCTACTAATTGCAGCGACTTGTAGTGCTTGGAAGTCCTGTATGCCTGTCCAATGACGAATATTTCTCAGACAGGATAGCTTCCTTCGGCCTATTCCCCTTTTGCCCCCCTCTATTTTACCATGGAGAATCAGACGGTGAAAGTGATAGCGTTCTCCACGTAGTATGTGTCCCAAATAGGCTATTTTCCTCTTCTTGATGATTTCGAAGAGTTCACGTAGTTCTAGACCAGCTCTTCTGAGAATGGCTTCATTCTCCACACGGTCGACCCAGGGCACTCTTAGTATTCGTCGTAGGGTCCACATTTCGAAGGCTTCAATTCGGTTTATTGTTGCTACCTTCAGTGTCCATGCTTCCAGACCATATAACAAAACAGATCAGACATATCACTTCACCATTCTGTATCTAATGCCGAAGTTCAAGTTCCTATCTGTGAGAAACCTTCGAAGTTTCGGAAAAGTAGATCTTGCTTGTTCGATCCTGTATCTGATCTTCTGATCTCGATCCCACGTTTCGTTAACCATGTAATAATATTTAAATTGTTTGGCCTGCTTGATGACCTCTCAATTTAAGTAAATTCTGGTGTTCGGAATGTTGTTTCTGCTAACAGCCATAAATTTAGTTTTTCTAGTATTTATGTTTAAACTCAGACTTTGGCTTTCATTGTTAACCTTATTTAGAAGGATTTGGAGATCATTTGCATTGTCTGCCAATATCACTGTGTCATCTTCATATCGGATATTATTAATTGGAATGCCGTTTATTTTCAAACCAATGGGACTGTCGGAGATTTACTCAGTGAATGATCTTTCCACATATAAATTAAACAACATTGGAAACAGAATACACCCTTGCCTTCCCCCATTTTTTATTTCAAAATCTTCTGATACTCTTGCGCTATGTATACTGATGAGCCCAGAATGAGTCTCATATCTTTTCCATCATGTCCCAAGTCTCTGAGGTATGATATAAGAAGGTTATGTTTAACATTATCGAACGCCTTTTCATAGTCTATAAAGCACATGAAGACATTTTTTCTCTGATCTTGACACTATGGCCAAGGATATTTTTAAAAACATTGGTACACTTTTTTTCTTGAAATTTGGTATTCTTACAGACATTGTAACGAAAATATTTTCGTTACATTTTTCCTTTTATATCGTTTATCCGTTTTTTTTTATATATTATCGATTTTTTGCGGAACCTCGATAGTGGTACACATCACTAGCGATGGTTGTTAGTTTAAATTGTTTAAATATTTTATATATTTTCTGGTTGCCTATGGGTTACCGATAATAATTTGTTTATTTTTAATGAAAACGAAGGTTTATTATTAATATTTTGTTTAGTGTTAAATAATTAATATGCAATTGTTACACACATTTTTTTGAAGGTATGTAGGAAATTTTATCGTATTTATTATTTTTACTATTAATTATAAATTTTTATATTGACATTTGGTACTTAACGCATGTCTAAATGAATGGGAGAATTCTATAAAGGGACTTTTTTGTTTTGCCGAAAATCGCTCTCTCTCATCTCGATCTTCTTTGCTTAAATACCTAGTTTTTTTTTCCAGACACCGGCACGAGATACGACTTGGAAATTATTTATTAGTTTTATTTTTTTAAAACATTTCTTACTATCTAATAAGATTTAATTATTTGATTTAATTATTTAATTAGCTTGTAACTTTAATTTCCTTTTTCTATTTTATCTTTTTATCTCACAGTTCATTTTTTTATCATTTCTTTATCTTCTTAGTAGCACGTGTATGGTAGTTTTGTAAAATTTTTTCTAATACCTTTAACTTTTATTTAGTACTAATTATTTTTATCTTTCTTATTTATGTACTGAGACGCAAGCTGTTGAACAGGAACCCGCAGAGGTGTTCGATTTAGCAATCTCAGGGGCCATGAATAGAATCAATCACTGCAGGAGTACTCTCAGAGACGAACCAGGAGGGACTCTGGTAAGTAAGGATTTTTATAATATTTTTATTATACGACTTATGTCACCTTTAACGAATCCTTGCTTGCCAGAAGGCAACTCTTGTTTTATCTGGACCCTGTAGTGGTGGTGTCTATTGGCAGGCCATTCGACAGATAGATTTTTGTTTTTTGTTGTTTTTGGGTCACTCTAGGGAACGTATCTTTACCTCGTATCTGCCAAATTTACCTTACCTTATCTTTATCTTATTTGGCGGATGCATTATCTTTGTTCCTGGAGTGACATCTCTTTTCTTTTAGTTTTTTATCTGTCGAATTGCCGCATTTATCGTTTTTCGTATCTTATCTCTATCTTTCTATTTACCTTTATCTTTCTATCTAGTTTTTCAATTTATCTTTTAATATCGCATTTTAGTATTAATTTTTGTTCTAATTTAAATTTTCATATATTTCTAGTTTTTTAATCTTACATATTTTTTTATTCTTTTTACACGTGTCTACAAATTAAATCAAATAATTTACTGTAACAATATATTTTTTTTTCAAGTCGTACCGAAGTGATTGTGGCGGTCTGGAATTTTCTAGAGAGAGAATGCAAAATATTTTTCTTTTATATTTTTTTTATAATTCTATATTTATATTCTTTATATTCTTTAAATAATTTGGACAATCTTTTCAATTATAACTAATTTAAACTGTCATTGCCTATCTTCTTTTTTAAATTTTAATTATAATTTTTACTATAATAATTAGTAGTTGGATTTAGATATTGATTATTGTTTATTTGAATCACCAATATGTTGTTTAATCATAAGTTATTTTTATTGTACCTTCATTGGCAACCAACAGACAGTTCAATTGGTAATTTAGAACACCACCACAAAACTGGGTACTTATCAATTGTGTTGAGTAGAATACTGCTGTTTGTTATCTTCTAGTAAGATACGAGAATTGACCCTCCCCATAAGTAGCTCACGCACTGAGACTGGTGGAGTCTCACAAGCTCTCCAACGTTAGTCGGACAATCACGCTACCCACCAGCGGACGAGTGCAGCGAAGAGGGTGAGGCCTTTCTCCCAACCAACCGAAGCAGAAACACTTAAGTATTCCAGTTGCATATCTAATCTCATATAATCGAGACTGTCACAGCCAATTACATTGATTGTTTATAATTGTTAATTAAATATAAGTCATTAATGAAATTTTCTATTGTCTTATTTAATTCCAAAGCATACTTCCACAAACCAGTAACTTTTAGAATTTTGTGGGTTATAACATTTTAATTCCCAAGCGAATGACGATAGTGTAAAATTCCGTAACAGCCCTGAAAGGGTATTTTCCATTAGAGTAGAGAGTACTCCTGGTGGTACTTCTTTTATCTTTATAAATACAGTAATTTCAACAAATGACATAAATGATCAGTATATGTATACATACATTATTTAAAGTTGCAAATATATAGCCCGTCTAGAAAGTATCCGGAAAAAAAAGCAAGATTGCAATTATCGATATATATTTTTATACTATTTGTGCCATTTATTATCCTCTGTATTGTCTCATATACTACACTTTTTCTGAGTTCAGTCAATTGCACTAATTTTTTAACGTTTCGAACACTTTTTCTATACAAATATTCCACCATTCTCTTTTTTTTACTTGCGACATTATTTCTCAAATCTTAAGCCGGTTTATAATCAACGATATTTGACAGATGGTGTTGCCATGCGATTTTGGTCATAGCCTACTATCGGCACAACCTACGTGATGGATTACTGTTGTCTGTATTACAGAAAAAAAAAATAGATCAAAATTAGAAAAAATATAAAATTCCGGATACTTTCTAGACGAACTATACTTTTAAATCTCACACAATTAATAATACGTACAATAGAAAATAAATAGTATATTTCTTTATCTTATTTATTGACAATATATTGTCATACTAGATATTTTAGTCCTCTTCACGCGTTTCACCTTCCCAATAATCCCAATCTTGCCTTTCTGCTTGCGCGAAAAACAAGTAAATGCATGACGTGCACAAAGCAATCAGCATCATAATCCAAAACACGAACCTCCATTGCTGTAACGTTCCCTAAAAAACAAATTAAAAGAAATTACGAACAATTTTAGTTTCAAAAAAATATACTGTGTGACGTAGAAATCACGACACCTAGTATATGCTCAGCTATATTTATAACGCTTTGTCGGTTGATTGCCTGCATAAAGTGTAGTAAACATAGATTTAGTAAGAACAGATATCACATTGTGCATTTTAACCCGATCAAACAACCGGAGGTTGACTACGTACTGTAAAAACCAACTGAGATAGAGAAGGCGACATTGCCACATCTCAAATTTGCGCCTATCTACTTAGTTTGATTTGCAGAAAAGGTGACTTTAAAACCTTCACCGGATATTAATAAATCTCAATTTCTTAATTAAATTAATAGTTTATCTTTAAAGAAGCATGCGTAATAATATGTTATTAACCAGAGGATCTATGCGTTACTATTAAAGGACATGTTTGCTGTTTAATATGCTGAAACGTCTAGAACTATTGGCAACGTCGCTGCTAGTCTTCCAGAATGAAATGAGCCGTCCGTCCCACCACCCCCCGCGACGGCCCTTGGTCCGTTATAGCGTACTACGTTTAGCTTACGGTGTGTTTGAAGTCGGAATCAAGGCTGATGTGAACTTTTCAGTGATTTTCAGTAGTTTTTGTTTTTGTTTAACGTACTTTTGAATCTGCGAATTTTCAGGTAGGACAGTGTCATGGTAGGAGAGTGTCAAATATGTGGAAAAATAAGCTCAAATTACCCGAATTTGTCTTTTCACAGGTAGGTATTGTTTCCGCCGTAATCGTACATAGGCGTCCTACAAGGGAGCCTCTCAAAATTAAAATAATTTCTAATTATATTTGTTGAAATTTGATCTATTAAAACAAGAACGTAGTAGCCGGTAATTGAAATCTCAATTACTACCTAACTGTTGTAGATCATAACAAATTTGAATATAAACGTTGCATTTGAAACTTTATTATAGAAAGTGACATTTTTTTAAATTGCGTCATATTTTGGTCATTATATACGATATTCTAAAGGAATTTTGCTCAACAAATAAACAAAGGTGTTTACCCGACCTTTTTACATTTTATTGCTTAATTATATCTTGTATCTGCCCCTTCGGTCTTGTTTAGACAAGTTTTTACCACCGTACAATACAAATACCTCTTCCTTGAGTTATTTGTACGGTGTGTTTACCTTTTTTTAGAATGGGACGAACTATAAATAATTCTTAGGCTACTAGTTTTATACATACCTATATAGAGAGTGACCCAGGCCTTCAAAAAAGCTTTTTACCTATTACGTTCTTGGTTTGTGATTTTTATTTGAATCTTTACATAAGATCGGGGCCATTGTAACGCACATTTTCAAAATATTTTTGTCAACATACATGGTGATTCAATACATATGCTTAATACAGTTCATGAAGATTGGGACGTTTAACTAAAATTTGATTGTCTGATTAAGCTACCTAAGTAATGGATTTGTAAATAAACGTAATATTCATTATTATGCGACAGAAATCCCATACTGTAGCACACAGATTTGATACTTTTAATGATAAATGCCCTTTATTGAGAGACTAAAAGGATTAAAATAAATATTGATTTTAGGTATAGGAAGTTATTAATAATACAAGATTAATCAACTATTACACAGTACTTCACAGGAAGCTATCGATTGCGAACCAACTAAATCGTTACTAATTACTAATTTTGAAAAGTTCTTTTTAAGATCATAAAAGGTAAAACTAAAACCTAAACTATGATTTGAGATTAAACGGGAAATTCTAATCATATTCGAATAATGTTGCCTATTCTAAACAAGAAAAATTTACTTATAAGTTTTATAACATCTCTAATTAAATTTGGACGAAAAGAATATTTCTGTTTGCTGTAGGTAATTTTGTCAGAGATTAAACGGGAAGTTCTAAGTTATCTTCTTCTCTCAGGGAAAATACGTAAATAAAAATGACTTTTTAAGTCAAAAGGACAAGTTATTCCAAAAACGGACTGTCCTTTTCAAAAAAGGACAGGTGGCAACCCTAGGTATTTCTGGAATGGAAATTTAATGGCAAATCTACAACTTTAGTTTGAAAATATGTTCCGGCACCTATGATTACAAAAATGTCTAAAACGTGCTTTACCATTGCCTCCATATTCTAAAAAAAATTGAAAGAAAAGTCACTAACCACAAACCTAATATAGAACTGTTTCGGAAGCCTGAGTCACCCTGTAAGTATTCAAAAGTAACTGAGTGTTTATATAGAAGTAACCGAAAGTTTATATTGAATATCGACGTTGGGGCGATTTTCGAAAACTATCTACTAACGTTTCAACATAAGTATATGTGGGATATTAATTATATTATTATATTAGACCTTATAACAAAAAAAAAGTGTTAATGTAGTATATTAGTATGGAGTAAAAATTTTACTAATTACTTTACTTTTTACTTTACTAATTAAATTCGTTCCAAAAAACGATACGCCACTGGCCATTAGAACAATCCAAATGCGCCTAGTTGCCGGGGTCGGAAATTTTAGACTTCTCTGTCTCTTCTGTCCTTGTTTGACACATTGGAATGTTTGATACACTACCAACGAGTATTTATGAATGAGATGTTCGGTCTATCTTTATAATGTCTTTGGTAGTAAACGATAACATTTTTATACCAGTCTGTTTACAAATTACTTTATTTAATGCGAGCCGGATTCGCACGCGAAAGGTTCCGTACCATTCATTATCTATACAACATTAGATACTATATTATTATAAACTTTTTTTCGGATTTAGCTGAAATTTTGAATGCGCGTATAAGTAATTTAAAAAAAATGAAGAAACACATTACTAAAAATTGTATTAATCAATAATAAATATGTAAAAATATGTAAAAATTAAAAAAACAACGATTAAAAATAAGTCGCCTTGACTAGGATTCGAACCTGCCTTACTACGGCTCCAACGTCATAACAGCGTAAAGTCCTAACGCTTTAACCACGCGGCCATCGAGGACTTGAAAGATTCCATGTAAAATTCTTACTTAAAAGCTAATGTTTAGTGAAAGTACTTTTTTATTTATAAACATTTATTTAATTCTGTTTTTAGTATTTGTTCTTATAGCGACAACATAGATACATTATCTGTAAAAATTTCAACTGTCTAGCTATAACGGTTCATAAGATAAAGCTTTGTGATGGACGGACGGACAGCGAAGTCTTAGTAACCTAACCCTAAAAATGACCATTTTAACAGTATATTTCTTACATCTGTGGTAAAGTATCCGGTGATCCAAGAGCCGATGAATCCAGCCCAGACACCCATCCCATTGATGATGGCCATCAAGATGCCACCGTAATGTCTGGTGAGGTCATTAACGTTCACCTTGGAAGCTGACCAGAAAGGACCCTTGAAGAACATCCCTACGGTGCAGAGTATGATCACTCCAATACGGGAACACCCCACATACGTTGACAGGACGTTGCAGAATGCCGGTACAATGATAGCTAGAAGAAGGTACACCGAATGAGTTTTTAAGAGTCTACTATGCTGTACTTTCGGGTCGCTCTCAGGGGTCGGGTAAAGCGGGTGTGTCGCTGAAGAAAATATATATTATATTTCAGAAATATAAATAAATAAATAAATAAATAAATGCCTTTATTGTCAAAATTTTTTTTAATTTGTAGACAAAGGTAAACTAACAAACAAAGTAAAAAAACAAGGTACACAAACAAACAAACAAAAGATAATACAAAACATTATACAAATAATATTGTCAGTCTTATTGTTAAAATAAACATTTATAAATGTTTATAATGTCAAAGAACAAAAAAAAATGTAAAAAATCTGCCTAAAGCTTAACCCGATCCTGTCGTGTTAAGTCACACCTAAAATTCCAAACAGACCGGCTTTGATTAAGGCTTGATTAAGGTTTGCAACTATGGTTTGCACAATGTACCGTTTGTGTCGGGAAAGGGATCATGGTTTCACCGTTGTCGATTTTCGAAAGAAATCAGTACATGTATATTATTTCGTATATTTTTTATTTTATTGATTTTATGGCCAGCACTGTTCATTAAAATGTTGTATCCTATGTTATAGGGCTTGTTTCTCTCAACAACTGCCTGTCCCACAATGTACCGTTTGTGTCGGAGAGGGTATCATAGTTTCATAGTTGTCGATTTTCGAAAGAAATCAGTACATGTATATTATTTCGTATATTTTTCATTTTATTGATTTTGTGGAAAGCACTGTTCAAAGCAAAGTGGAGTCGACGTTCGAAACAAGAGAAGTGCTTTTAGGGGCATTCCTCGACATAGAAGGGGCGTTTGATAACACCTCATTTCAGTCACTGACGAGAGCTACAAAGAACCTCGGATTAGAGGAGACTGGCTGCAGGTGGATAGACTGCATGCTCAAAAGTCGAGTGGCATATACCACCCTACTAAATGAGACTGTTGCAGTCCGGGTGGCGGGAGGATGCCCGCAGGGTGGAGTTCTCTCCCCTCTGCTGTGGAATCTCGTTATGGACGGACTGCTTGATAGTATCAACTGGGCTGGTTTGGGATACGCAGACGATTTGGTCGTGTTAGTCAGAGGCAAGTTTAACACAACAGTAAGGGAGCAAATGCAAAGGGCCCTGAAGATTGTGGAATCATGGGTGACACGGGAGGGACTAAATATCAGTCCTACAAAGACCGTAATAATCCCCTTCACCAAACGAAGAATTTTGGAGGGACAAGGACTTCTAAGACTCTGCGGTGATGAGATTCCTCTCTCGGGGGAGGTCAAGTATCTAGGAATCATGCTGGATACCAAACTGACTTGTAACCGACATTTGGAAAATGTCACAAGGAGGGCGGTGACTACACTAGCGGTAGTCAGACCACTTCATGGAAAAATCTGGGGCCTCAGACCACAGATGGTGCACTGGCTGTACACTGGAATGGTGAGGCCTTCAGTAACATATGCATCCTTGGTATGGTGGCCTAAGGTAATGCAACAAACAACAATGCTCAGTCTTAGTAAGGTGCAAAGACTTGCTTGTCTGAGCATAAAGGGGCAATGAAATCAACGCGCACTGCATCAATGGAGGCGCTTCTGGACCTTCCGCCTCTTCACATAGTGATCCAGGCGGAGGCAAGAATGGGACTCTATCGACAACAAAGTGTCTTGTCCCCGGGAAATAGGACAGAAACAGGACACTTAAAGATGGGAGATTCTATCGGAGGATCTCTACTCCAAATGAGATCGGACCAAATGACCCCTCTTTATCACTACCACAAACCATTCGAGGTGAACAAAATGGATCGAGGAATGTGGACAGATATAACATTTCTTCAGGATGGACTAACCTGGTATACAGACGGGTCAAAGACCGCTGAAGGAACAGGAGCTGGAGTATTTGGGGAAAGACCAAGGGCAAGCTTATCCTTTTCCTTGGGTAAACACTCAACCGTATTCCAGACAGAAATCTTCGCCATTCTACAATGTGCAAGAGAAAACAATAGAAGAGCTTATTTAGGTAAGCTCATCAATATATGCTCAGACAGTCAGGCGGCACTTGGGGCGCTTGTGAACCCAAAGGTATCGTCAAAACTCGTCTGGGAATGCCTGGGTGAACTGGGAGCTCTGGCACGAAGGAACAGAATTAAATTATTCTGGGTGCCGCATGCCGGACCACAGCGGCATCCAAGGCAACGAAAAAGCCGATGAGCTAGCTAGACAGGGATCATCGGCATCCAGAGCCAGTACTGGGAATACTTGGTCCAGAGCCAGTACTGGGAATATCCAAATGTAGTGCACTAAAACTCTGGATCAAGGAAAAGCACAATGTCCACTGGAGAAACAGACAGGAGCACAGGCACAGCAAGGCTTTTATCTAAGGACCTAGCTCTAAAACCGCAAAAGATCTGCTAATGCTTAGCAGGAATAAAGTGCGGACTACAACAGGCCTTTTGACAGGACACATGGCTGTCAAGTGTTACCTGAACAAGCTCAACCTGTATCAAGGAAGTCTTTGCTGCAGACTTTGCGATAAAGATCCTGAAACAGCGGAGCACATAATATGTCATTGCGAGGCTCTGGATCGCAAGCGACACTCTTTATTTGGGAAAGCTAGGCTAGAATCGGAGGAACTATGGTCCCATCCTATCAAGGTCCTGCATAAGTTAGTGCAGGGCACAGGGATAGGAGAATGGGTGCAGATATAGAAGGGGGACAAACACAATAGGCCTCACAGGTCGCAGTATTTCCGGCAGAGGACGGCCCCTTGTTATGGAAAAAAAATCACAAAACTTCAATCTATTTCCGAATTTTAACGGAATTTTAAATTATGTCTTTATTTTCGAGAAAATTTAGTCCAAACATAAGGACTATTTTGTTGATGATTGACCGTTCAATGCAACCAAATTAATAAAAAAAAATTAAAAAAAAATAAAAAAAATAATAAACTTGTTGCACTGTATCTTTTTGTATGGTTCTGAATTTTGAAATTTTACAGAAGGTTTCAGTCTCTTCAGAATTATTAATAAAAAACTCACCAATAATAGTCATCATTTTCCTCATTGCCAGCAAACTCATCAGTTCCCTGTTGGTTATACTATCCACGAAGAATCCACAACCGATAGCCGATATCCAGCAGAACACGAAAGGCATAGCGCTGGCTATACCATTACTTCTTATGTTCATTTTCAAGTAATCCTTGACGAATTTTGGCATATCGGTGTTCATGGCGTAAAGGACGTAGTCATGGCCAAACTGGGCAGCCATGAATGCCAACACCGGGCATGATCTTAGTATATCCAACCAAGGTACTTTAAAACTACCTCCCTTTTCTGAAATTAGACAGTTTAAGGAGTTACATACGAATAATTATACTGTGACATAAACATTGCAACAATCAGTTGTAGTTAAGGTTCAGAACCGGGAATTTCCCGAAGTTCCGAAAAACAGCGCCGGTTCCGAAGACCCTAGTTGTAGAACCCAGGGTCGCTCAACAAAGTTGAAGAGGTAAGATTTTGGCCAGCTGTATTTGTATTTTGATGCATGGAAGACGTGTATCTGTGATATCCATTTCATGAAACGGACAATTACACTAAGTGGGTGTAATTAAAAATCACTAATAATTAAAGTCTTACTTGGAATATTCTTCTGCAAATATTCTTTCTCCTTGTCGGTAATAAACGGATGCGTGCTTGGATACGAGAAGGCCGTGAGCAAAAACAAAACGTACCACAATATGGTCAGTATGCCCCACACGTAAAACGGACTGGACCAACTATTCGTATGGTAAATTATTACGCCGGTGAATAACATGCCCACTATATTACCCAGGTTCATTCCGCTGTAAGCCACGCCGCCCAACATGGCCATTTCCGATTTGGGTGCCCAGGAACTTAAAAACGTCGATATGTTCGGCATTATAGTACCCTGTAAACGATACAAAGCCTAGTACCTCATTCAGAACCTCTAAATTAGAGGAGGGTGTAGAGGTTCGATAAGAAGGGATTTTTCGAAATTCCAGTTCTAAGAGGGTGAAACCACCCCTCAAATATTACAATATTTTTTAGGATGTACTTAAACAGCCGTTAAACGGTAGCCTACTAAAATGCCGTTAATAGATATTGTGACGTCGTTCATGTCGGCGGAAAGTAATGCCTTGCCATAAGTATATTGCAAGAGCACCTGTGGCTCCGTGGCTGAGGCTATCGGTTCGTGAGCGAATGGTCCGGGGTTCAAATCTCACGCTGACCAACACTTTTTTATATTTTTTTTTTGCTTATAGCGTGATCTTATTGCATTGGTTTCACTCTTTTTGGTTGGATTGGTTTAGTTATTTGGCGGGTTGGTTAGCGTGGTTATTTGGAGGATGTTAATTCATTGGTTATTTGGTTATTTGGTGGGGTTGGTTGGTTTTTACTAATTTATATTTGTTTTTTAATTTTTTTTATCAGTGTCGAGGTTAGTTGTGTTGGTTAAGTTGGTTATTTGGTGGGGTGGATAGCTTTGGTTAGCCCTTATATAATTCCTATATTTCATAAAGCCGTCAAGTGCGTCACATCAACGACGTCATACCTATTAACGGCATTTTAGTAAGCTACCGTTTAACGGCAGTTTAAGTACAGCCTATTTTTTATTTAAAAAACGGTCAAGTTTCCGAAAAAACGCTTAAACGCGTATATTTTATTTTATTTTTTTACATATTTTAAGATTTTTAAAAATGTATATCATTGTCATTGATTAATCACGATCCTGCTTAAAGCGCTTGACGTAAAAAGCTGATTTTTGGAAAACATTGACTTTAGGGTGTAGAGCAGGGTTTCTTAAACTTTTTGCAGTCACGGACCACTTTCGCAATTTGTACAATTCCACGGACCCCTATCAGAAAAAATAAAGAAAAATAAAAAAGCCTTATTATTTACATAAAAAGAAAACGTTTATTGGTAAATTTATTACACGTACACTAGTAAATTAGTGAGAAGGATGTTTAGCCTCAATGACAACGTTAAATTGTGTGGTTATCTTCGACAAGGCAAGGCGCATATCATCTCCGACGTTCAATCGGTTGCGACTATTTTTTTATTATTGAGACCATTACAGTTGAGGTTGAGTTGTTTTTTTGTTTTTGTTATTGAGACCACATTGAGACCAGAACCGAGAACTCTGCCCCGCAAAGGTACGTAGTAGCAAATGGTATCAGAACGGTTAGGTATAGCTCGCTTGACAAGAAGAGGGTAAGCTTGACATAAAGAACACCAAAACTCGCCAAGATCTTTTGCATAAAGTTCAGCTTTCAAAACTTCTTTTGATCTCATGTCAATTAAGTCATCTTTACGGAGATCTTCATCCAGAGTTTACAATTCTTTTCCATTGCATTCTATTGTGTGCTGCTTTCTCCCACTGATTTTGCATGCTTATCGCTTTTAAGTTTTCGTGGAAAATATCCTTGGACCTGTTGAGATGTCCACCTGGTTTCCCCTTACCGTCTACCAGCTCACCGTAAAGAAGAGATTTTGGTATGCGGTTTTCTTGACTTCTGCATACGTGAACAGCCCGTTAAGCGGGACTTTGTAATCATGACTTCAATACTCTCGCAGTTAGCTTTTTCAAGGACCGATACGTTTGTGACATGATGAAACCCTTTGATTCTTAGGAGTTGTCTAAGATGTCTCTGTTGCAACTTGTTTAATGCGTTCGTGTGTCGGCGGTATGGAATTATTATTGCTCGGTACACTGCGAGTTTCGTTTTTGTGCTCAAGTCATGATTGTAGAAAACCCTGTCTTTTAATTTCTAGAACGCTCTTGAGGCGCTGCTAATCCTGTGCGGAATATCAGAGTTGATATTGACCTTTCTGAAATCAAACTGCCGAGGTAATTGAATTCCGCTACATATTCGAATAGTTTTTCTCCGATTTTTATAGCATTGTTGTGATCTTCCGGGGGAGTGCACATGATTTTAGTTCAATCAATGTTCAGCTTAAGGCTCACAGCCTCGTATATGCCCGGGTATTTGTGTTCAGCATTTCTTGTAATTGCTGTAACGTTTTTGCAACTAGAGCGCAGTCATCAGCGTATTGAAGTTCTGTGATGCATTTTATACGTCTCTTTTTTGTCCTGAGTCTTTTTATGTTGAACAGACCACCATCGTATTTGTATCCTGATGACAATCAAAGGCCAAAATTACATTACTGGCAAATTTTTAAATATAATTAATGGCAAAAGTCAAAAGTTTGTTTGCTTTTTCGAGTAATTGAAAACTAATTTTGACGCTCTGAATACATTTAAATTAGATAAATTTAAACAAAAACAAACTAATTGAAACCGCTAATTCGTTCCACTAATTTCGAGGTTCTGAAGGAAGATTTATATAAATTTTTTATTTGTGTCCCAATATATGTTTTTACCTGGAATAATCCCATGAAAAAGCGTATAACCACGCAGTAAATGAAGCCCCAGTATTCGCCACCTTTAGTAATGATGGTAGGCAGTACCAATGTCAATAATGCCGATAAAAGAATACCGGTACCCATTACATGCCTGGCACCAATCCTGTCTGCTAGCCATCCTCCAGGAAAATGCCCTACGAAGTAGCCAATGAAGAAAATGTACTTTATCATAGCTTGGTCTTTGGAGTCCCAATTATACTGTCCCTCCTAAAACCAAAAATAGACAGCTAAAGCACGAAATAAAAGTTATACCATAGAATAATTTTGGATTTACAATAATTAAATCGTATTCCATATACTTATGGTTACTTTTCTCTATTCTCTCTGTTACAATGTAAGTAAGTAAATAATGTAATGTAAGAGAAAAAATTCAGATTTTACATTTTACTAAAATATTATCTAAATAAGCGCCTTTCTACAACAACGCCACTGACTCCCAATGGGTAAATTGAGAGTTGCCTACCGGTCGAAAGTCGTTTCAAGACTTAAATGGATTATTTAAGTCAAATTTCTTGCAAATTTGGCACTGGCGAACCATATTTTATAGTTCTTGAACAGAAAATGTCAATAAAATAAACACTTAAGGACTACAAGCTAAGAAAATGCGTTAATACAGCCGGGGACATAGCGGCAACAAAGCTTTACCGCACACGTGCGACGCGTACTACAAGGTAATAAATGAATGAATAGGCTCCCTCGCCTCTAATCGGTGTTGTCATATTGTAAAGAACTTATCCTTTTTAAACAGTATCCGACTTATATTTTAGTAGTATAAGGACTATTTAATACATCTATGGAATATTAAAACCTACTTTATTAATCTGTAGTATTAATATCTCAATATATGTGTGTAAGAAGAAAAAAAATATTGATAATATTAAAGACGTGACAACATAGGCTGGATGAGGAAGGCTCGGTCGACTGTACCCAGAATTAAACATGTATACAAAAAAGATTGTTTGACCGCGTTGAGATGTAAATAGTGTAGTCTATATTTTATTTTAAGTCTATGATACCTTACCTTGTTGGCGTTACGAGCCGCGGCATTGGAGTTTAATACGTGCAAAACATAGCGGGAACGAAGGACAAAATGAAATTTTGACCGGCAGTAGTGAAAATGAGTAAAACAAAACGTTTTCAAGGGAAAATTGGACAAATTGAAGATTTTTGGGAGTAGTTTTGAATATCTTAGGATGAAAAAAGTGATTTACAAAAAGTATAATTTAAATAGGTTTTCTCTAATTTTCTTCTGATTTTTTTTTGGGGGTGGGGGGGACCCCCATTGACCATTTGACCTTATGGTTATTAAGCTGCCACTGAAATTTATAAGTATTCTTTTAACCTTTATATCCAGACCTTCCTCTTGTATCATACCAGGACAGTCCTGAGTAACTTGAGTAGAATTTTCGATGATCGGTTTCACCATTTCTGTGAGCGCTATGTTGATGACCACCCTCAAGTTATAGGCGTTGTGCATGGCAAGATGGAGTATTATGGCTAAAACTACCCTCTGAGGTATCACAAAACCTAAAAGAAAATAAAATAATCTACCCAGTGTTGGTCAAATATAAGAAACAACTTTTAATTAATAAATTTAATAACTTTGTTATCAATTTTTAAGAAATTATTGTACTTACTTCCATACATGCAGGAAAGAGGCTTGCAAGGCATCTTGCTGTTTTATATCCATGGATTCAGATAGAGAGATTGTACATATTTTATGTAAGGATCAAATTTAAAATACAGAATTTCATTACAGAAGAGTTTAAAAATTATTAATCGAAGTCATAGCCAAAGTGTCATTAATTTTTTAAATTTGGTTATTTTTTTAATAAAATAATGTCACTGTCAAGATTTCTATTTTTAAGTTAGGTTTACAGGTTTACACAAATAATAGAAATAGACAAATTTCTATTATTTATAGGTCGAATTTTTTAAAATCAACTGAAATGAACCAATCCTATAACATACAGTTGAGGGTTGGAACCTTTGGTGTTACACAGCAAAATAAAAACACTAAGTCACGACAATACACTAAAACACTTTTACTTTTACACTGGACGCGCGTTTCGCTAACCATGTTAGCATCATCAGCAGATGATTATAAACTAAAGTACAATCTACAAGTTGAGCGTTTATATACTCGCAAGTATCCAATCCCTCATTACCAGAATTGTATGCTTTGCCAAAAATTCATAAGCCGGACAAGTCTATGCGCCCAATTGTTTCGGCTGTAGGTTCTCCGACTTATAATTTGACAAAATGGTTATCAGGGGAGTTCGAAAATTTACCTGATCATGAACCTTCTTTCTCAGTTAAAAATAATATTGAATTCATTAACAAAATTAAAGATATAACATTGCATGAAGGTGAAATTTTGGTCTCCTTTGATGTATCTTCGTTGTTCCCAAGTGTTCCAATCCCACATATTTTAGGCTACTTGAAGGAATTACTGAACGCAAATGGTCTCGACAACAAAACTGTGATTGAATATATTGAGCTTACATCGTTATGTATGAAACCAAATTGTTTTCAATTTAATAACAACTTTTATGAACAGCGGGAAGGTACAGCAATGGGTAATCCATTGTCTTCATTTTTGGCTAATTTATTCATGAGCAGGTTTGAAGTGGAGGCTAAGAATCAGTTTAAGTATTTTCCAAGAGTATAGTTTAGGTATGTGGATGATATTTTTGCTGTTTTTGACACACATTCAGACACCATAGATAATTTTATTTCTAAGTGAAATAATCGTTTTCCTTCCATTAAATTTACGCATGAAGTTGAGTACAACGACAGATTGCCATTTTTAGATGTATTAGTTACTAGAAATGCTAATAATTGCCTGGGATTTGATATATATAGGAAAAATACGACCACACGCAGATATATTCCTAATAAATCACATCATAGTGTTGAACATAAAATGGCTAGTTTAAATTTCTTAGTTCATAGATTACTTAGTTTCCCACTTTCCAACGAAAGATATGGAATAGACAGAGATTACATTAGGAATGTAGCTGAGTGTAATGGATATTCTCCTTCACTAGTTGATAAATTAATTAGAAAACGTAGGTATAGGTTAATGATTTCTGAAAATTCGACTTTTCAAGTGGAGAAAGATGCGTCTAAATATTTTTCGATACCGTTTGATAGAGAGTTATCCCGTGGTCTAAAAGGATTTTTTAAGAATGTCAATTATAAACTTGTGTATAGTGCTAATAATAAATTACAACAATTATTAGGTAATCCAAAGGATAAAACACCTCCACTGGAAAGGTCGGGTATTTATGAAATTTCTTGTAAAGATTGTAATCAGAAATATGTTGGGCAAACTAGAAGATCAATATTAACTAGATTTAAAGAACATCTAGCTCAGATAAGATATGGTAGACCGGATACATCTTGCGTTGCCGAACATATTGTTGATAAAGAACATTGTATAGATCTTAATAATTTAAAATTAATTAAACAAGTCTCAAATTACAGGCAATTAGATGCATATGAAAGCATCAGAATTAATAAATGTAAAGATAGTATGAACAGAGACAACGGTCCAATTTCTTCAAGTTCTTTGTTCCTACTACTCTAGTGGCGGAAATCTAACTGTTACGCTCAGTAGGTTCTGACTCGGTTGGCTAGATTTTGCCACGCCCCCTCGGTGCCCACTGGGCGAGTATACAAACGCTCAACTTGTAGATTGTACTTTAGTTTATAATCATCTGCTGATGATGCTAACATGGTTAGCGAAACGCGCGTCCAGTGTAAAAGTAAAAGTGTTTTGGTGTATTGTGGTGATTTAGCGTTTTTATTTTGCAATCCTATAACTATTGTAGGATACTGTAATAGGACTGTAATTCATAAAAGTAATAAAACTGAAGGTTTATAATAGATATTTACGATACAAGCTATGGATACAAGTGAGTTAACAGCAAAAATCAATTACCTGAATACCTTTGTTCAAATAACACTATGCATGGCAATGTCAATATGACAGTAAATAATATTGATGTCACTAGTTTAAAAAATGAGTGATTCAGAAAGTATTCTCTCTGACATTGAAGAAGAGGCATTCAGAGCCATTTCTGGATTGCTTCCAGCATGATCGAAACCGAAGTATGAATATACATACTCAAGTATGAAAAAAAAGTACACAACTATGGAAATGAAAAGGTACTCATAACATATTTTTCCAATTTATCCGCTACTTATAAGCCTTCGTCTCTTTGGGCTTTCTATTCAATGATACGTACTATGGTATCTATTAAAATGAATATATATGCTTCATCAGGCATTTAATGAAAGATTGTTGAAACTGTATCATTAACATTTATAATAAATAAGGTTTCATGTTTTTATAATTATTATCAATAGAACAGTTTATTTGTATTTAGTAGGTATTTAGTGCAAAATAAATGTTTTACAAAATATTTTTTTCTCTTTGGTAGTCATCTAAAAAAGGAGTGCGGTAATGAAAATGCGTGAGTTAAGAAGCTTTTAACTCACTCAAAATGCGTGAGTTAAGAGCTTCTTAACTCACTGATGTAGATAAATATATTTATTTCTTAAATAAAATCAACATGATTTTTTAAAGTTTAACAAAAGTCGCCTTAACAATATATTTTAGTTATTCTTAAATATATAAAGTACATGTTTAAAAAAGCAGTCATCTATTCTCGTTCTTTTCCTTAGTATCTTCTGAATGCCTTATTGACTCCAGATTGATAGTTTTTGTTTTCCCATCAAAATTGCTCGAGTCGTTCCACCATTGCTCTTCTCCACTTCCATAGAACATATAAACTATGCTGCTGGTGATGAAAATAACGAAAGATATCCAGAAAACTATTCTCCATTCTGTGATTGTATGCTGCCACAAGAAAAAACCAAATATTAACTTGTTGTCTTCGGTTATTAGCAAATAACAATAAATTTAAATTGTAATATATATATATATATATATATATATATATATATATATATATATATATATATATATATATATATATATATATATATATATATATATATATATATATAGATATATACAGGGTGTCCCACTTAAGATGGATACAAGCCAGTATCTTGGTTGTTTGTTGAGCGATCTTTTTCATTTTTGGCAGGAGGCTGTATGGCTATAAGACGTAAATTTTCTTCCTTACCTAAGATACTTAAGTTCAAATTTTGATAAATATTGATATAGGGTGCGTTATTAAAATAAGACATTTTTATTTTTATTATTATTTTTTTAAGTACTTACGACGCCACTGGATGAACAACAGGTTTATTATCAATAACCAGTTATAAACAATTATCAATTAATAATCGATTTAAGTTTTCAGATAGCTTCGATAATAATTAAGATATTATATATATTATTGAGGAATATTTTAAAAAAATCCAAATAGTTAGATATTTAAAACAATCACTATTAACTTTGAAAAGTATGCTCTAAACAAAGATTCATAAACCAATAACGAACTAAAAGTCAACATCTTCGACCAAACCACCATAAAAAAAACGATTATTAATTGATAATTGGTTATAATTGGTTATTGATACCAAACCAGTTGTTTATCCAGTGGCGTCGTAAGTACTTAAAAAAATAATAATAAAAATAAAAATATCTTATTTTAATGACACACCCTGTATCAATATTTATCAAAATTAGAACTTAAGTATCTTAGGTAAGGAGGATTCAATATAATTTATCAGATTTGAAATAAATACTGTCCTAAAAGTAGTTTACTCTTGACTCGAAAAATATTAAACCCCATTAAAACGTACGTCTATGAGGTATCGCATTTCTTACCCTGGGCAAAATGTACGTCTTATAGCCATACAGCCTCCTGCCAAAAATGAAAAAGACCGCTCAACAAACAATCAAGATATTGGCTTGTATCCATCTTAAGTGGGACACCCTGTATCAATGGGCATTGGTTTTTAAAATATGCATCGGTTTTTAAAATTCCCTGTATAATATACAGGGTAGTACCTCTTCTGTCAGTGCTCCTGTCAAATATGGCGTTATTATACCAGCTCCTGCCCCAATCCCATTGGTAATAGCCATAATAATGCCGGCAAAATTCGGGCTCAAGTCCAAAGCGTTGACTTTCATGCCACAGTAGAAGGTGCCCATGAAACCCATGGCTACGGTAAACATCCATACTGCCAGGGTAGTGTTGCATCCAGCGTAGGAAGCGGCCATAATGAATATGGCTGGACCAACAGCAGCTAGGGAAAAACAATATGCTTTTAATAGTTAAAAAATAGAACAATAATTTTGACACATCCTGTGCAATAATTTCGTTTGTAAATTTTCCTAAAATATAATTTTGCGGTAAGAACCATGTCTCCTGAGCATTTTATTTTTTGGATCATGACAATACATGCTTTGGTTAATTTTTTAATGCGAAATGATCTGATCACGATCAATTTGCAATTTTTTCAATTATCATTACTTTGGTGTAATTTTTTAATATGGCGAGATGGTTTTGGTTATTGTCGTAACGTCATATTACGTCGCATCGGATATTCTATACTAAATTAAAAAAAAAAAAAAACATTAAGACTAACGATACAGTCCTGGTTTTAATAAAGATTAATAACGATAACAGAACTAACGATATTAAAAGAAACATCTGAAATAGTGAAGTATACAAACAGAAAAAATTTTGTAAAAAATACCCTAATACCACAGATTATAAACTTTGTTTTTTCTTTATTGTTTTTCGTGGTTCCAATTTTCGGAATCGGGCACTAGTTAGGCTTACGCCCACTTATGGCCTCTAAAATTGTGCACAGCGCCTGACCGGCACAGTTATTAGAGAGATATCGGAAAACCAAATAGCGTCATGCAGTTACGCGTACCTTATCATGGTTACGATATGCGCGAGTCAATTTTTAACAACAACCCCCGCTAATAACATTACCGCCTGACGTAATTTGCGGATCAATTACACCAAGCGCTATTTCTAAATAACGTTTAAAAATTGCTTAAATGGGCATGTGCGGGTATTTTACCACCGGGGCCGGCCGGCGAGATCTTTTATTTTAGGTTATGTTTGAATTGTTTTGAATTATTACTTTAGTTTTATTAGGTAATTTGATATTTAAATAGCTGGGATTAGTTTTAATTAAATAAATACGGCCCAAAATATGGATTCCACCTCTTCCAATATTAAAGAACCTATAAAGAGGCTTAGGTTTACAGCAGATGACGACTTAGCCCTTCTAAGAGAATTTGTTGCTTGTTGCCCTAAACCCACTGGCAGACGTTGAATAATAAAGCACTGGAAATTAGCACTTTAGCCCTTTAGTTTTAAAATACCTAGTAAACAAAACAATTTCAAAGTTTTAAATTCAAAGTTAGGTTAAGTTTAAATAGCGGACGCGACGCGAACAGAGTTTTTTCCGATCCGGTAACTATAAATGAAGAGAGTTAATACCACCTCACGTAAAGGAAATAACACCTGACCTTATTAACGTCCACGCACGCTATTCGGTTTAGCGATATCTCTCTATTACGCTGTTTTTTGTTATTTTACGCGAGTTTATTTTTGCGCACAGGAAATTTTACTCGTTTGCACATCGTCATAAAAAACAATTTTCGTACAACGAATTAGGGATAAGATATTTATCTGTATACATATAGTATACCTAATCTGTGCTAATACTGTGTATTGTCTCCCCTGGCTGCTATAACTGCCTGTTTACATACGTTCATACTGTCATTGAGACTGCATATATCATATTGCGTTATGCTCTCCCATTCTTCTTTAAGGACCAAGCGAATTTCATTTAACGAAGCTGGCACCGCTTCGTGGCCTCTACTCCTCCTGCCAAGCATTTCTTAAACGTCGAACACGATGGGCAGTTTATAGTAGTATATACTTCATAATAATCACCTATTGAAAAAAAACTTCAAAAATAAATTATAATTGAAAAAATTGCAAATTATTCGTGGCAAGTTCATTTCGCTCTTAAAAATTAACCAAGGCATGTATTGACATGATCCAAAAAACGAAATGCTCAGGAGACATGGTTCTGACCGTAAAATTATATTTTAGGAAAATTTATACACGAAATTATTGCACAGGGTGTGTCAAAGTTATGGTAAAAAAACTCCTTGATTAACCCTGTATAATATGCCAATTACTAAAGTTTATTAAAAAACTGAGTTTACCGAACTAAAGTTGATATAATTATATACAGTTTGCTAAAAAAATCATGAAAATACGGATAAAAATAACAAAAATATAACACTTTTTGTGTAAAAATATAACACATTTTAACAAAAATATAACACAAATTTTACCAAAAATGTCTCTATTGTGTTTTTTTGCATTTGAGTGTATTAATAAAAGCCTTGAGCACTTTTTTAATACAGTTTTATTTGAGGCATTTTCCACATTTCATAAAGAATATTTTAAGCAACTTAATGCAAATGAAACTTTAAATGTCTTACCAAAACAAGTAAAGAATCGTCTAGCTCCAGTTACAGTCATGTAACCCTTCAAAATCAACCAATCACATATCCAACCTCCTGCCATGGATACCACCCACATGGCAGCGTAGGGAACAGAGTTCCAAATGCCGTTATCGGCAACGTTAAATCTTAGGACTTCTTTCATGTACTTGGGCAAGTCGGAGACCATGGTGTAGAAGCCCCAATCGTGGCCTATTTGGGCTGCTATCAAGGCCCATAAGGGTACAGAAGTGGCGAGAGCTTTCCATGGGATGGGTAGACGGTCCGAAGATATTGAACCTATAAAATATTAGGAAAAAATTGTAATATTAATACAAAAACTATTTTAATCTACGACAATGTCATTATGACACATTTAACATTGTCATTTGGATGTCATTATGGCTTTCATAATAGCACGCAAATTTTAAAATAAGAAACAAGCAAAAAAGGTACCTAAATACGTTTATTTATTGTAAACATTAATTATAATATCAGTACAATTGGTTAAATTAATTCCAGACGATGACAGGTGAGTTGAATTTTTAGATAGTAAATTTATTTCCTGAGTGCTTGAACTTGTTGAAGACCCATCATTGCCAGAAATGTTACCCAAAATATTACATGACACTTTTTTCTTATTTTCTTTGGAATTTTCTGTATAGCTGTCTGCCACTGTGTTAGAGCGCCAACCACCATGTCCTTTAACAGTTAATAAATCACTCCTGAATCTGCAAGTAACGACGCAGACGATCTACGGAAACAATGTCCAGTGTATTGTTGTGGATTTGGAAGACTTAGGAACAATGCTATTTTATACGGCATTTTCCCTAAAGTATTAATGCCAACGAGTTGCTTGATACATTTTCCATTTCTGTACCTCACAAAAAATCGAGTATGCTCTGTGTTGCTTGGCCGCATAGCTATATATCTTCGAACCATTTCCACCATATTTATTCCTTCAACATTCCCTTTCGTTATAAAAAAAATCTCATGATATCTTTGTTTTCGTAAATTGAATAATGACATGAATGCATTGTCCTTCATCTTTAACATTTTGCAGCTGCAGATTTGTCAACTCGATACGCCGGCAGGCTCCCGTAAGTCCCACTATCAATGAAACTTTTGTCAGGAAATAAGTTTTATCATCGGCTTCCAACAAAAAACGAGTTATGTCTTCTTTTCTTAAAATTCTCGATTTTTTTGACCGAAATCCTTCCAATTTTCTTTTTAGAAATACAATTAGATGGACGTACTTACTAATATCTGTATTTTTCTTCACTGATATAACTGAACGTAGCATGGAATAATATATCCAAAGTGATGAAGCCTTCCTATGTTTTGAAAGATGTTCAAAATATGCCAGGAGAACCTTTTCGTTACTACTGTTCTTGATTCCTTTCCCTTTACACCAATCTTCAAGTTTTACATAGGCTTGCTCGTAAGTTTGTCTTGATTTTTCGGGAAGTGGGGAATCGACAACGTTTTGCGCAATGCCTGCAATATCCGAAGGGACACTTTCAGAATCAGAATCACCCATATTAATATTATTTTTTGCTTTTTGCTAACACTGAACGTTTAACACAAAATTGAACATCAATAATTGAGTTGTCAAAGTCAAAATAGAAACAATCAACAAGCACGGTTACCACGGCGTCGACTAATATGGGCACCTGATAATTTTGAATTTTAATTTTTATGAGGATATCTCTGATATTTTAAATTAAATCAAATCTCTTTGGATCGTCCCTCGTGTCGCGTCGTAGATTAAATTTTGAATGATACACGTTCGATACGAACTTTTTAATGAAATTTGTGTAACGTTACACGCGTTTCATTATGATGTTCGTATCGAACTTGTATCATTAATAACTATAAGAATAAATGCACTTACCATGAAAGTATCAAAATTAATAAATATTTAGGGTGGTCATAACTGCATTCCGTAAACTTCGGAATCATATTCTGCAAATAAAAATAAGTAAAAAAGTTTGTATAAATGTGTGTTCTAAAATGCTTAGTTTCGGAAATACAGGGTGTAAAAGTTTCATTTTTATTTCGAGTTTTTCTAAATAATTTAAAGTTTTTTTTTAATTTAAAATAAGTAACGTCAATATTTGGATGAAAATTGGTGTCTGGGAATTTTGTGACATGAGAAATTTGATTTTGATGTCAATATGACTTCAATTTGTAGGGGGCGCCACCTACATGTGTTTTAACTGTTTTGAAGAGTAATAACTTTTCGTTAGTACCTGTATAAAACTACTGAGTGAAGAAATATTCATTTTCGTGATTTTTTATGTAAAAAATGTCTTTTGGTAAAAATTGCTACAAGCAACCGTTCTCAAGCTATTTAGAATGGAAATAGTCAATACATGTCATTATTGACAAAAAAGACTAAAATGATAAATATATGAACTTTTTTATGAATTAATAAATTAAAAACTTAATAAAACAGTTTTTGTTATAGCTTTGGCACAAAAATATTTCAAATTTATGATTTCAGTCTAGTAACTAAACTGCCCGACAAATTAAATACCACAGCGATTTTTTTACTCATTTTCAACGAGTTGTAACTTTGAAAAAAATGGACCGATTTTATTGATTTTTTTAGCATATTAAAGATCGTTTTTCGTAGATTAATCTGATTTTTCTAAATTTTGTATGAGATTTAGTTTTCTATGATATACAGGGTGTGAAAAAAGGAATGTAATTTTTGTAATTTTTGTGTTGCTGCCATTTTGCCAAAAAAAATTAACTAAAATTATAAGTTCTGGGTATAGCTAAGACTAATATCTCGGGACGTATTTGGAATTTTTACGATAACTCATCTGGAATAAAAAATAATCAATTTTTACTCTAACTTGTATTTTTTCTACCTTTCTTAAGAGATATGCTAACAAAACTGAAATTAACTTTAAAATTGTAGGATATTCGTTACCTTTACAATGTGAAATTAAAAAAAAAAACTGATTTAACTAACGCAGTTTAATACAGGATCCCTTAAAAATACGACCAGCGAAAAAGTAAAATTATTTTTTTAATATTCAGAACTTAACAGCCCATAAGGTTAAAAAAATAATTTTACTTTTTTGCTGGTCGTATTTTTAAGAGATCCTGTATTAAACTGCGTTAGATAAATCATTTTCTTTTAATTTCACATTGTAAAAGTAACGAATATCCTACAATTTTAAAGTTAATTTCAGTTTTGTTAGCATATCTCTTAAGAAACATAGAAAAAAATTAGACTAAAAATTGATTATCTTTTATTCCAGATGAGTTATCGTAAAAATTCCAAATACGTCCCGAGATATTAGTCTTAGCTATACCCAAAAACTATAATTCCAGTTAATTTTTTTTTTGGAAAAATGGCAGCAACACAAAAATTACAAAAATTACATTCCTTTTTTCACACCCTGTATATCATAGAAAACTAAATCTCATACAAAATTTAGAAAAATCAGATCAATCTACGAAAACCGATCTTTAATATACTAAAAAAAATCAACAAAATCGGTCCATTTTTTTCAAAGTTACAACTCGTTGAAAATGAGTAAAAAAATCGCTGTGGTGATTAATTTGACGGGCAGTTTATTTAGTCAAAATGTTTAATTTGTGTCAATAATGACAGTTATTGAAAATTTCAGCTCCAAATATCTCGAGAACCATTACTCGTAACGATTTTTACCAAGAGACCTTCTTTACGTAAAAAACGTCGTAAATGTATATTTCTTTACTCAGTAGTTCTATACAGGTACGGACGAAAAGTTATTACTCTTCAAACGAGTTAAAAGTATATAGGTGGCGCCCTCTACAAGCAGGAAGCATATTGACATCTAAATCAAATTTCTCAAGTCAAAAAACTCGCAGACAATAATTTTTATCGAAATATTGACGTTACTTCAGAAATTATTTGGAAAAAGTCGAAATAAAAATGAAACTTCTACACCCTGTATCTCTGAAACTAAGCATTTTTAAAGATACATTTATACGAACTTTTTTACTTATTTTTATATGCAGATTATGCTGCCGAAGTTTCCGGAATACAGTTCGGATCACCCTGTATAATAAAGGTAAAGACAATATAAATAGAGATAATGGCCCAATTATTTACATATATTTACATATTCTCCAAAAAAAATCTTCTTAATGAATTAGTGATGGGCAAAACTGTTATTTTTAGATAACAGTTGAAACTTATCGTTATTTATAAAAAACAGCTTAAAATAACAGCTTAAAAATAACAGGTTTCTTTATTTTACTGCTAAATATCTGAAAGAGTATGAGACGGTCACCGCCAGGCGTATTAACGCAGTTGCAAGTTGCAACAATGACGTGCTCGGTGGTAGTATTTCCAGGGTGTCAAAACATTTCTAAATATCGATTGTTATTTAAAATACCTCTCTAAAAACGGTGGTTGTTTACAAATAAGCGCTGTTTACAAATTGCGATATAAAAAAAGCCAAAATTCCGCCACTCGTCTATACCTACACATTGCGATCTACCTACGCCCTGCCCCTCGATCCGCGTAGATCCTGAATTGCGTAGCAGTGTACAGGGTGCATCTCACTCGACGGGCGAGAAGCTCTTAGTTATGATTTTACCATTTGCGGTCAAAAAATAGCAATATAAGAAAATGTGTAGTACCTATAATTCTTCATAAGTAAACCAACTACACACTAGAGTTCGAATTAATTTTACACTTAAACTAGCGTGTACCCGCGACTTCGTTCGCGTCGAATTAATAATTTCTAATGGTGATGATAAAGCAAAACAAGAATTTCCATTAACATACAAACTGGATAAAATTTTCTCACATTTGCCAAAAATAAGCTTTCTAACGTCGAGCAGTTTAAGCAGAATCGTGGTTAATCAATTACTCAACTTTTGGAACACCCTGTATGATTTTTTAAAAATTTCAAAATATGTAAAAAAACAAAATAAATTATGCGTGTCCAGGCGTTTTCTCGAAAGACTAACCGTTTTTAAATAACAAATATTGTAATATTTGAGGGGCGTTTTCACCCTGTTGGAATTTGAGATTCGAGAAACCCCTCCTTATCGAACCTCAACCCCACAGTCAATCCGTTTGCAAAAAATCAGCTTTAAACGTCCAGCAGTTTAAGCAGAATAGTGATTACTCAATGGTCATATTTTATGAAACACCCTGTATATATTTTTAAAAAATCTTAAAATATGTAAAACAACATAATAAAATATACGTGTTTTAAGAGTTTTTCCGAAAAACTCACCGGTTTTAAATAAAAAATATTCTAATATTTCAGAGTAGTTTCACCCCCTTAGAATTCGAGTTTCGAAAAATCCCTTCTTATCGAACCTCTACACACTAAAGTCAATCCGTTTTCCAAAAATCAGCTTTTTACGTCAAGGGCTTTAAGCAGGATCGTGATTAATCAATGACCATATTTTTCAAAACACCCTGTATGCATTTTAAAAAAATCTTAAAACATTATTCTGAAAATTTTTTAGAATATATAAATACCTAAATATTGAAACTTAATAAGTAAGTACTGAAACATACAGCGCCATAATATCTCGACCTCCGTCCGTTATGCTCGTAACAGTTTGAAACAGAATGTATCTAAAACAACTGATGCATTATTCCCCAACCTGTTTCGAACCTCCATCGACAATCGACCGATGCAACAGCTTTCCTTTCCCACACCGATTATCTCGACCGCCGCCCTGTTATGCTCGTAACAGGTTGAAAAACAACATATCTAAAATGACTGCTTCTCCAACCCGTTGCGAGCCTCCATCGACAATCGACCGATGCAGCAGCGTTCCTTTCCCACTCCTGTTATCTCCACCGCCAGGCGTTATGCCCGCAACTGTTTCAAAAAACCTGCTTCTTTTATATCCTATTATTTTTAAGCTGTTGTAAATACGACCATCGACGGTATCGACCGAAGCAGCTACGTTCGCCGTAGCGCTTTCCCCACTCCGTTGTCCGTTGTCTCGCCGCCTGTATAGATGGTTGACGAAATAACATGTTTTCCATCCATACTAGTTGTTTTTTGGAATTGCTTCGAGCAGCATAGAATTTTGTGGTGATGCAGAGCGCCGACTTCGTTTTTCGTTTCACGAGCGGCCGATCTCTACGTGTCGTTATTTTATATCTGTTATTTTTTAGAAGTAGTAACGGTTGCGTTATGTTATTTATAAATAATTGTTATAAAATAACAGATAGTTAAATAACAACCCATCACTATAATGAATGCGATTTGAAGTGATTAAACTAAACATTCTTTACCTAATTCTTTTTCTAAAAATATTTTCTCCTTGTCGCTGATGAAAGGATGGTCTTCCGGGGCCGAGTAGCAAAGTACTTGGAAAAACAAGAACCACAGAATCCCGAGTCCCCCAAAAAGGTAAAATACTGATGCCCATTCTTGCGTGGCTTTGATCAATTGACCGCTGATCAGATTGCAGACAATGGTACCTAAAAACAAATAAAAATAACACGTAATAGTACTTATTTAATTGGATTGTGATGCTAGACGCATGAATACACAAATTCTGTATTATAAAAATTGGTTCCAAGTTAAATCATTTTTTTAATTGAAATGAATAATATTTAGATGCAAACATAGAGATGAATTACTATTTTTTGTGTATTTTGGTTGAGTACTAGAAGTAATAATATTCTGATGATTTAACACAAATATCTAATATTTGATAGTCAATATAGAAAGTAAATGACCCTAAATTCATTGTTATCTACAAAAAAAACGAGGAAATTCTTAGATAAGTCCATTATAATGTTTGCAATTGTGTCTACCTTTATATTTAGTACACATCGTATTGTTAGCAATGATTGAATTGCTTGAAATAGTTAGTGATACCAATGTTGCCAGAAATTTTCGAGGGAATTTCTTCAATGGAGCTTTAAAAAACTTTCTTATTCCTTCAACTTCACAAAAAAATCCAGATTTCGTGAATCCAGATCACCAAATTTCGTGTATTTTAGATGAATATGTATCTATTAATGTTTTTACAGTTGAGGGTTGGAACCTTTGGTGTTACACAGCAAAATAAAAACACTAAATCACCACAACACACCAAAACACTTTTACTTTTACACTGGACGCGCGTTTTGCTAACCATGTTAGCATCATCAGCAGATAATTATAAACTATATGCTCAGTGGGCACCGAGTGGGCGTGGCAAAATCTAGCCAACCGAGTCAGAGCCCACCGAGCGTAACAGTTAGATTTCCGCCACTAGAGTAGTAGAAACAAAGAACTTGAAGGAATTGGACCGTTGTCTCTGTTCATACTATCTTTACATTTATTAATTCTGATGCTTTCATATGCATCTAATTGCCTGTAATTTGAGACTTGTTTAATTAATTTTAAATTATTAAGATCTATACAATGTTCTTTATCAACAATATGTTCGGCAACGCAAGATTTATCCAGTCTACCATATCTTATCTGAGCTAAATGTTCTTTAAATCTAGTTAATATTGATCTTCTAGTTTGCCCAACATATTTCTGATTACAATCTTTACAAGAAATTTCATAAATACCCGACCTTTCCAGTGGAGGTGTTTTATCCTTTGGTTTACCTAATAATTGTTGTAATTTATTATTAGCACTATACACAAGTTTATAATTGACATTCTTAAAAATTCCTTTTAGACCACGGGATAACTCTCCATCAAACGGTATCGAAAAATATTTAGACGTATCTTTCTCCACTTGAAAAGTCGAATTTTCAGAAATCATTAACCTATACCTACGTTTTCTAATTAATTTATGAACTAGTGAAGGAGAATATCCATTACACTCAGCTACATTCCTAATGGAAAGGGGGAAACTAAGTAATCTATGAACTAAGAAATTTAAACTAGCCATTTTATGTTCAACACTATGATGTGATTCATTAGGAATATATCTGCGTGTGGTCGTATTTTTCCTATAGATATCAAATTCCAGGCAATTATTAGTATTTCTAATAACTAATACATCTAGAAATGGTAATCTGTCGTTGTTCTCAATTTCATGCGTAAATTTAATGGAAGGAAAACGATTATTTAACTTAGAAATAAAATTATCTATGGTGTCTGAATGTGTGTCAAAAACAGCAAAAATATCATCCACATACCTAAACCATACTTTGAAAAAGTTTCGAAGACTTTTTGACAGCAATATTGCTTTCCACAAATAAGACACTCTGTGTATTTAACCTACCTATTTGACCTCCAGCGTAGACCAGCGACCCAATCTTTGACCTCTCCCCCAAAGGTACCCATTGTGCCAGCATGGTATTCAAGGCAGGGTAAGTCGTACCCTACACACAAACACAAACCAACTGCTAAGTTTTTCTTTAAAAACGATGTCATTTTTAATTATCTAAAACTTACTTCGCCCAAGCCTTCGACTACCCTCAAGGCCACCACCCATTTCCAGTCCCCTTTGGTGATGTGGATCACCCATGGAGTGATGACTGTGAAGATTCCAGTGGAGAGTATGCCCAGTCCCAGGGTGTATTTACCGCCGAACTTGCTGGCTATTATACCACCCGGAAGGTGGGTGATCAGATATCCCCAGTAGAAGGAGCTAAGGATGATTCCTTGGGTTTTTTCGTCCCAATCATATAAAAGATCTGGGTTCTGAAAGTATTTGTGTCTTAGTAAAATTACGCTTGGTTAAGACATTAAGCAAAATATAAAGGAATATCGACAATGAACCAACAAGAATGGTCATCATTGTCTTTGAGGCATATTTCTGGTATTGATATAGTATACCGCATGAGCGAAAAAAAAAAAAACGGCGTCCAGTTGGCTGGGAAATGACTGTCAATAAAATTTCCCATATAATCTATACAGGCTAATACATATATTATAAATTCCTTAAGTGACTGACTCACTGATTAATCACGATCCTGCTCAAACCACTCAACGTAAGAAGCTCAATTTTGGCATACAGGTTGACTCTAGGGTGTAGAGGTTCGATAAGAAGGGATTTTTCGAAATTCCAGTTCCAAGGGGGTGAAAGCACCCCTCAAATATTACAATAATTTTTAATTAAAAAACGGTCAAGTTTCCGAAAAAACGCTTTTTTTTATATTTTTTAAGATTTTTAAAAAATGTATACAGGTTGTTTCGAAAAATCTGGTCATTGAGTAATCACGATCCTGCTTAAAGCGTTTGACGTAAAAAGCTGATTTTTGGAAAACGGATTGACTTTAAGGTGTAGAGGTTCGATAAGAAGGGATTTTTCGAAACTCGAATTCTAAGGGGGTGAAACCACCCCTCAAATATTAGAATATTTTTTATTTAAAAACCGGTGAGTTTTTCTGAAAAACTCTTAGACGCGTATATTTTATTTTGTTGTTTTACATATTTTTAGATTTTTTAAAAATTTATACAGGGTGTTTCATAAAATATGACCACTGAGTAATCACGATTCTGCTTAAACTGCTTGACGTTTAAAGCTGATTTTTAGCAAACGGATTGACTGTGGGTTGTAGAGGTTCGATAAGAAGGGGTTCTCGAATCTCAAATACCAAGAGGGTGAAAACGCCCCTCAAATATTACAATATTTGTTATTGAAAAAACGGTTAGTCTTTCGGGAAAACGCTTGGACACGCATAATTTATTTTGTTTTTTTACATATTTTGAAATTTTTTGAAAAATTATACAGGATGTTCCAAAACGTTGGGTAATTGATTAACCACGATTCTGCTTAAACTGCTTGATGTAAAAATATGTTAATAAAAATTCTTGCTTTGCTTTATCATCACCATTACAAATGATTAATTCCACGCGAACGAAGTCGCGGGTACACGCTAGTTTTCACATAAAATACCATCGATCTTCATTTCATCGCTGACGCCGTTTTTTTTTCGATCATACAACTAAACTTTTTTTTGGTATAGACAAAAAATACATCCATGTAATTCAATTGATAGAAAAAAATCTAAAATAATTCCTAAATGAGGTATGTATAAAAGATAAACTCGAAATCCAGAGACCTAAATAAGGAAAAGATACTTTTTTGGATTGTAATATGCTTATGGATCAAAATATAAATTAAATTTATTGCGATTATTTTGCAATCAACAAAAATTACAACTAATAATAAATCATAAATAACTAAACGCCTGAAGAGAGAAAACCAAGAATTGCATAAAATTTTATATTTCGTATTAATACCTAACTGAAACAGGTTACGAAATTAGATGATTTCTTTAAGAAGAAAATTTTCCGCTGTTTACATTATATACTGCTTCTTACCGGTATTCTTCAAGTTCTTTTTCTTCAAAAAATGTCTGGTAAAATTATAAAAATATCTTCGTAAGGTATTTAGCATACAAACAAACCCGATGATATAGCAATTTATTTGTCTAGCCTCTACCGCGAAGGACTTTTTTATTTAAAGAAAGGTAAGTTAACCTTATGATTGGCAAGAGTTTTGTTTAATAAATGCAGACACGTTAACAATAATTCCTGTTAAGCACCGCCTATACAGAACATTTTACCTGACTGTCTTACCTGTTCAGTGTTCAGTAAAAAAGTAAAATTTTCTTTTAAAAAAAGTTTTTTCTTTTAAACTGCACTAAACGCAATGATAAGATCATAGTTTCATAGTTCTACAATTTCCTGTCTCACAATGTACCGTTTGTGTCGGGGAAGAGATCATAGTTTCATAGTTGTCGATTTTCGAAAGAAATCACTACATGTATATTATTTCGTATATTTTTCATTTTATTGATTTTATGGAAATCACTGTTCATTAAAATGTTGTATCCTATATTATAGGGCTTGTTTCTCTCTATAAATTCCTGTCTCACAATGTACCGTTTGTGTCGGGGAAGGGATCATTGATAATTGATAAAACTGCATGTAAAACTTTCAGTGTGTACTCGAACTAAAGAAAACAATAACTATAATAATAACTATTTTCAGCTCCAGTTCTAAAATATTATTCTTAAATTGGGTTTATTCAGGGTTTATTCATTTTTTTATCTATAATTTAGTATCTTATCTAAAATTGCATATGTTATTGCAATTTTTTGTTTTGACAATGATTTTTTTTTAAATCGTTCAAAGATAAAAAACTACTTGTTTTTATTTAATTATCTGAATTTCTGTAATCTAATTCAATTATTGATTATTTTCTAATTATTATTTAGATATAAAAAATAAATATTACCTGATGCTTCTTAAATAAGCGCAACTTGCTTGCAAATGCTTACTTGATCTCAAGTTCAAGATTTTCACTATATGTATATGTTGTTAAAGAAACTTTAAACTAAAATGGTTTTCTTACCGTAACAACGTTGGTATCTGAAGAATTACTAACTCCAACATTACAGTAATCTTCGTATGTGTTGTTGGACGAATGGGTGCTATTGGTCATCTCAGTGATTGCAATGGATAGTGTCACTCTCATTGCGTAGGCATTTACAATGGCTAGGAACCCCATCAGACCCAAGACATACCTCTGAGGAATGAGAAAACCTAGAAACAAATTGTTAGAAGAAAAGTATTTAGAAGTTTTTCTTATCAGGCTATAGAAAAAGAAAAACAAATTATCAAGGCAAAAAACTAACAAAAAATGTTGCAAAACTCATTGACATCTGTTTTAGCTCAACGGTTCTTCACATAAAACAAATTTTCTTTTAATAGCCTTATAGTTTAGTGGCTTTACTAAGAACCAGTAGTAAACCCCTTATGGAAAAATACAGTATATTAATAAAAAAGGTAAACAGTTTGATTTAATTAAAGAACAATTAAAAATCTATTTTCTTATCATATTTCCACGCAACAGGTAATCTTTGTAGCGTTTGTTTTTATTTGATCAAGATATATCTAATTGGTTTTTAACCAGTGACACACATACTCACCCTAGATAGATATTAACAGTAAAAAAATTATTTATCTGGTTAAATCATGAAAACTCCAGTGATTTGACGTAGTTCCGAATATTTTCTATAAAATTTAATACCTTTTTTTGATTTCAGTTTTTATATATATTTTTTTAAAATATAGTTAATAATTATTTTTTTATAAAATATCGTTAATAATTATTTTTTTAAATATAATATTTAAATAATACGTAGTTCTTCTATGTCCACGGGCTGTTCGAACTCCCTGTATATTTTGTAGATCCGCTTTGGAGAAAAAATATCTCATTTTTTTTAAAAACTATACCGGGTGCGTCTCGAAAGGGGCTCACTCCTATAATTTTTTTTATTTTTTCAGATAAAAAAACGAGATTTAGTATGTTAGTATATGACATAAATTAGGATTGATTGACGTATTCAATTGTTTTCGGTCACTTCCTGTTTCACCGGAAATGACTACAACTGTTGATTTTTAAATGGCACTCTCGTTTTTTTTTACTTTATTCGATAGAAAATGACACTCTGAATAAAATGACGTATCATATGTCAACTTTTGACATTTTTGCTATAAAAAAAAGTTTCAATCTAGAGTGCCATGACTGTGTTAAAAACACTAATTTTTAATCAAGGAGCTTTGCAAAATTAGATTTGATCGTCTACTGTTTTTCGTATCTTGTCCTGGCCTGTTAAAAGATGCCCAAATCGTATTTTTAATCATATCTCAATTTTTTTTTAAATAGAATAAGGGTGGCTCATTAGCACAATGACGTATCATATGTCAACTTTTGACATTTTTGCTTTAAAAAAAGTTTCAATCTAGAGTGCCATGACTGTATTAAAAACACTAATTTTTAATCAAGGAGCTTTGCAAAATTAGATTTGATCGTCTACTGTTTTTCGTATCTTGTCCTGGCCGGTTAAAAGATGCCCAAATCGTATTTTTAATCATATCTCAATTTTTTTTAAATAGAATAAGGGTGGCTCATTAGCACATTAGGAAAAAGCATTTATTTATGAATAATTATTTATTAATTTTTATTTAGGAATATGTCCCAGGATGGAGCGACGAGATGGAACAGCTCTATCAGGAATTTCAGAACAACGGAGACTCTGAGATAGCAGACGAGCTCCTTAATCGTCTTGATATAGAACGCTGTAAAAAATGGGAAGAAACGACAGGTAGAATGGATTTCAAAAAATCTAGCAGGAGGCTTGGAGCCTTCTGAGGAAACTGGGTAGCTCTAGGTGTTACTTTTTATCACACTGTCTAATGCCCATACAAAATTCAGTTTTTTAGTATTTGGAGCAATTATTATTAATCAACGCAAACAGTCAGTTAATGTAGTTTGAAAACTGGAATCATATTAATTGGTCCTCTTTAACAAATATTTAAACAGTTTTTTTTATTTTTTAATGAAATAAACAAATTATATCAACAATATTAGTATCTGTACTCTTTAAAAATTTGGTACATTTTTAAAAATAATCTAAAATGTCAATAGTCCCTGGGTATATTGATAAATTAGTTCTAAATTACTAAAATGCATTTTCTACGGAAACTTAAAGAGATAGGTAAAAAATGGTATAATATAATTTGATAGACAATTAAACTGTGCATCTGATTCTCGTAAAATATACAGGGTGTTCCATTTAAATTAAACAAGTTATTGCCGTTTGAAGCTAATAATTATTTAAAATAAATTTTTAGACACTCTGTATAAGGTAGTATTATTTTTATTATTGCAACACAATAACTGATCAGTAAATAAACTTCAGTAAATATTTAGTATTAAAAACTTTGATACCCTTGGAGAAATGAAGACATTAAAATTTTTACTGCAATTTCACAAAATTGAAAATATTTCAAAATTGGAGTTTAAGTATAATAAACCTTAATCAAATTTACCTTTATTTTAATCGTAGAAACTAAAAAATGTAATAATATACAGGGTGTTCCATTTAAAAAAATACAACTTTGATATTTTTTACTTATTTGGGACACTCTGTATCTTGTAAAATTATTTTTAAATTGTACCTCTAATAGTCCTTCATCGAACCCAAAACTTACAATTTGTAAAAATCTCATCGTTTAGCTACAATACTCCGTGTCGTATGTGGTAAACCACCCTGTATACTTATATTTTTTCAGTGCAGGTAAAACGACAGTTTTGTTGTAAAACTGAATTATCAAAAGATAGGAGCTTTAAGAAAGTAGGTACTTACATTCGGATACTGTCAATCTCCATCCTGTGAGCATTCTAATTATCACCAATATCCTTTGATCACACTCACAATACCACCGAAATTCAAAAAAATAAACCAAAACAACCGCTATCAAAAAATAATTACTTTTTTTCAAAAATATACAGCTCAAGACATAAACGTTTATAAATCTGTATAAACCATTAAGTTTTTGAACAAATATAGTCTAAAAAAAGAGCCGTTTTGGTACCGTTTAAGTTTGTTTAAAGATTTTTTTTCAAGAGAAATGAGCGCTGAAAAGTACGTAAAGTTGAAATTCCATTCGGTGCGAGATTATCTGAACTAGTAGTACCGAAGACAAACCGATACCGATTGATTACTTAAGTGGTGGTACTCGTATGACCGAGATTCCTTTCTACCAAGCGTTATCGGAGTAAGTAATTTATTATCAGGTACGCCATTTAGCTCACTTAGTCTAGTGAAAACAATCAAAGGATTAAGATTTAGAGTCATTTTTTTGAGTGAGATTGATGAAGAATTCTCTAAACAATATAAACATTGTTAAAACAAAATTGATTGTTCCTTATCGAATCAAGAAAACCTTAAAAACGATTTATTTTAGGTATAGGTACATGTATAGTCAAAAAGTAACAAATTGAACAACATTTTTACTAGTGAAATCAAAAAAGTAGGTTTCCATTTGAAAAAAAAATTGATTTATGATAATATTTTAATGGCTCAATTCCGGTACAGCTATGGCCAATATTATATGTCATTCGAACAATTTAATTTTTAAAATAGATAGCCAGGGCAGTCGTTAGACTGTTGGCCGCCTGGAGCAAGCTCGAAAAAATGCGTCCATTTTTCTGTTGATAACTCTTAAATTATTAATTTGAAAAAAATTATACTAAAACAATTAAATTCTACGTAAAAAGGTGCTTTGGAAATGTTTTCATAGAAATACAAAATTTTCCATAGCAAAAAAGTTACAGCGATTTGTTAAAAACGCACATTTTTGAAAAACACCTGGAGAGCCTCATGGATTGTATCCAGGACAACAAAGAAAAAATCGATTTTAAACTTTTCCTGTGGATCTAAAATTGGCTCATCCACTGATTCATACAAAAACTGTCTAGTTATGTTTCTGGTACGAGCTCTAATGTCATTAGTAAAAACTGCTTCAATTTCGAGCTCTTCTGCCAGTTCTGCAGCATCCACTAATATTTCTCTAAAATGGTCGTCAGTCCTTATTTTGACAAAATAGTCGTCAATAGCTTTTAGAGCTTTTGTGGACTCAATGATGTCGAGTTTCTCATTCTGAAGCAGTTTACTAGTTGCATTTATACTGTGGAAATTTCGTACCGAAAATTACCATTTTTCCAAAATGTAGTACTGACGCATGACGTACCGAATTTGGTCAAGGTGTACCGAATTCAGTACAATTGTACCGAAACGGCCGCCCTCAAATTTGGTTTGGTTTGGTTTGTAACGGTTAATGGTATAGAGTGTTTAATATCAAAATTCATAAAATTTTACAGAAAATTAAGTAAGAAAATTATTGTCAACATCCGGTATTTTCGGAAGTGCCGCCTTATTGAAAATATTTTTAATCGATAGATCTTATTATGAAACAATGACAAAGAGTAGATAAGATAAGGGACGATAGTGAACAAAGAAGTCGAATTTCGCGAGAGAGACGCAGATATATTAAAAATTAAAGGTCCCATCAAGTCCCATTTTGTCTGTTGCCAAGTATATTTCTTTGAAAAATAAACAAGATTTTCTGAAAATAAATTAATAATATAAGAAGGATATATAAGTAACGTATGTTAATACGGAAATGTAAATTTTTAGTTTAGGTTGGTTTAGGTTCTTTTTTCGCAATGTACTGATAATATCAAAGAAACAGAATGACTAAGTTGATCGATTTCAAAGATAAACAGATAAAATCTGAAAATCTGACAACGGCGTATTTTATTTATTCTAACCTATGATTTTAGGACGCTATATAATCAGCTGTGCTAATGAGGCTTAAATATAAACAAATCTGATTAGTTGTTTTCTTGTATTTTTACCTTTTTAAAGTGTGTTTTCAGAGTTTTTCGAAATATTATCGTTTTGATAGTTTTTAAGGTTTCGTTTTAGTATCGTTCTTGTTGCGTACTAATTTGTAATTATTGTTAAATATGAATACTGAACAGGACACGAGTAGCAGGAAAAGACGAGATGGTGGCAATGTGTGTGCTTATAAAGACTGCAAAAATAGGTCTTATTCTTCGACAAACATAATATTTCACTCTTTTCCAAAGGATCATAGAAAGTATTTTTATAGAAATATACTATATAATTATGTTATTAAACTAAATGTAATCCATAGACCGAAAACCTGGCTAGAAGCTTGTAATATATTTTTACAAAAAAAATTGAGCAACTCTATTTTTTGTACATAAACTCCACATTGTGATATTACACTTGTTCAAAAGTCCATATGTAAAAAAAATACACGTAAATAAAACATTTTTTACAAATTGACTTGGTCACTTTATCTTGTTTACCAACGATATACAAAATATTGTTTTTATTATCTTTATTCCCCGACAAATATGTTTCTAATTATAATTTATTTTATATAATATTTAGAAAAGTCATTTTTTTTTCGTTTCTATCTATTTCTTTACCCATACAGTAACTATTTGTAAGCTATAAAGGCAAGTTTTAATAATAGTCTATTTCAAATTTCCCGCGAAAAAATTACGAAAATTTAAAGGGACAAGCGAGACGAGGTCACTCTCCCCACCACTCAAACATGAAAGGTACCGCGCGAACTGTCGTCTCTTGTCTTATCTACTCTTTGACAATGATATGCTGGTCACTCTGTATTTTAGGATTGTTTATACTTAACAACGTCTAAAAATTCATTTATTGCCAGAACTAGGTTTTGTCATCAATTGCAATACCTAGAAATCAAAAGAAATTTTAAAAATCAACAAAAAATAATTACAAAATCACTCCTAAACTCATCAAAAATCTTAAGTACCTACTTAATTTATCTTGTTCTACAATCTCAATGATGGATTTAGAAAGAATTTTAGAAAACGAAATCGAAAACAATTACATATCTACTGAAACTTGGATGCCTTAGATAAAATAAAAAGCTACATTTGAAATAGTAAAGTACTTTTGCTTAATAATGTTTGAAGTGTTTATTAGATGTTTTTTAGAAAGGTGTTTAGTTCTTTTTAACCTCTAACTGTTGATATGGAGTCTAAGAGACTCTGCTGCCATTTTGACACATGATTACTCTCGAGGAGCACCTTCCTGATTTTTACCATAACAAATAAATAAATAAATGCCTTTATTGTCAAAAAAATTTTCAGTTTGTAGACAAAGGTAAACTAACAAACAAAGTAAAAAAACAAGGTACACAAACAAACAAACAAAAGATAATACAAAACATTATACAAATAATATTGTCAGTCTTATTGTTTAAAATAAACATTTATAAATGTTTACAATGTCAAAGAACAAAAAAATTAAAATAATATTCAAAAATATTTAGTTAGTTTATAGTAAAATATCAATGACCTCTAAATAAATTTATTTCGATGTCATTAGTAGATATAGCAATAGCAAACATTAGACCAGTGTTTACAAGATCAAATTCGATTTTCAAAATATAATTCATTTACGGCGTAGAAAGCCTTGTCCAGTAAATAAGAGTTCAATGCTTTGCGAAATGAAAAAAATGATGTTATGGATTTGATTTCAAATGGCAGGTGATTGTGCATTTTTTTCGAGTTGTATAATATTGAACTTTTAACTAACTCTGAGCGTGGGGTAGGTAGATAAAGATCTTGCTCCGCGTTCCTGAGTGGATAAGTGTGAGATGGCCTTTCTGAAGCTGATATATGTTTACGTATTAGGCAAACGGATTCAAATATAAATAAGGAAGAAAGAGTCAATATTTTTAATTCTTTAAAAAAGTCCCGGCAATGAGTTCTGCTGTTTAGTCCCAGTGAATATCGAACAGCTCTCTTCTGGAGCTTGAAAATGCGGTCAAATTGAGTCGCACAACACGTACCCCAGAATGGAAGGGCATACATGAGGTGCGACTCAAAAAGTGCATAATAAACAGCTCTAGCCACTGACAAGTTAAGCTCCTTAGAAACAGACCTTAATGCAAAACAGGCAGAGCTCAATATTTTCGACAAAGCTTCGATATGTATGTCCCATTTCAGAGAATTGTCCACAACAAGCCCTAAGAATTTTACAGATTTTACGACGTTAATGGTGATGTTGTTAAGTACAAAAGGCTACAACGAGTTTTTATACGACAAAGCTTTAGTTTTAGAAATGTTGAGACTCAGGAGGTTCGAATCGCACCAAGATTTAATGGTGATTAAGTCATTTGATATAATCCTATGAAGTGCCGTGATGTCCTTGTTGCTCCAAGTGCAGCTAGTGTCGTCCGCAAAAAGACATATTTTGCCACTGATGTTTATGTTAGCCATGTCGTTAATAAAAAGAAGAAACAAAATAGGGCCTAGTACTGAGCCTTGTGGTACTCCACATTCTATTGGCTTGCTAGAAGATAACGTGGTATCCACCCTCACAAGTCGACTTCTTTTGCTCAGTGCTGAACCCATAGTGCTGCAGTTTATTAATTAGGATCTTATGATTTACACAATCAAACGCCTTAGAAAAATCACAGAAAATTGTTGCTGTAGAATGATGGTTGTTTAGGCTGGAGTAAACTTTATTAAGGAGGGAAAACATAGCGTCATTTGTGGACTTGTTGCTTAGAAATCCAAATTGATATTCAGTAAGTATTTTGTACTTAAACAGAAAAGATACCAGCCTTCTTTTAACCAACCTTTCTATGATCTTAGATAGAGTTGGAAGGAGTGCAATTGGGCGATAGTTAGAAGCTTCATCTTTGTCTCCTCCTTTATGCAGAGGAATGATTACAGCCGTCTTAAGACATTTTGGAAAAATACCATTTTGGAACGACATGTTTATTAAAGTTGTTAGGTGGTTCAGAGTGCTTTCTGGCAGATTCGAAAACATTTTTAAAGTTAGCCCGTCGGTCCCAGAAGAGGATTTATTTTTGATGGTATTAATTGTACTGCGAAGCTTTTCTAAAACTACGGGCGAAAAAAAGGAACTGTGTAAGTTTACATTATCATTAGAGAGATAAGAAAGTGGATCATGAGAAGGACATATGGTATTAGTTAAGTTTTTCGCTACATTTACAAAGTAATCGTTAAGGTTCTCAGGTGAGGTAGAGATATTGCTAGACGAAGAAGCTTTGTTTCTCAATTCATTCACAATAGACCATGTTTCTTTAGCAACATTACCAGAATTGACTATTTTCCTATTATAATAAAGGTCCCTAGCGGCTCTTATAGTCTTATGATAAATTTTTCTGTATAGTTTTACGTAATTGTGGAAGAAGACACTATCTGAGAATTTTTTTAAGTGAGGTAATGAACGCATGTTTTTAGAAGATATACATAGACCTTTAGTGGTCCAAGGTTTATTATGCTGACGTAGCTGTATAGGCGTCGTCTGTAACTAGACAAAGTATAGTCGTGGCACTCGCCATAGTTTCACAGAGATGTATTTAGGAAAATATTAATTCACAATAAAATAAAATAAAAAAATTGACCATCGAGTAAAAATTTGCTTGAAAACAAAATACTTTCTCATTTCATGTAAGTAACAATTTTTCTGTATCTGAAAATCTTCTGATGGGAAGAAATGCGGAAAAAATATATAATGACATATTTTTATGTTATTATCTATTTCAAAGATTTTCTACAACTTTTAATTTAAAACAAGTTTAATTTTAACATTAATGGTTTTGTTTTGTAGTAATATATTGGTTAGGTGATTTTCATTGGATAACTAATACATACATTGAACAACACATTGTACTAAATAATAAAATAACATATTTAAACTTCAATAATTGCTAATAAATACTAGACACAGACATTTCAAAGGAGAAAAGAAGCAAGAACAATGAGAAATAAATGGAAAATAAATAAAAAGAATAATTTTTTAATTATTGTTACCGAGTCCCGAAGGTACCGAAAGAACCGGGAATTAATAATTTCGAGTCCAGGTTCTTTGATATCTCAAAAGAACCGGGAATTTTCGGTTCTGAACCCTAGTTATCATATTATCAAGAAATTATGTTTTTTAACTAAAAACTAAAAAAATTCCAGATTAAAAAAAAATGCGCAGAAAAATCCCCATACTTCTGGGGCCAAAATATACTATCCTTAAAAATATTTGTACTTCTTTAAGACTCACCCTGTATAGGGCGATTCACGGTTATGGTACGTTGTAGCGTTTCCGAACAATGAGAAATAAATGGAAAATAAATAAAAAGAATAATTTTTTAATTATTGTTACCGAGTCCCGAAGGTACCGAAAGAACCGGGAATTAATAATTTCGAGTCCAGGTTCTTTGATATCTCAAAAGAACCGCGAATTTTCGGTTCTGAACCCTAGTTATCATATTATCAAGAAATTATGTTTTTTAACTAAAAACTAAAAAAATTCCAGATTAAAAAAAAAATGCGCAGAAAAATCCCCATACTTCTGGGGCCAAAATATACTATCCTTAAAAATATTTGTACTTATTAAAGACTCACCCTGTATAGGGCGATTCACGGTTTCCGGAACCGGAGCTGTTTTTCGGAACCGGTAATTTCGGTACCATGCCTCTAAGGAACCGGGATTTTCAGTTTTTTCCGTACTAGCAATTTTTTGTTCAATGATGGTGCAGTTCGTTAAACAGCAAAGCACGGCAGGGATGTTCGTCAAAAGTAAAATCGATAAAAAATTGAGGTTTAAATGAAAATAATATCAAATTATTAAGTAGTAATCAGTCATGAGAAAATTGTCCTGAACATAAACATGATCACAAATGGCTCTCAAAAAAAAACTCAAAGCATAATTTTTTGAATTATTACTACAACCAATAGCAACACACTGTAAGGCACTCATTTTTTGTCAATCCGTCCCTGTGCTGGGACACAACGCTCGTACCTCGCAGGTCGACGGACGGAACTCAACTAAAACGCTCTGCAATCTGCCGATATTCGACAGATTGTAAAAACTGGCAGAAAATATTTGGGAGAGTGCAACTACTCTTTTCCTTTTACTATGTTTTTACTATACTCTATCTAAAATATAAAATGTAAAAAAATGCTGCAACGCAGTTCTTCCACTACAAAAAGCTGTGAAATCTTATGTAAAGTAATAAAAGAAGAGGTAATATATTTAAGAAAAAATGTCATTTATTTGGATGATTCTAATTTTAAATAACTTTCAAGGTTCTTTATTCTTCTTCTAATGATATACTATTTATTTAACAGTATAGATTTTTACATTAATTCTTTTTTAAATTAACTATGAAGGTTCTTTTTGGTTTTTATTTATTTTTGTTTCGCGCCAAAAAAAATGCCAATATGCAGATTTATCCAATTGTTAATAACAATATACCCATGCATAGCGTTACAAGTTACAACAAATTCGAAAGATTGTGTGTAAAGAACCTTGACTCTCCATTTAACCAAAGAAAACACTTACTAATCTTACGCAAAAACTGTTTATTTTATTGATTATATCACAGCAATATATAATATACAGATTGTTTCGATTTTTAACTAATTTTTTTCAATAAAAAAAACATATAGTATAATCGAATGAAAACGACGTAATAGTAGGCGTAGAATAATAACTGTACCTATATTATTGCACCGAAATAAAAAGCCACACATACATCTTTAGTAAACCACAAACTAAAATATTATTTTGCACCTACTATGACACCATTTTTATTGAATCCAACGGTATATTTTCTTCAAGATTCCTCTGTACATTCCTCTTTATAAATAAAGGAACAAGATAGATTTAATAAAAAATCTGTGAGTACTATTTACTATTGTCACATCTCCACATAGGTCAAGTCAATAACATAAAATTAATTTAAAATTTCTGGTCTTCGTAGCGTGTTCCATTCTCTATTTTCTGTTCCTTTCCGTCTTTCTTGTTTTTATTATATTCTGGATCGTTCCATTTCTGAACATTTCCAGTGCCGAATATTAGGTAGATCAGATTGGTGACTGCAAAAACTCCAAAAGTTATCCAGAAAACCAGTCTCCATTGTTTTAAGGTGTGCTAAAATTATTATTTAATATTACTTAATAAGACAAACTTTTAAAACATGAATATTTTGTTTTCTTAACAATAAATATAAATGGCAAATAGTGATGAGGAAACGCTAATCCAAGACCAAAACTTCCTTGTTCTTTATCTTGGAGTTGCAGTCTAATAATAAGTAGGTAGTCTTGGTCTTGATCTTGCTGCAAGACTCTTACAAGTCTTATGCTAGAATTTAAAAAAAAATAATGCAAATAAAACTTTAAAGAAAAAAACAATATTTGCCTGATGAAAATTTTTATTTTTCAATATACAGGGTGATTATTAAATAAGGGCAAATATTTTCAGGGCTGGTAGATCACGATAAAAGAAACATATTTTCTCTTTACTGTTTTTCAAATAAGTCCAAAATAACCGAATTATTTTACTTTGAAAATTTCCAAAAAAAAATATTTTTTGCTTAAATTTTGAGAACCACTGGATCTTTTCTGGGGTTTCTTTCTTGTGAATTTAATCTACTAGCTTTCTATATTTCTAGCATTTTATAGCACTAAACGCGATCAACTCAGTAACCATCAATTCGGGTGAAAGAATGCCTAGAGAAGCTCAACAAATTAGACAAAGAAACTAAAGTCCTCCTACTCTGGGTCCAGACTGGTGTGACCACTGGGTGTGACTACTTTGCTCACCAAGGGATAGAAGGGAATGAAAAAGCAAATGATCTAACTAGAAAAGGAGCGAACACTCCACGTTTTCCAAGCGGGAACCAACTGAAGAATCTTGAAGACTCCATTCGTAACCTGGAACGGTCTAAGACACTCGAAAAAGTTCCTCAGAACTTACGACCGAGAAAAATCAAGGGTTTTCCTTGATTTAAGTAAAAACAATCTTCGGATTGTCACGGGGTTTCTAACAGGACACTGTCTCCTCAACGAACACCACATAGTAGGCTGAAGCTGAGAAACAACGACGAATGCCGATTCTGTGGGGAAAATGGGGAAACACCAGAATAACTTATCACTGAGTGCGCCGAGACGTTCGTGCCATAAATTTTGGTACGGCTGATGTCGAAATTTCGGTACGGCTGATGGAGAGCTGGCCTCTGTGGAGCCGTCTCAAATACTGGCTTTTGTTAAAGGCCTGGGACTGTATGATGAGTTATAACTCGTTATAACTCAAGAAAGGGGAACACACAATAGATCTGTAAGGTCGCGGTGATTAACTCCCCTCCTAAACATTCTACATTCTGCATAGCTTATTCTTGACAGCTACCATAAATAACATATGCTTAGCGATAGTTTCTGAGATTTTTTCGACGGTAAGTAAAAGAAAATTCCGTTTTTTAATCATTATATATAAAAAAATATGAGATGTAAATAAAAAACGTAGAAAAGTAAGACTGCAAGAGTCTTCTATACTGGGTCTTGCGCTGTCTTGCACTTCTTGGTCTTAATTTTGCAGATCTAACACTTGGCCTTGCTCTTGCTTTTTATGCAAGACCAAAGCTAAGAATACAAGACCAAGACCAGTCTAGCTCATAACTAATAGCAATGTTTCTAGAGGTTTCTAAGAAATAACAGTATGATTATTCTTACGTCTTCTGTTAATGCTCCTGCCAAATAAGGCGTCACAATACCACTTGTAGCTCCCAAACCGTTTATTATAGCCATCAGAGTCCCTGCAAAATTGGGACTTAAATCTAAGGCATTCACTTTCATTCCGCAGTAGTAGCAACCCATGAAACCCATAGCGATGGTAAACATCCATACTGCCAGCATTCTGTCACAACCTACGTATGATGCTACTAAGATAAAGACAGCGGGACCCATGGATGCTGAAAACAAAGTAAAAAGCTTTAAAAAATATAAAACTACTTTCTCTATAGATCTATTGTGGTCATCTCCTATAGATCGCGAAGTTACATTGTCCAGTCGTATCCATTAGAAAAAGTTTAATAACTTGGACATTGAACAATTTTTTGTGGCAATTTTTGTAGCATTTGGAGCACAGCAGAATTATTCTTATGCATAGCAGTTTATGATTGCCCTTGTTGGGTCATTTTATCTGCCTTATTGATTCATTTATTCTTTTAGACAATGTTTTACTTACTTTAAAGATGAAACAATAAGTTTCGTGAATAACTACGTTTTCTTTTAAAGCAAAAAATAAAAAAAAAACATATCTTGGTTAAAAAAACTGTAAAAATAGTAATATTATCTTCAATATCAGGTAAAGAAGGTATTTTAATTGATAAATTTAAGTAAAATAATTAAGAAACAACGGCAAATGTAGATTCTGTGGGGAAAATGGGGAAACATCAGAACATCTCATCAGTGAGTGCGCCTAGACGACAACCATTCGTGCCAGAAGCTTTGGTATGACTGATATTGGAGATGGAGAGCTAACCTCTGTGAAACAAGCTCAGATACTGGCTTTTCTCAAAGCCCTGAGACTTATAACTCAAGAAAGGGGGACACAATAGATTTATAAGGTTGCTGTTATTAACTTCATCGCTTCCATACAATCTACAATTTCATAAAATTAATGTAGGTGCATACATTTAAATGCAAACTGAATATAACTGCACAATCTATAGAAAATAACGAAAAATAAATAAAAAGCTCTTACCTATGCTAGTGAAGAATTTCCTAGAGAACGTCAAACTCATAATATTCTTCCTCACAAGCAAATCACAAAGCCATCCAGAACCAAGTGAAGTGAACCACATCACAATGTACGGAACTGAAGACCACATTCCATTTTGAGACACGTTAAATTTGAGGACGTCTTTCATGTATTTGGGCAGGTCAGTGACCATGGTGAAGAATCCCCAATCGTGGCCAACTTGAGTGATCACCAATGCCCATACTGGGACCGATGTGAAGATATCTTTCCATGGTATTGGTGGTTTTTCTGTAGAAACGCTTGCTGCAAAAATGTTAATTGTGTAGAACCTTAAAATCCTTTTTCGAAAAGAGAAACACCTCTATGAGGTTTTCTCGTGAAAAAAGATTTTGAAAATTTAGAATTTTTTGGGATTTTTGTTAACTGTTAGTTAAAAAACATATCTTGACAATTACCCGGCAACATAAATATTAAATTAAATTTACAAGAAAGAAAACCCAGAAAAGATCAAGTAGTTCTCAAAATTTATCCAAAAAATAATATTTTTTTTATTTTCGAAGTAAAACAACTCGGTTATTTTGGACTTATTAAAAATGGCGAAGAGAAAAATGTGTTTCTTTTGTGGAGATCTACCAATATTTGCAATTATTTTTAAATTAAAATAGTTTGGGCTGTTATGATCAAATGGCAATATCTATATTAAATAATCAAAATTTACCCTTTCTGTACCTAATTCTTTTTGTAAGTACTCCCTCTCGTTGTCGCTCATGTAGGGATGACTCTCCGGATCAGAATAACACAAGAATACCCAAAAAATGAACCAAACGACACCAAGGCCTCCAAAAAAGTAAAATACTGAAGCCCAATCTTCGGTGTAGCGTATCAGTTCACCGCTGATCAAATTACTTAAAATTGTTCCTGAAACCAAAGATAAAATTATATTACAAATAAAAATATTGCAATTCATATTTTCACTTAAGTTCTATTTTTTTCCCAACCAATATAGTCCATAGGTATTTCTGGGAAGTATTCTAAAGGGCATTTAATTATTTGGTAACAATTAAACTAACTAATGCCCTAGAGAAGCTGAACAAATTAATCAAAGACCAGTGCAAACCAACTTAAAGCAGAACTCTGGAAGAATCTGGAAGACTCCATCCGTAACCTGGAATGGGAATCGTCCAATAGTTTAAGACACTCGAAAGAATACAGATTCTGTGGGGAAAATGGGGAAACATCAAAACACCTCATTACTGAGTGCGCCGAGACGACAACCATTCTTGCGATAAAGTTTCGTACGACTGATATCGAAGATGGAGAACTACTCTCTCTAAAACCCATTCAAATATTGGCGTTTATCAAAGTCCTGAGACTGTACGGTGGTGTCTTATAACACAAGAAAGAGGGACACAATAGATCTTTAATGTCGCGTAATGTCGGGAAACATCAAAACACATCATTACTGAGTGCGCCGAGACGACAACCATTCTTGCGATAAAGTTTCGTACGACTGATATCGAAGATGGAGAACTAACCTCTCTAAAACCCATTCAAATATTGGCGTTTATCAAAGCCCTGAGACTGTATGGTGGTGTCTTATAACACAAGAAAGAGGGACACAATAGATCTGTAATGTCGCAATGATTACCCCCCCCGCTCCATACAGTCTACAATCTACAACCAGTGAAGTAGACATAAAATTTTATATACATACATACTAGTTTATTACTTAAAAATTGTATATTGGTGCGTTTAGACCAGAGATATGGAAGTGGGAGAATGAGCTTCGACGAGTGCGCATCCAAATTTTTGTCGACGGCAAGATGGCAGACATCTTCCAGGTCTCGCTGTCACTTCCCCTCTTTAATTGACATCTGTTTGTTTTGTTTTTTTTTTCGTTTGTGTTGTTATCTAGTTAAAATTTATTATTATCTCAATTATTCTAAACACTAATTCAAAAAGGATTGTTGTATATTCATAGTCATTCTAAGAAAGCTAATACGCCGGGAATAATGATTAGTTTTCATGTGTAAGTTTATACAACATAATTGTGTTTACAGATGATTCAAAACTGTTTATTTTTAGTTTTCCTAAAGGCGATTTGTAAAAATCGTGATTGTAATTGGGAATGGTCAAAAATAAGTGTATGATGTGGCCATTTAAAGAGGATGTTTTTATTACGTGTGGAGGAAGAAGATACTTGGAATCAGTGTTCGTGCTTCTGTAAAACAGTGCACTCTTATAGTGTCCATGAAAGCACAAGTTCAAGTGTACCAGAAATATATCAAATAAGATTGGTCCTTACTTGACAAGAAGATTATTTGGAGGAAAAGAAAACATAAGATAGGGTATTTTAATCGAACAGCGAAAATTTAACACTTTTATTGTAAAGTTTGTTGTAGGTAGTTGTAGTTTTGTGCTAAATATTTCTAACATTAGCAGCAGCCGTGTTCAGAGTGTCAAGAGGAGGAGAATTCAGTTAATTAGATTTATGCACAGTTACAGGTATGAAGGTTTTTTCAAACATAGTATCGAGTTCTATAGTCAACATTTTTAGTATTCCTACAACTGTAAAAACAAGGAACATTGGACTGAAAAAATGGCAAGATTTATATAGGAAGAAAGGGTATTATGCCAATAAGAAAATTAAATCTGTAGGCAGAAGTTCTTATTTAAAAACTGTTATGGGGCATATATTAATTTGTATCAGTGCCACAAATCACTAAGAAAAATCATATAATATTCATAATTGTTAACGAGATGATATTTAAAAAGTGTTAAAAATGAGACTATTAGTCATGAAGCTTACAATGTTACTTTGTTTCAATATTACACTTTTATTCTTGTAAAATCTATAATGAAGTTCAAAAGCATTTTGCAATGGCCTTAAATTGTGAGCCAGGATTTATAGCAAAGGTATTTGATGCAATGAAACTTAATCAGTACCTTCCAGTATGTATTTTAGTAAGGGGATTGTCAAACCCATGATTTTAAATAGATAAAATACAGGCCAAAGTTGACAATATTACAGTTGAGAAGAAACTATTTTATCTTAAAAAATTTTTCTTAAAATTCTGAGATCATATAATCTAATTTTCTTAATAATAAATTAGGTATATGTATGTTGTACATACAGAATTTTGTTATGGACAAATAAGGATCAACAAGCTTCTTTTGTGCAAAAAATAAATGATTTTTTCTAGTATTAAGACAAAGCATAATGTGTTTTACAAACTTACCGGTAACAGTTTTTTTTTATAATAAAATATTTAGGAATTATTTGGGTTGTTTATCAATATATTAATGACTTGAATTTTGACAAATTGAATTTGTATCAAAATAATTTTACGAAATATAAAATTGATGTTCTATTACAAGATTGAGTTTTTATTGTCGACAAAAACCAGGATAATTACTAATAATAATACCCTTAATAAAATCAATGATGTTTATGTATTATGAAAATATTTGTTAGAGGACATGTTATGTAACAGTTTTTGTAACACAATTTGAAGGGACGAATAAAAAAAATAAAACAAAAACATATTTTTTCTAGGTTTATATTAAAAATACTAGGTAGGTAATCATCAAAAATAATTATGAACAAAAAGTTGTTTAGAACAATTTTTACCAAATTTGCAAAAATTTTAAATTGAAACGCGTAATTCAGTACAAGTAAACATGAAATATTGTAAATACTTATTTAATATCATTTCGAGTGTTTAACGACGAAAAGGTCATCTGTCCGTAGCGTCTTTTGTCAGAATATTCGTATATTTAGTGTATTATATACCAATATTGTACGCAGTTTTGAAACTGATAATTAAATAAATCATATTAATGTTAACTAACCATAATAAATGATAGAATTTCACTAAATTTAAATTGCCCCCCGTATGGTTGAAAACAGCAAATTGATATTTGATTACTTATAGATTACCACCTATATACAAAATGACAGGAAGACCTGGAATATGGCGTCCAACTTGATTAGACTTTCTGCGCATGTTGACGCTCATTCTCTATCCCTTCTATTTCTCTGGTTTAGACTTGAGCACGCACGCACTGATCCTCCGCGAATGCTCAAGTGTAAACGGCTGTGCGCGCACGCTCACTCTGAATCTCTCTGTACGCCAGCAACCGCGAACGTGAGCCGTCTGGTGTCGGTTTTTGGTCCGTGCTCAAAGGGATTTTATGTGTGCACGAACAATCAGTTTGCACCGGCAATTTGTTTTGTCTGCGTTCGTGCGTGCGTGTGTGATTTTTTTTTGTTTTATTTATTAAAATTATGGAGTGGATCAAGAAATCTTCGTTATTATTAATTGAAGAATATGAAAAGTTGCCTATATTATGGGATGTTAAACATTCTTTGTAGTATTAAAAAATTAAAAAAACGCATGGTAAGATCTTGTAAATAAAATTAATATTGAATATGTCGATATTAATGAAATTGCTATTCTAAAATTTGTATCTTTTGTTCGTAATTTTTGGTGTTATTAAATTTTGTAAATATTCAAAGTCGGGTCTGGTCATTCTTGTAAAGTTTTTGAACTGATCATAGCCCTCCTCAGACACGAAGTTGTTGCAGTAAATTATATCGATTTCTAAAAATTTGGGTTTGCCACCAGCGACGATGTTTCCGATTTTTCTCCTTTTTACTAATTAAGCTGTGCATAACAATGACTGCAGCCTCGACTATTTCTTGGTCGTCCATTATTTTCGCTAACACAACTCTGCTGTGCGCGCACAAATGGATCACTTCATTCGTCGAAAAAAGTTTTTAATTTGAACGGAGCCGAGAGCGCGAACGAATGGCGTGCGCGCACGCTCAGCTCGTGCGTGCTCAAGTATAAACGCACCATAATATATTGCACCATAGACTTAAAATAAAATATAGACTACACTATTTACATCTCAACGCGGTCAAACAATCTTTTTTATACATATGTTTACTTCTGGGTACAGTCGACCGAGCCTTCCTCATCCAGCCTATGTTGTCACGTCTTTAATATTATCAATATTTTTTTTTCTTGTTATACACATATATTGAGATATTAATACTACAGTTTAATAAAGTAGGTTTTAATATTCCATAGATGTATTAAATAGTCCTTATACTACTAAATTATAAGTCGGATACTGTTTAAAAAGGATAAGTTCTTTACAATATGACAACACCGATTAGAGGCGAGGGAGCCTATTCATTCATTTATTACCTTGTAGTACGTGTCGCACGTGTGCGGTAAAGCTTTGTTGCCGCTATCTCCCCGGCTGTATTAACGCATTTTCTTAGCTTGTAGTGCTTAAGTGTTTATTTTATTGACTTTTTCTGTTCAAGAACTATAAAATATGGTTCGCCAGTGCCAAATTTGCAAGAAATTTGACTTAAATAATCCATTTAAGTCTTGAAACGACTTTTGACCGGTAGGCAACTCTCAATTTACCCATTGGGAGTCAGTGGCGTTGTTGTAGAAAGGCGCTTATTTAGATAATATTTTAGTAAAATGTAAAATCTGAATTTTTTCTCTTATATTACATTATTTACTTACTTACATTGTAACAAAATCATAATTATAACCCTGTTAATAATTAATAATGTTTTTATTAAAAATATATTCCGGTTTATTCTAAAATTATCTTCAGAATCTAAAATAACATACAAGAATTTTAATATGATATTACATTATGAGACAATATTTTTTAATATACCGGGTCGTCTCAAAAGTGGTTCACCGCTATAACTTTTTTATTTTTTCAGATAAAAAAACAGATTTGTATGTTAGTAGGTATATGACATAAATTAGGATTTATTGACGTATTCAATTGTTTTTGGTCTCTTTCTGTTTCACCGAAATGATTACATCTTTTGATTTTTAAAGGCACCCTCGGTATATTTCTACTTTATTCGATAGAAAATGATAATAGAATTCTGAATAGAATGACATATCATATGTCAACTTTTGACATTGTCGCTTAAAAACAAATCGTATTATAAATTTCAATCCAGGGTGCCATGGTGTTGTTAAAAACACTAAGTTTTAATCAAGGAGCCTTGGAAAAATAGTTTTGATCGTCTAATGGGTTTCGTGTCTTGTCTAGGCCGATTAAAAGATGTACAAATCATATTTTTAATCATACATATGTCAATTTTTTCAAATGGAACAAGGGTGACTCGTTAGCATATTTGGAAAAAGCATTTTTTTATGAATATATTGATACCACACACTTGGTATTTCGAGTCAAATTGTCGTTATGAACCACGTGTTACAATTACAATTAAACCATATGCGAAAGTGTCAAAAGTTGACATATGATATGTCATTCTATTCAGAGTGTCATTTTCTATCAAATAAAGTAGAAATATACCGAGGGTGCCGTTTAAAAATTAAAAGTTATAGTCATTTCCGGTGAAACAGGAAGTGACCAAAAACAATTGAATGCGTCAATCAATCCTAATTTATGTCATATACTAACATACTAAATCTTGTTTTTTTATTTGAAAATATAACAAAATTATGGGGATGAGCCACTTTTGGGACGCACCCGGTATAATAAAGACAGTACCGAGTTAAATAAATGTAGTTTTCATTTTATCCACTTCCTATCACCTTCTTTGCTTTAATGGAACAGATTTATGTTTTCTCTAATTTACATAATAAGACATCACTTAACCAGAAAAAAAATTACAACAATCATATTTTTTTTCTCCCCCTGTCGCCGATTCTATTATATCTGTGGAATAGATCCTGTTTTGATTAATATTAGCGGTTGCAATTGTTTGACTAAAATTAATAATTTATTATTAATTTCAAAAATTACGTAATTTCGATTATAAAATTTCTTCTATAACATGTATTTTATTATTTTTATCCTTTTTGGACTCTAAGACGTTTTTTCTAAACTTTTATTTAAAAAACCTGTCCTAAATCTTAATAAAATATAAAAAAGTTTAAATACGATATATTTTTAATTTAATTATAGCTTCATTAAAATAAAAAAAAAATTACCCGGCTATGATACGGAGAGTTCAGATATACTTGAGAAACGAAAGACAGTGTTGTGTTTCTCGGCAGAGTCGTCAGGGAACGACCGTTACGACAGAGACAACCTATCTATCGCTCGTGTCGCACTCGTTATAACCCAAAACAATAACACAACAATAACAAGACATTGTCTGACCGCATGTTCCACCTATTTATGAATGAGATGTTCAGTCTATATTTTATTTTAAGTCTATGTATTGCACAAATATATGATTTTGTACCTACCAAACTGACTGCCCGCGTATACTAGGCTTCCTATTGTTGCTCTTTCCCTGAGTGGTACCCATTTTGCTAACAGAGCTGTCAAAGCTGGATATGTAGTGCCCTAATTATAGCAAAACATTATTGCGAATTTTATTTATTGATTGCATCAGACAAACAATAAAATATAAAAAAATATTTATATATGAAATAATTGGCTTTTCATTAAACCTATGTAATTCTATGATGTTCTAAATACCTCTCCAAATCCTTCTATCACCCTTAAAGCTACCAATGCTTTCCAATTTCCACCAGTGGCAACAATAACAAAAGGTGTAATAAGGGTAAATATAGCTGTAGATAATATTCCTAGTCCCAAGGAATACTTTCCACCAAACTTTTCCGCCAGGATTCCTCCAGGAAGATGCGTTATGACATATCCCCAATAAAAGGAACTTAGGATCAGTCCCTGTGTTTTTTCATCCCATTCATACAGCGTAGTTTGGTCCTAGAGAAAATTGAAAATAAACAAATAGAAAATATAAATTTATTGGCAACACCTACAACTCTCAAAAAAAAATATATGTTTGATAGAAAATACAAGCGATACCAATTAAATTTTTAGTTACGTAATCAAGGGCGCGATTTTTAAATTCATATTTGCCAACCATGGACATATTCTGTGTTGGGCTGACTAACTGGAATTTAAATTTCCCGCTGGGGATTCAGGTGGTAATTCTGCCGTAAAAAATGCCAAGTTGCCATATATATTTATTTATTTCCGGACATTGTCATTCGTTTTGGCACTTTAATTTTGTTTTATGAGTTTTTGGTTTAAATGGTTGGTGTTGTGATAATTTAAGCTTTTTTTTTAAAATGTTCACTAGCAGACCTTGCAGTCGAACATTGTTCTTTTTAGAACCTCTTTTAGTGCAAAGCGTACAATATAGTTTAATAGTCAATGCAAAAATTCATCGCAATCTTATTAGAATATTTTGAACGGAAATGCGGTAGTAATGTCCCTTAAGTGCTATTAAGGAGGTGAGTTTTGTTGATATAAATAATAACTGTTTATGTATTTACTAGTTGAAGCCTGGCGCATCCGCCACGATATCAGGAAAAAAAATACTTATTTTTTGTTTAATTAAATGAAAAACAAAAAATCCGACGACGACAGTTTTTAGAAGAGTCAATTAGCTATCTTTTAGTAAAAAAAGAAACTTTCTAGAGCAAGTCGTTACTTCAGTAGAGACGACACAGATAAACATTAGCATTTTATATATGTAGATAATTAATTTATTTTTGTTTCCTAAGATATTTTGATTAAAAGAAAATACCTAAAAGTGGGCAACGCTGAGCCGGTCAAGCTTCATCACGTGTCTAAAAGTTTAATTGGTGTGAACTATATACCGGGTGCGTCTCAAAAGTGGCTCACCCCCTATAGCTTTTTTATTTTTTCAGATAAAAGAAAAACGAGATTTGGTATGTTAGTATATGACATAAATTAGGATTGATTGACGTATTCAATTGTTTTCGGTCATTTCCTGTTTCACCGGAAATGACTATAACTTAAATGACTGACACCCTAATTTATGTCATATACTAACATACCAAATATCGTTGTTCTATCTGAAAAAATAAAAAAGTTATAGAGGTGAGCCACTTTTGAGACGCACCCGGTATAAAGTGCATAATTATGTTCAATTTCACCCATACTCATATCGTTTAACTTGATATACAGGGTGTCCCACTTAAGATGGATACAAGCCAATATCTTGGTTGTTTGTTGAGCGATCTTTTTCATTTTTGGTAGGAGGCTGTATGGCTATAAGACGTACATTTTGCTCAGGGTAAGAAATGGGATACCTCATAGACGTACGTTTTAATGGGGTTTGATATTTTTCGAGTCAAGAGTAAACTACCCTTAGGACAGTATTTATTTCAAATCTGATAAATTATATTGAATCCTCCTTACCTAAGATACTTAAGTTCTAATTTTGATAAATATTGATACAGGGTGTGTCATTAATATAAGACATTTTTATTTTTATTATTGTTTTCTTAAGTACTTACGACGCCACTGGATAAACAACTGGATTATTACCAATAACCAATTATATCCAATTGGATAAATATGATTCTTGTTGACTTTTAGTTCGTTATAGTTTTATAAATCTTTGTTTAGAGCATATATTTTTCAAAGTTAATAGTGATTGTTTTAAATAACTATTTGAATTTTTTAAAATATTCCTCAGTAAAACGAATAAAAATCATATTTCAGATTCCATTGAAAACTGGGTTTCTATTTGTATTAGCAAACTTAAAAAACAATTTTTTAAAGTAAACAAAATAAATTAAAAATATTTAGTTTTTTTGTACCGTATCTTAATTATTATGGAAGCTATCTGAAAACTTAAATCGATTATTAATTGATAATTGGTTATTGATAATAAACCAGTTGTCTATCCAGTGGCGTCATAAGTACTTAAAAAATAATAAAAATAAAAATGTCTTATTTTAATGACACACTCTGTATCAATATTTATCAAAATTAGAACTTAAGTATCTTAGGTAAGGGGGACTCAATATAATTTATCAGATTTGAAATAAATACTGTCCTGAGGGTAGTTTACCCGTGATTCGAAAAATATCAAACCCTACTAAAACGTACGTCTATGAGGTATCGCATTTCTTACCCAGGGCAAAATGTACGTCTTATAGCCATACAGCCTCCTGCCAAAAATGAAAAAGATCGCTCAACAAACGACGAAGATATTGGCTTGTATCCATCTTATTCCTTTGCATAAAGGAGGTGATAAAGAGCAAGCTTCCAACTATCGTCCAATTGCACTCCTTCCCACGTTATCGAAGATCATGGAGAGACTGGTTAAAAAGAGGCTTGTATCATTTCTTCTAAAATACAAAATACTCACCCCCTTTCAGTTTGGGTTCTTGAGTAACAAATGTACAAATGACGCTATGTTTTCGCTGTTTAATAATGTATACTCCAGTCTGAACAACCGTCTCGTTACAGCAACAATTTTCTGTGATTTCTCGAAAGCTTTCGATTGTGTTAATCATAACATCCTAACTAACAAATTGCAATACTATGGTATCAGGGGAACGCCTCTTGAATGTTTTAAGTCCTACCTTAACAACAGAAACCAGCGTGTGAGGGTTGATAAGACTGTGTCTTCTTGCAAGCCAATAGAATGCGGAGTACCTCAGGGCTCAGTGCTAGGTCCTATTTTGTTTCTGTTGTTTATCAACGATATTGCTAGTCTGGACATCAGTGGTAAAATCTGTCTCTTCGCGGATGATACTTGTTTCACATGGAGCAGCCCGGACACCACGGCACTTCATAGAACCATTTCCAGTGACTTAATCAACATAAAAACATGGTGCGATTCTAATTATCTGTGTCTCAACGTCTCTAAAACTAAAGTCTTATCATATAAAAGTACGTTGCTACCTTTTCAACTTGATAATACCACCATTGACGTCGTTGATTCTGTGAAATTTTTAGGCCTTGTTGTGGACAACTATTTAAAATGGGATTTGCAATCGATGCTTTAGCTAAAAAATTAAGTTCTGCCTGTTTCGCACTTAGATCAGTTGCTAATGTGCTTAATTTGTCAACATCTAGGACAGTCTATTATGCCCTTTATGAGTCGCATCTCCGATACGCACTTCCATTCTGGGGTGCGTGTTGTGCGACTCAATTTGAGCGTATCTTCAAATTACAAAAGAGAGCTGTGCGATATTCACTGAGGCTAACCAGTTGTGCTCACTGCCGGGACTTGTTTAGAAGATATAAAATATTAACTCTTCCTTCCCTATTCATACTCGAATCCGTCTGCCTAGTTCGCAAGCACGTATCGAGTATTTCTCTAGAGCCAGTTCATGGCTATCCAATTAGGAACGCAGAGCATAACATGTATCTGCCAACCCCTCACTCTGAGTTAGTAAAGAGTTCCCAATTGTACAATGCAAAAAAAAATGCACTATCATCTGCCATCTGAAATTAATTCCATTTCATCCTTTCCTGCATTTCGCAGAGCCTTGAGATCATACTTACTGGAGAAAGCCTTTTACGCGGTTAACGATTTTTTTATTAATATCTAGGGTTCTAAATTTAACACACATTCACTAAATTTAAGAAATGATTTTGTTTTCTATCCATTTAAATTTAGTATTGACATTATATACAGTTGTTTATTTACATGATGTTTATATTTTATTTATATTTAATTAAATAAATTTTTGACAATGTACAATTTCTATAATTGTATAAAGTATTGTTTTAGTTTTGTATGTTTGCTGTTAGTTTTATATGTTTTTTTATTGTTAAGTGAAGTTTTGTATGTTTTTTATATTCTTTTTTTTTAAGCTTTGTCAACAAAATTGTAAAATTTTTTTATGACAATAAAGCAATTTCTTTCTTTCTTTCTTAAGTGGGACACCCTGTATATGTATATTTCTTAGTATTTTTTACAACGAGGACATAGTAATGATACTAACTTTAATGGCGCTGTTATTTCTGCTGTTCTCCTCTGGGATGCACGCGTCTGGATCGTAGTACTCTGCGGTTTTTATCGGTACGACCATTTCGGTGATAGCCAAGGACAGCGACACTCTCATCGTGTAAGCGTTGACAATAGCGAAAAACCCCATGATACCCAGAACGTACCTTTGAGGTATTATGAAACCTGAAACAAAAATAAAGACATATACAACTTAACAAGCATAGCTAGAGACGTGAGAAATAAAAAATAAGAGACGCCCCTCGATGCGCAGTGAACACACACATTTGCTTTAATCAGATTTGTCGTAGCGTAACTGCATCAGGGCCAGTCAACTGAGATATACGACCTTGAACGATCTTTTTTTGGGGTAGTAATTTCCTGGGGCGCTAGATGGCGTATTTTTATTTTAATTTTTCTAGTTGCCTAACAATTGCGTACAAAATTGTTTTTATAGTTGCCTAAATAGGCCTATTAATTATGTTCTGTCATTGTTCTGTATGTCAAATCAGTTTTCCGTTTCCGGCTTCCTCCTTCTTCTTCAGTTGTGTTTTGCAATTGAACGGAGATGTGCGTTTCGCTGTTTGCTGGTTGTTTGGCTGTGTTTTTTGCAATCTTCATTTTAAAATCGTGATTTTGTATTTTTGAATTTTTTTGAACTTTGTTTTGTGTTTGATTTTTAAGATCTCTATTAAAGGTAAGGTTTAAGTTAAAGGTTTTTGATTTATCTAACAATTTTATTTAATAATCCGAGAAAGCGAGGTGAGGTAACCTAACCAAGTCCAAATGTTCGTGAATTTTATTTTTTAACAATGTAATATTTACAACGCCATATATTTTTACAAAAAAAATTGATCAACTCCATATTTTTGTACATAAACTTCACAATATGATATTACACAATTGTTCAAGTCCATATGTAAAAAATACACATAAATAAAACATTGTTTCTAATGGACGTCACTTTCTCTTGTATTCCAACGATATTTGTTATGTGTTCTTAAATCTGGTACTATAATAAATATTATACTTTTAATCTGTTGTTTTATTTGTTTGTAAAATGTTTCATGGTATAATTTTTGTGTAAATTAAAATAAATTATTTATTGTAGGTTTTTATGCACATAAAATGATATAAGCAAACCATTTAACACTTTACAATAGTTTAACCTGGTTTAACCTTTATATATAAATCCTTGTTTTTTACCATTTGACTTGTTTGTCAACCAATCAGATGACTACACATTATTTTGTAGAAATCTGATTGGCTCTAACTGGCGAACAAGTCAATACGTCTTGCTTAAAAATAAATTGCATCTATTTAAATTTGCCGCCACATTTGTTACTTTCCTGGGTGGCTAGATGGCGCCACTTCAACATACAGATTACAGATTTCTTTACAAATTTGAAACCGTTTTGAAACTAAAAAATGCATGGGAGTTAGCGTTCTTCTTTAGTGTGTTCTGTGAACTACATCTCTGCCGAATGCGTTCTCTCTCTATCGTGTGCGCGACCGGTGCTATCCCCAAGTCTCTTCCTATATTTGTCAAACTGTATGTTACTGCTTTAAACATTTTTTGCATATTTGGTTCGGTAAAAGGGTTATTCAATAATATCGTTCAATTTTATTTACTTGCATACACCTGGAAAAATAAAATATTTATACACATGATTATTCACAAAAAATATTAATCAGTTTAGACTATATTCAGTAAGTAAGTTCAATTACGCAAGAATTAGCAAGGATTGTCAGAATCATATCTTGGTTCAGAGCCAGTATACTAGGATTACCCAAACGATATTTTTATTTTATTTTTTACCTAATATGATTTTTTTTATATTTTTGGATATATTGGCTTACTACACGACTAACTAATATAAAAATAAAAATCTAACTGCAACTAGGCTGTTATTATAATTTTATTTCATAATGAGTGGAAATCAACAAAAAACAAATTTCATTTTAAACAGAAAATATTGAAAACAATTTTAATTATTTCTTATAACTAATAGCACAGAATATCTAGCTACGCAACAGAAAAATACTCGAAATGAAAGAGCTAAAATTGCACAAATAGAATACTAGATGGCGCGACAATGTCATAATCAGAATATAATTAGAAATTTTGAACTTTCGGTTTCTTTGAACTTTCTGAACTTTCGGTTTCAAACCAAACCAAATACCGGTGATACCGAAAAAAACGGCGTCTAGTTGGCTGGAAAAGGACGATCGATGACATTTCCCATATAAATTTATATATAAAATGACAGTGATATTCATTTCATAGCCATTGCTAACGCCGTTTTTTCCTGATTATACGATATGAACTTGGTATGAACACAATCGAACGTCAGGAAGTGGTATCATAATAGTAGAACAATACTTATTATATTGTCGCCGAATTACAATGAAAATTCAGGATTCAATTATACAATCAAACGTCAGGAAGTGATTGTAATTTGGCTCATAAGATTTAATTCCAACTAACATGGCAACTTGAAAAAAACAGCTCTGATCTATTTTAATATGTTTAAATGATGTAGAAAAATTGAAGGTAGGCTTTATCAGGAAGTATTACGATATGAATTACACAATGGCAACACTGCACAAAATTCTTTTAAATTTTGTTTGTAGAAAACTGTTTTCTTTTAAATTTATTGCCCTCTATTATGTAGTAGCGAAACTATCGCATCAAAATATCTGATTTGGAGACAGGCTTTAAAAGCCTGTCTCCTTTTGCTACCTACAATTTTATACATGTAACGAGGCTTCTGTTGCGTAGCTAGATATTCTGTGCTAATAGTCTGTATTGCCTCCTTGAGCCTCAATGCAAGCTGTGAGGCGACGTGGCATGCTCTCAATTAAGTTGTCCAGAAGATGTTGAGGAATGGCTTCCCATGTTTCGCGCGCAGCAATTTTCAATTCATTTAAGGTACAGTGGGGATCATTGCTTTTGGCAGTATGGCGTTTAAGCATGTCCCAAGCATGCTCGATCACATTCATATCTGGAGACATCGGTGGCCACCACAGTTTTCTTATACCCTCTTCCTTACAAAATTCGCGAACCGCTAAAGTGCGATGGGGAGGAGCATTATCGTCCATGTAAACAAATTCATCCCCCACTGCACTTTTGGGACTATGCTGTGGACTGTCTCTTAATAGCAGAAACCAAAATAAAAGTTATATATTTATGGTTCAAAATAACAAGACTTTTAAACATTAAGTGCTTAGAGTTTTTTTTGGAAGATCGGGTGACCCTGCTTCAATTTGACACACCCTGTATTTTCTTTATAATGCTGATAAATGCAAATAGTTAAGAAGTATTGACAAAGAAAATTCCATCTTTTCGAATAATGCTTAGGAACGTACCCAGTTAACCTGTATATCAAATATTTGCTCTTCTTTGATATATGATTATGCAAATTTATTAATATAACAAATGAGCTTTAAACAAAGAAAAATAATATACTATTGTAGTGGTTTGACAAAAACATTTTTGGTATCTCTTGTCATAATATTTACTAAAAATAATACACCATTTTAGTTCTGTATCTCATTTTAAATGTACAGTATGTCCCTGTATTGTTTTTACAGGAGGAAAAACTTTTCTTCCTCGTCTTGTAAAGACAATCTGGGGACATACTGTATAAATTAGCCCTCTAGACATATAAAAATATTTACATTTTTGTATAATATAATTAATTAGACAATCTATATATTTAACACTAGATATTTTTTTAAAATAAAAATGTCAGTATTCTGTATCATTAAATATGTATGTGTGTTTTTTTTTACCATTGGATCTTTTTATTGCGTACCTATATTGCTTTTATATTTTGGTTTTGTAGTTTCAATTTTAATGAATTCATTTATGAACTTGTATAATAGTGGTACTTTTTTTGTATAATATGTACTAAACTCAGTTTCTGAGTATAATTTATGTATGCCTATAATATATGAAATATGATTTATTTTGATTTGTTTTCTAACATTTATGAATAATCAAAAATATCATCCTTTATTTAACATGAGATTCATTCATACAGAGTGGTTATTTATAAGAGGACTAAGAGGGCTAGGGCAAATCTGTGTAGCATCTTTAGTTTTATAAAAAAGTAGCGATGTAGCTTCCAGAGCAACGAGCCGCTACTGGATAATAATTAATGTTCAGGGCAATCAAACTAACATGACTTTTCTAATATTTCAAAAAACTAATCCTTATTCCAGCTAAGCAAATTTTTCAATTCGATTTCAAGATTTTTATTGTTTTATTACATTTTTATACCATGTCCTTGTTTGAAGATGGATTTACTAAGCTTAATATGTATTTCATTTTATTGAAGTTTTGTCTATTGTGAAAAAGCGGGCGAAGGACCATAATATAAAACAATTTATTATTTTAGTGATAGTTGCTTTTAACGAGCTGCGAGATTTTTACAGATTATTTTTTAGAACTTTTTTAATACTAAAATCCTACTTTACATAATAAAAATCTTTTAAAAGTACCCTGTATTTTTCCAAGAGTTCTTTTGGATTTAGTAATATAAATAAATGTGAGAAACATTTTTTTAAATATTTTTCCACATTTAATTTTGTGTATTCTTTCTGCAGTTATTATTCTTGTTATTTAAAAGCGATCAACTCTGTAACAATCAAACAAACAAACAAACAATGCTTTATTGTAAAAAAAGTTAAAACATCTTCATCGACAAAGCACTCACAAACAACAAAATCACAAAAAAATACAAACAACAAAAAATACACAATACAAATAATATAATTAAAAAAAATTTAAGTCTTTAAAATTACAAAAAGAATATACATGGACAATTTTAGAACAGTACGCAGTAAATAGATATAATTTTAGAGTTATAAAATATTAAATACTTGACCTTTGACTAGTGTGTGAGATGATCAAAATTTTAAAATTCAAAATTGTTCATAATTAAACATCAACAAAAGAGTCGTTAACCCATATAGGGCTCTCTCCAGTAGGTACGATTTTAGAGCTTTGCGAAATGCGGAAAGAATGAAAGCGACTTGATATTCAAAGGCAGATGATTGTACATTTTTTGGCATTGTACAGTATTGAACCTTTAACTAGTTCTGAGCTCGGGGTTGGCAGATAAAGATCGTGCTCTGCATTCCTAAGTAGATAGTTATGAGATGGCCTTTCGGGAATAGCAGATATGTGCTTGCGGATTAAGCAAACGGATTCAAAAATGAATAAAGAAGGAAGAGTCAGTATTTTCAAATTTTTAAAGAAATTCTGGCAGTGAGTTCCACTGTTCAGTCCCAATAAATATCGAACTGCTCTCATTTGAAGTCTGAAAACACGATCAAATTTTGTTGCGCAGCAAGTACCCCAGAATGGAAGGGCATAACGAAGATGTGACAAAAAGGGCATAATAGGCTATTCTAGAGGTTGAGAAGTTAAGTTCCTTACAAACTGATCTTAGCGCAAAACAGGCAGCGCTTAGTTTCCTTGATAGAGCTTCGATGTGAAAGTCCCATTTTAACGAGTTGTCTACAACAAGTCCTAAGAATCTCACGACGTCAATAGTGGTGTTATTAAGTACAAAAGGTTGTATAGTACTTTTATATGACAAAACTTTAGTTTTTGATAGGTTGAGGCATAGGAGATTAGAATCACACCAAGACTTAATGGTGCGTAAGTCACTGGATATAGTATCATATAGTGCCGCAACATCTGGGCTAAAAGTGAAACTAGTATCGTCCGCAAAGAGGCAGATTTTACCGCTAATGTCTAGATTTGCAATGTCGTTGATAAACACCAGAAACAAAATAGGGCCAATTACTGAACCCTGAGGGACACCACATTCTATATGCTTACAAGAAGACATAGACGTATCAATCCTCACAAGTTGCCTTCTGTTGCCAAGATATGACTTAAGCCATTCGAGCGGCACTCAATCAGTTCAAAATTGATCAAAGAATGCTTAGAGAAGCTGAACAAATTAGGCAAAGAAGATAAAGTCCTTCCTACTCTGGGTGTCAGCTCACCAAGGGATAGAAGCCAACATAAAAGAAAATGATCTAGCTAGAAAAGGGGCAACACGCTACTACCTGGGCCAGAGCCGTTCTGCTCCCATTTGGAAACCAACTTAAAGCGGAACTCAAGACCCTGGAAGACCCCATTCGTAACCTGGAATGAGAATCCTCTAACGGTCTAAGACACTCGAAGAAATTTCTCAGAAATTAAGACCGAGAATAATCAAAGATTTTCCTTGATTTAAGTAAGAACAATCTTTGTATTGTCACGGGGTTTTTAACAGGACTCTCCTCAATGAACACCTCAGTCGATTGAAGGTAAAAACAACGGCAAATGCAGATTCTGTGGTGAAAATGGGGAAACACCTCATCACTCCGTGCGCCGAGACGACAACCATTAATACTATTAACTTTGGTATGACTGATATCGGAGATGGAAAACTAACCTCTGTAAAAACGTCTCAAATAATGGCTTTTGTCAAAGTCCGGAGACAGTATGATGAGTTATAAGCCAAGAAAGGTGGACACAATAGATCTGTAAGGTCGCGATGATTAGCTACACCCCCCCTTTCAAATATTCTATATTCTACATCCTTGTTATTTTAAGGTTTACCTAGTTTTCAGATTAACTGGTACCAGTAAACTTGCAAGAGAAGGGTCATCGAAATCATATTTTGGTCTAGAGCCAGTACTAGGAATACCGAAACGTACATACATACTGCCATTACTCGCTGAGAGATTTTGTAACCACGACTTCAATACTCTCGCAGTTAGCTTTTTCAAGGACCGATACGTTTGAGACATGATGGAACCACCGGATTCTTAAGAGTTGTCTAAGGTGTCTCTGTTGCAACTTGTTTAAAGCGTTCATGTGTCGGCGGTATGGCATCCAGGTTTCGCTCCCATATAACATGGTCAGGATTATAATTGCTCGGTACACTGCAAGTTTCGTTTTTGTACTCAAGTCATGATTGTAGAAAACCCTGTCTTTTAATTTCCAGAATACTCTTGAGGCGCTGCTAATCCTGTGCTGAATTTCAGAGTCTATTTTGGCCTTTTCCGAAATCAAACTGCCGAGGTAATTAAATTCCGCTACATATTCCAGTAGCTCTTCTCCGATTTTTATAGCATTGTTATGATCTTGCGGGGGAGTGCATATGATTTTGGTTTTGTCGATGTTTAGCTTAAGATCCAAAGCCTCGTATGCCCAGGTATATGTGTTCAACATTTCTTGTAATTGTTGTAACGTGTTTGCAACTAGAGCGCAGTCATCAGCGTATTGAAGTTCTGTGATGAATTTTGTACGTGCTTTTGCCCTGAGTCTTTTTATATTGAACAGACCGCCATCATATCTGTATCTAATGCCCAACCTTCTCTCCTGCAGTTTGCTGTCCACTATAATGGAGAGCGCTGCCATGAACATGTTGAATAGGAGAGGCGCTAAGACGCATCCCTGCCTCCTTCAAAAACTCCTGTATTTGTCAGGAAGGGATCGCTCAGTGATCCATGATATGACACTCTTGACTGGTTGTTGTTATGGAGGCTTTTACATACTGTAAGAAATTTGTTGGGTACTCCGAACTTTTTCATAATTGCCCAAAGTGCATCTCTGTTCACAGAGTCGAAGGCTTTTGTTAGATCGATGAATGCAACATAAAGTTTAGACTGCTGCTCTTTTACTTTTTCCTGTAGTTGGCGGAGGGAAAATATGGAATCGACAGGTGCCACGGTTGGTGCGAAAACTCGTTTGCGATTCTGGAAGGATTTTTTCTATATGTGGGTGCAGGCGATTTGACATCATTTTTGCATACCCAAACGTATAACCTGTAATGCAGTAAAATTTTGGAACAGCGAATAGCAGACTGTTGGCGAGGTTCAGGCATAGCAAGTCCTTTATGAAAGGAACTAATTCCAAAACTATAAAGAAACTACTAATGATCAACAGGAATAAAGTGCGGATTGCAAGAAGCCTCTTGACAGGGCATATGGTTCTCAAGTGCTACCTGAACAAGCTCAGTCTGTATCAAGGTAGTTTTTGCTGAATACTCTGCGATAAAGATCTTGAAACAGCACAGCATATAATAACACTGCGAGACTTTGGATCGCAAGAGACATTTTCTATTTTGGAAAGCCATTACTAGAAACGGAGAAACTATGCTCGAATCTTTCAAGAATCGGCACAAGCTGGTGCAGGGCCCAGTGATAGGAGAATAGGTACAGACATAGAAAAGGTACAATCGCAATGGCAGTGCTTCCTCAGCATTAGCTTATTATTATTATCTTACAGCTTCTAACATGTTGCTCCAGTTTGCAACTCTTGTTTAGTTCGTTCACTTTGAATAAAATAAAAATTATGAGCAATGTACCACTTATCACTTTGGATGATTCCTCGAAATTGGTTTTTATTTTATTAAAAATGTCAAATGTAAACGAGCCTTAAGGTAATAAAGTGATTATAGAGGTGTTAATAATTGAATATATAAACCATTGACATGTATTAAGTATTATTTAAATTTTAAAACAAATATGCCATCGCTAATTCAAAAGAATTTGTAAAATTTTTTTGAAAAATAATTATGCTATGCATATTAGATAATTTTAGATTTTTTTTTTGTTTTAACAGCATTGTTTAGTGAATATACCATACCATAGACATTATGTAGTAATAATAGACATTTTATTTTTAGATGCTTTTTTGTTCTACATACAGGGTGACAATTTGAAAACGAACAGTATTTAATATTACCTCTACCGATGATAGTATGAAAATTTGGCGAAATACGTCAATTATCAAGGGGGGCAATTTTTGAGGCATTTGTTGTCGTGTTACTTTCAACCCTTTGACCCCCAGGGAACCTACCCTTAAAATTTTAAATGGCAACCCCTATTTCTTTTACCATTTTTGTGTTCCTTATAAAAATCTCAAAAAAATAATGCAGTTTATGTAGAATTCTATAAGAAACACAAAAATGCTAAAAGAAATAGGGGTTGCTATTTAGAATTTTAAGTGTAGCTGCCCTGGGGGTCAAGGGGTTGAAAGTAACACGACAACAAATGCCTCAAAAATTGACCCCCTTGATATGTAAATTCACGTATTTCGCCAAATTTTCATCGGTAGAGGGAATATTAAATACTGTTCGTTTTCAAATTGTCACCCTGTATGTGATGTTCGACAAGTTAAATAAAGCCATTTGTCAGGGTACTCCAATATATTATTATACTCGTAATATACCGGATGTAGATAAATAAGTGCACAAATCAGGAGGTGATTTCTTTTTTTAAACAAAGTATTTTTCTATACATATTTTTGATTTTATATAAAAAAAAAACTATATTTGGATATTATACAGGGTGAGTGTTAAAAAAGTGCAAATATTTTCAGGGGTGGTACATTTCGACCCCAGAAATACGATTATGAGTTTTTTTCGCGAAAAAAAAAATTGAAAATTTGCATTTTTTTGAAAAAAAAATTTGATTTTTTTTTGGTTTTTAGTTAAAAACATAACTTGTTCATAATATGGCAATATAGGTAGTAGATTAAATTTACAAGAAAGAAAATCTAGAAAAGATCCAGTCGTTCTCAAAATTTAAAAAAAATTTTTTTTTTTTTTGGAAATTTTCAACGTAAAATAACTCGGTTATTTTGGATTTATTTGAAAATCAGTAAAGAGAAAATATGTTTCTTTTATCGAGATCTACCAGCCCTGAAAATATTTGCACTTTTTTAAGACTCACCCTGTATAAATATTATACCCCTATGTTTGAAAAGAAATATAAAGAACTTTTACTCACATCGTGATATTTGTAGTCTCCAGCCTTGCAACATTTTTCCAGTAAAATTTGAATATTTCTAGCAGAGGTAAAGAACTAAATAATGAAGAAAATAATCTTGACTATCTTGAATAAAAACACCGTTTTGCACAATTTAGAAAAATAAATCAGTAAGTCATCTTCATTCTTCTTTTTTCTTTCAAAAATCACTTTTCCTTCACAAGACGTTGATTATCTTACTCATTACCCACACGATGTTATCTGAATCAAAATCTTAAAGACACTGATCAAAGCTTCATAGTAAGCGACATGACAATAGTAAAAATGTACATAAAACCCGGAATTTACAATACTATTATTATTTAAAACTTTTATACAGTGGAAATTGTTTTTTTGTGCCAACAGTTACAACGCGCTTTTTCGCATTATTGACAATTCAATTTGTTTTTTTCTATTGCTTCTTGATGGAGTTCTTTGGTTTGTGTTATTATTTTATGTGATTTATTGCTAGAATTCTATTAACCAAACTTAAAAAATTCACCATAAAAAACTCTTCGTTCCGTGAGTGTTTTATTTAAATGACTGGTACAAGTACAAAAGATCTGTAGATTGTTTCTATTCCTATGCAGCAGGATTATTACTTAATATACAGGGTGCTTTCGAAGTTGAGTAATTTAGTTTAACAAATATACCGGGTGAGTCTCAAAAGTGGTTCACCCCTATACCTTTTTTTATTTTTTCGGATAAAAAACAAGATTTGGTATGTTAGTATATGACATAAATTAGGATTGATTGACGTATTCAATTGTTTTTGGTCACTTCCTGTTTCACCGGAAATGACTACAACTTTTGATTTTTAAATGGCACCCTCGGTATTTTTTTATTTTATTCGATAGAACATGACATTCTGAATAGAATGACATATCATATGTCAACTTTTGATATTCTCGCTTAAAACAAAATTAAATTTTAAAATTCAATCTAGAGTGCCATGGTTATGTTAAAAATACTAATTCTTAATCAAGGAGCCTTGGAAAAATAGATTTGATTGTCTAATGTTTTTAGTGTCTTGTCCTGGCACCTGCCCTTGAAGCGACACCAGGGGCCCGGGGCGCCGCACAGTGATGCAGAAGTTCCCAAAAGCGGCAGAAAATCAAAATATCAAAAGTATTTTTTCTTAATTATAATTTCACTCGTATAGTTCCTAATAGACCATATTTTCAGAATCGTGAAGATTTTTGAATGAAAACGGGCCCGTTATTAATCCCTGATAAGAAATGTTCGAGCTTATAAAATTATTAGGTGAAGCTAAAATATTTTGATTAAATTTTGATTAAACAAAATTAGTGCGTTTAACGTTGGTGATAAATTAGTTAAAAACTGATGGTACTCTGAGAAAGTACAATGTTTTCAACTATTTTTCCTCATGGTAATTCTAGTTTTAACTTCCCTGTGGTACCATAAAAAATCAATAAAGACCTTGATGTAATTAAGAACTGCTTAATCTAAAATCACATTTTATGTAAGCTAATACAAAATGCTCCAAATTGCTCCAAAAAAATATAACGTAGGTTACAATTATTAGCCTTTTTTCTTCATAACTACGAAGTTTCATGACCAACATTAGCCCACAAATACCCTTTAGGTTGCCTACCTCTCCAGAAAACCATGGTTTAGTTAATAAATTACGTATGACAGTAATATTACTGGGTGTTTCTTAGGTGCTGTAAAATATTTTTGTTGGTTATTTTTAATTAGTTTTAGAAAGAAAACTGTAATACATTTTCTCTTATTCAATTTAATTTTCGATATACAAAGTATTCAAATTTGAAAATACTTTTTATTGTGTAATTTTAACTAACTTTTCCCTGTTAAGCCTAAGTTTTTATTCGTTTTGTGCTTATATGACATTAAATTTAATATTATTAGAAATCTTATTAATTTTGAATAATTATTGTTAATATAAACTAAAAAGACGTGTCAATGTGTCTATCATGCGTCAATATTCATTCAACAACTTTTATCAAGAATGTCATGCACCTTCTAGATACTAATTTTCTCGGATATAGTAAGAGATCACCAAGACTTCTCCTGTCAAGTAAAATAGAACAGCATCCTGAGGCTCCAAAACTTATTATAGGTTAAATTATTCTATTTTTTTTATCCATTTGCTAAATCCATCTTAAATATATTATCCATCTTATCTAGAAGCTTTAGGATAATTTTTAGTTTCTTTTTCTTGCGTATTAAATTCTTGTAACTAAGTTCTAATTATCATCTAAGTATAATATTTTTACCACAGGTAATTACAGATATTTCTAAATTATAGAACATTTAAAAATATCACGAAAATTAAATGGTTGTAAGTGAACAACTGGTTACATCTAATGCGAAAAGAGCGCTCAGTCTTTTAGATGTTTTGGTGTTACCCTTAATCAAGAGTGTTACTTTCATTAATATCAGCTACATAAAATATACAAATGTATTTACTTTCTTTTTTTTTTCTTTTTTTTCTCATGGAAATGAATGTCATGGAAATGAATGCCAATCAAATGATTTTTTAAACTTTACAAAGAATAGAGTATTAAATTAATATGCTATTGAAGACAAAATAATATAATTAAATTTTTTACAACCCATTTTTTTTTTACAGCCAATTTAAGTACACACTGTATACATAATTCAATTTTCTGAATTCCAAACATCACTTATACACTTAGAAAACCACATTTAATACAAATAATTTTAAAAAATGTAGCAGTAAGTTGGGAAATGATTTTTTGCCACTTTTCGCGTTTTCGGCATCACTGTGCGCCGCATGTATGTTAGTAGTTTCTGCAAATACCATACCTACAAGTAAAATTTCGGCACATGGGCGGAAAAATGTCCGAAACCAGTAGTAAAATCTCTAATCAGCATGCCAACATCATACAATAAAATAGTAAAATTTAGATAGAAGACGCTACCTAGAGCGTGCGGCAGGCACTTCGCTCATCAGCGAATTTTCAACAAGAAAAGTAAAAAGAGTTTTCGATGAAAACGCTGATGACGAAATTGGTACATTAACCGAAGAACAACAACTCACAATTCAAATTTTTAAATCATTGGATAATAAATGGGCAATTTTCCTGGAGGTTTAATGTTATGAAAGGTGTTGTCGGAGATTTTTATTTTCTTTCTGGAAAGTCACTGGCATCATTACCACTAGAAGAAATAAATAAAAAAACAGCTGCAGATTTAGCAATTAAATATGCTAACGACTTGGATGCAATAGAGCTGTATCTTGAACTGGAAAATTTCAAGAATCACGCGAGCTTGTTGCTTCCAAACTTGGAAGCCACAAGTCAAATTTTAAGCGCAATTTCGTGCAATATTTTGTAGTAAACTGGTATTTTCGTGATCTTTGCAGGGGGGGGGGGGCGTCTACACATTTTTTGAATTGTGGGGGCGCTAAATTTTGTCTTTACCCACGACGTATTTTACTCTAGATCCGCCACTAGGGACAGCAACTGGAGGCATACAAGGTTTTACAATTTCTGAATCTACAAAAAAATAATTTTCATTTAATGTTAATGTTAATTTAAATAAATAATTGAATTAGAAATTTACGATGCATGGTATACATATGTGAGTAATGTCTGTATAGGTAGTAACTTTTATATTTATTTTTTTAGACAACTGTTTCAGTAGCAAAATACCCAATTTTTTTTTAAGATAGATAAAAAAATATTACCAATCCTTTAATTTTTTTAATTCGTATGCAAATAATATAATCCAAGAATCTTCAACCACAATCTGTAAAATCCAGAATTGACGTAATATACTAAGTAATATTTCGTTCGATTCGAGAGGAGTGGAAAATTGAAGATCGTTAGAAAATTAATTAAAAAATATGGGACTAAGAAACCTTATCAAGCGTAAAGCCTTGACAAATACAGAAAACTATTTCGGTTAATAACTTCCTAGATACCAGAGAAAAAACACACGTTAACAGTTCTTAGAACGCATGATACAATTTAAATTTTTCAAAAATCTGTTTATTAGAGTATTATAATATTTATAATTTCAGTCGTTACTTGGTGGAAATCCGTAATAATTATTGACTTATAAAAAAATAAACGTGTTTATTTTTACTTTCACCCTTATAACTTTTCATTTTTTCAGATAAAAAAAAACAAGATTTGGTATGTTAGTATATGACATAAATTAGGATCGATTGACGTATTCAAATAGTTTCGGAAATTACCGGAAATGACTAGAATTTTTAATTTTTGAATGGTACCCTGGGTATTGTTTTACTTTATTTGATAGAACATGACATTCTGATTAGAATGACATATCATATGTCAACTTTTGATAAAAAAAAATAAAAAGTTATAGGGGTTTAGGTTAGAGCACTTTTGAGAAACACCTGGTAATCTGATATTATTTTAATTATATTATCACTATAAATATTTTGTAACAAATAATTTTTATAATTTCAACAGCAATTAGATTATTTTGTATTGCCACAAAAATAAAACAAAAGTTATTTAAAAAATATATACCTATATTTTTCAAGCAAAAATGTAACAATCATTTACAAAAAATAAGTTGAATAAAGTTATATAAATATTATTAAATTATATACAAAAAAAAATATTGCAATTTGCAAAAATTGCACTTATTAATATATAAAAAAATGTAAAATTTTTGATTATAAATGGTTTTAAAAAGCTCTAAAAGGAACTCTTTTTTTGAATTCGTAAAGTCCTCTTAAAATGTCACCTATGTGGCCCATATACTCCTGTCTGCTCCTGCTTTTCTGGAATATTTCTTTTTCAACATCTGTTGCGCTTCCCAAATGTGTCAGTTCCATCTGGATCATAGCTGTTTCTCTGAAAAAAGGAACAAAAACCATGAAACCTAAATTTTTGAAGGAAATAATGCTTAAAAAACCTAAACTAACTAGTAATAATTCCTAACAAAACAAAAACAAAAATAGCATCAGTATAAAAGTAAGTTTAAAACAGAAAATAAAACAAATATAGCAATATTAATAATTAAAGATATACAGGGTTGTTCACCACATACGACACGGAGTATGGTAGCTAAACGATTAGATTTTTACAAATTGTAAGTTTTGAGTTCGTTGAAGGACTATTAGAGCTACAATTTAAAAATATTTTTACAAGATACAGAGTGTCCCAAATAAATAAAAAATTTCAAAGTTGTATTTTTTTAAATGGAACACCCTGTATATTATTGCATTTTTAGTTTGTACGATTAAAATAAAGGTAAATTTGATTAAGGTTTATTACACTTAAACCTTACCGTTTTTGAAATATTTTCAATTT